AATTTCCCAGGTCGAAAAAGCTATTTCGGCATCCTTGCGGCCTTTACCTACGGCGACTGGAAACGGGACTTATATTACTGAGCCTGATCAAACGGGAATTGTCAAGGACCTTAGCCATGTCGACTTTACTGATATCAAGGCCCTGCTCGAGGTCATCAAGGATGCTGTAACGGGTCAGCCAGTCGATGATAGACACTATATAATGGAGCGAGTGATTCAGGTTAGTGCTTACTCTTGCCTATTGAACCTGTCGAGTCCGTCTGACCAAGCCCAGCTTGCTGCCGGACTCCCTTCGACTTCTAAGAATGGAAAGGACTTGACGAACGCCTTCCTCAAGCAACTCTGGAATGACCTGGAGCATCCTCCAATTTCGTAAGTTCATTGGGGCATGACGTTCAATGAGAGACTCATTGAGGAATGTAGATACCTAGGCCGGGATTCTTCGTATCGCAAGGCCGATGGATCAGGAAATGTACAGTGTCTCCCGAACTCTTCTGGAAGGTCTTCATTAACTCTCCATTGACAGAACTTCCTGTGGCCTCATATTGGTGCAGCCGGTAGCCACTATGCCAGGTCTGTACGCCCAACAACTGTTCAGTCGCCTTCGCTGCCGGACCCAAGCACGCTGTTCGCCTCTCTACTGGAAAGAAAAGAATACAAGGAGCACCCGAACAAGATTTCCAGTGTCTTGTTCTATCTCGCTTCCGTCATCATTCACGGTAAGCATGGCATATCTCATGTTTCTTTTCACAAGTTCTGCCAGCTGACATGCTCAAAGATCTATTCCAAACGGACCGCAGTGACTTCACTTTGAACAAAACCTCCTCGTATCTGGATCTTTCGCCGCTCTATGGCAACAACCAAGACGAGCAGGATCTCGTCAGGACTTTCAAGGATGGGAAACTCAAGCCGGACTGCTTCTCTAGCAAACGTGTTCTTGGTTTCCCTCCCGGTGTCGGCGTACTTCTGCTGATGTTCAACCGCTTCCACAACTATGTTGTTGAAAATTTGGCGACTATCAATGAAGGAGGCCGTTTCACCAAACCAGATGAGTCCGATGTCGACGCCAGCACGAAGTACGACAACGATCTCTTCCAGACTGGTCGGTTGGTCACGTGTGGCCTATACATTAACATTATTCTCAAGGATTATGTTCGGACTATATTGAATATCAATCGAACAGACAGTCTGTGGAGCTTGGATCCTCGAGCTGATATCCAGGATAGCTTGCTAGGAAGCGCCCCAGCGGAAGCTACGGGCAACCAGGTGTCTGCTGAATTCAATCTCGTCTACCGCTGGCATGCTTGCATATCTCAGCGTGACGAGAAATGGACACAGGATCTGTACAAAGATCTGTTCCCAGGAAAGGATCCCAACAATGTTTCGTTACAGGAATTTATTAGGGGCGTGGCCAAGTGGGAAGCAAGCTTACCAGAACAACCCCCGGACCGTCCATTTGCTGGATTACAGCGTAATGCAGATGGTGCCTTCGATGATGGCGACCTCGCGAACATGTTCGCGGATGGCGTTGAGGATTGTGCCGGTGCCTTTGGTGCAGGTAACATTCCATCAGTCTTCAGGAATATCGAGGCCCTCGGTATCTTGCAGGCGCGTTCTTGGAACTTGGCTACCCTGAACGAATTCCGCAAGTTTTTCGACCTTGCGCCTTACAAGACCTTCGAGGAAATCAATCCTGATCCATACATTGCTGCCCAGCTCAAGAACCTGTATGATGAACCTGACCTGGTGGAGATGTATCCCGGCGTTATCGTGGAGGCTACGAAAGACGCAATAGTGCCTGGAAGCGGTCTGTGCACAAACTTCACAATATCAAGAGCCATCCTGTCCGATGCGGTGTCCCTTGTCCGTGGAGACCGTTTCTACACGGTTGATTACACACCAAAGCATCTCACAAACTGGGCTTACAACGAAATACAGCCTCAGGACTCCGTTGACCAGGGGCAGGTCTTTTACAAATTGGTGCTGCGTGCGTTTCCTAATCACTTCAAAGGCGATTCCGTTTACGCACACTTCCCTCTGGTCATCCCATCTGAGAACAAGAAGATTCTTGAGAAGCTTTCGGTTGCTCAAGATTACAGCTGGGGCCGGCCGAGTTACACGCCTTTGCCGCAATTCATCAGCTCTAATGCGGCTTGTATTTCCGTTCTCAACGACCAAGAGGCGTTCAAGGTCACTTGGGGAAGCAAGATCGAATTTCTGATGCGCCACAACAATCACCCTTATGGTCGGGATTTCATGCTGTCGGGTGACAAGCCACCCAACGCTGCATCACGCAGGATGATGGGCTCGGCCCTATACCGCGACAAGTGGGAGAGTGAAGTGAAGCGATTCTATGAGGATATCACCATAAAACTCCTGCGCCAACATTCTTACCAGCTGGGTGGCGTCAATCAAGTCGATATTGTCCGAGACGTCGCAAATTACGCCCAGGTCCATTTCTGCGCAAATGTATTCTCTCTGCCCCTGAAGACTGAGTCTAACCCAAGGGGCATTTTTGCTGAGTCTGAATTGTACGAAATACTGGCACTTGTCTTCGCCTCCATTTTCTACGATGCCGATGTTGGAACATCATTCCAGCTCAACCAAACTGCCCGGGATGTGACTCAACAGCTCGGGGAACTGACCATGGCCAATGTCGACTTTGTCAACAAGGCTGGCTTCATCGCAAACTTAGTTAGCAGTCTGCACCGGCATGATGTCCTCAGTGAATACGGCGAACACATGATCCAGCGTCTGCTTCACAGCAATGTTCCTCCAGCTGAGATTGTCTGGACTCATCTGTTACCAACAGCGGGTGGCATGGTGGCAAACCAAGCCCAGCTCTTCTCGCAGTGCCTTGATTACTACCTTTCAGATGAAGGATCCATTCATTTGCCAGACATTAAACGACTCGCCAAAGAAAACACATCCGAGGCTGATGCTCTTCTTCTACGATAGTAAGCATTTCCTGAACCCCACAAATTCCACTTATCTTATTCAAAAAGTGGTTCGCGTACATGTACTGACAAATTTGCAGCTTCATGGAAGGAGCTCGGTTGCGGTCGTCCGTCGGCTTGCCGCGACTGGTCGCGAAGCCCACCGTCGTTGATGACGGCGGGTCAAAGTATACTTTGAAGCCCGGCCAAAGTGTACTATGCAACCTAGTAAGTAGCACCGAACTCTCTTCAATAGAGACGTTCCTGGCTCTAGCAGACAGTTACTCATCATCTTTCTTTCTTTTTTCGCAGGTATCTGCTTCCATGGATCCGCGCAGCTTTCCCGAGCCGGAGAAGGTCAAGCTTGACCGCGACATGAGCCTGTACGCCCACTTTGGATTTGGCCCTCATCAATGCTTAGGCATGGGCATCTGTAAGCTGGCTCTCACGACAATGCTGAGGGTGGTGGGACGGCTAGACAACCTCCGACGGGCTCCTGGATCTCAAGGCCAATTGAAGAAGATTGCTGGACCTGGAGGGATTTCGATGTATATGACTGCAGACCAAAGCAGCTATTGGCCATTCCCATCGACCATGAAGATCCAATGGGATGGCGATCTGCCAAGTCTTGCTACGAACTAAAACTGTTGATGAATTATGGGAATGGATGGATATCACAGACGGGAACGACTAATGTGTATAACAACTCTTCATTGGTATAATAATATGTCTCTTCCAACGCACACTTTCGCATAAATATCCTAAGTAATAGTGGGGACAAGTAGTGCTCCTCACCGAAACCTCTGTTGGTAGACGTCACTCATGCAACTCCCTGTTTGTCATTCACCCCACCTGTATGCGTTCACTCCCGAACAAAACTCGATATTCCCCGAATCATAATGTTCCTGTGGAGTATGCTCTCATTGGCAATCCAAGCTTCCTAGATACTGTAGACCTACTATATAATAGCTCATATGGCTGTAGATGTGCGCTAATTTGAAACACCTAAGTGAGGTCGAACTTGAACGAAAGCTGGGGTTCTCGCTAGATGGTACAGAGCCATCTCTCTTGAGGAAGTAGCCCAGCCCAAGTGGACTATCGCCAGGCTGCTTTAAATTGTAGCAAACGGGCAGTGAATAGAGGCCTGAACATAAAAAAGGTTGAGAGTAAGGCTGACTTTTCGAGTAGCTATTAGGCTCCGATGTAAGCCCAAAAGTGGGATGAGCAGCTGTAGTAGTGGGATACTTGGGAGTAGCAACCACAGTAACACATACCACCAAGTCGTACGGAGTTCAGGCAGTAGTATATTCCGTAGTAGCAAGTAGTATCTAGTAGAGTGAGATGAAAGTAAGGCAGGTCATTTTTAATTTATTGTTTGTTGGCTGGCGGGGAAAGAAGAAGACCCGCTCCGGCTGCCCGGAGCCACACCGCGACCAGCGGGAACCCAGGCAAGTAAAGTGAGTTGAGTGAGTTTTGAGTGAGTGAAAGTGACTGAGAGCCGCCCAGAGCTCCCAAAGCCCATCATCGGATTCACGAACCTTCCAACACCTACCACATTCTCCTCTTCCTCTCTCTTCCTCCCCTTCCATCAACCTTGCAACGATCTTTTCCTCTCCCACCCTTCCCCAGGTAACCGCTTTTACCTCCTCATTCATCTAAGCTTTAATTTATTTGGATGTCAAAATCTCAGGGCTGACGACCTGCACCGTCCCCTGTCATTCTGACTCCCAGCGATACTGGGCGAAGCCGCATCCCTCAGTCCTTATCTTATTTAATCCATCCCACCTGTCGCGGAAAGTTTAGATCGACTGGGGATCACCCGAGTTCATTCTTTTTCACTCGGTTTCCTGTGGTCTAGCGGGATTTTCCCATTTCACTTGTTTCTCTCTCTTCCATTCTTCGGGTTTGGTTGAGGAAGGAGAGGTCCGAAAAAAAACGTCATAAGGTCTTCCTCGCGACTTGCTCCGCGACCCGGTCTTAACAGATCAACCCCCACCCTCTCAAGGAGACGCCCTCCTGGCTTTCTCAGCCTCCTCATGATTGCCATTGTCTCTAACTGTCATAATGGGGAGAATTAAGAAGGTGGCGAGCCAAAAACACGAGGCTACGATCGTGAGTCCCTCTTTTCCCACCCCGCGTTCCATCTGTCACGTCTGCCAGGCTAACTGAATTTTTCCTTCACTCTTTCTATCAATTTAGTCCCCATATCTGGCGGATTTCGTAGCCCGTGCCACCACTATTCCTGTCCCGGAGCTTCCTTCACATCTCAACACCTTCTCTCGCATATGGCCCTTCCCCAGAGGCGACCTGTACCATTGGATTAACGTGCTGAACCGCTTCGACGAGATCTTGGCATCTGCCATCGAGAAATACGCCCTGAACAACGGTCCTCAGACGAAGCCTTTCGGCAAAGACTTTCTGGTGGAGTCTTACGTGCATGGTGACAGTGCAGGAAAACCTCAGGATGTTGATGCCAAGTTAGCTGAACTTGGATATGGACCGGAAGGAGACAGGGAGCTTTTAGAGGTTATTCTTGATTTCTCTAGGCTGCTGCTCGAAAAGTGCGGTAATCGCAGCTTGTACAGCAGCAGTGAACGCCTGGGCGAACTCCTGAACACCACTTCGCTCTCTCTGCTTCAGTCCACCCTCCGTTTATCTCTGTGTCTGGCACAGCGGTATCATTCACGCCAACGGGGTGGCTCCCATATCCAGCACAGCTTGCTGGCAGCTCACTACAACATTGACTTGGAGAAGTTGCAGAAAATTGCTGCGCCGTTCCCGCGCCCTTCTGTTACAGGAAGAACGGCTGTGTCCCCGGTAGCTTCGATCAAGTCCAAGGAGAAGGCATCTCAGGCCAGGCATAATGCCAATGATATGTCTGTTCTTGTACGGGAGAATGAAAGTTGGGATGAATGGGGTAGTGTGCGCCTGCTATATTATCCGTCTGGCTCATCAGAACCGGTTAAGACTGCACCGGAGACCGGCACTGGTGGACCATCGGTACAGGCCCCTACCACACCCACTCCTCTACGCAGAAGTCACACCCATCCTACACCACGCCTGAGCCGTATGTCGACTGCCGAGGATTCGCCTGCATCTGTGACCTCGACGCCAGGGAAACAGGACGAGACGCTGCGGGGTGGCAAGACACTTGAATTAACATATTCGAAAATTTCCTCGACAAGTACCGAAGATCTTGTCGCCGCGCATGTAGACGAAGTACCAGATGACTCAAAATACGAACTACTTCATAGAATACGTACAGCCCAAGGATTGGCGACGTCAGACTCCACGCGGGAGCAAATCCTGGCAATCAGAATCCTCGCCCTTACTAACCTAGCTTACGTTTATCCCGAGCCGCTGTTCCAGCAGAAAGTCCTTCAGTATGATATGGAGCAGCCAAAGCGTCTGCAGCTCGCCTATCAGCTAGGCGAATTGGTTCATCTAGGTGCGAGTGGCGACCTTCCAGTCTCACGGACATTGCAGACATTGGCGCTCCAGGCTCTTGATGCTCTTGCGAAACACAAGGCACGCGCCATCGATGTTTGTGGCGCATTGAGTGTCAATGTCAACCATGGTGTGCTGATGTTCTTGACTCGCAAAACCGTCAATGAGCTGAGTTCGGAAGACCCTGATGGTGAAGATGGTAGCCAGGATGAGTGGCGGGATGCCTTACTCGCTTTGTTACGGACGCTTCCGGGCTCTAGTACCAGGACCCCAGAAACTCTTGTTGCTGCTGGCTTGATCCCCATGTTTGTTGATGTTCTCAATCTTCGGACAGAAAAGGCCCGCCGAGTTTACTCTCGCATCATGGAATTCCTGGACACTTTCGTCCATGCTGTCCGTGATGCGCTGGGGACACTTACTAGTGCTAAGGGATTCGACGCAATTTCGGACTTGATTGATCACGAAACCAAGTCATCCTTTGAGAATGTATCCAAGGGAGCTGGAATACCGTCACAGCACAAAACTCCATCCATTGACTATCAAATCCCCTATTTCCAACAACAAGCCCTGCGCTGGATGTTCAGATTTGTCAACCATATCATGCAGCACAATGGCGGCGGATTTGACCGTGTCCTTCGGAATTTGATCGATTCGCCTCAGTTACTGACTTCCCTACGCCTAGTGTTGGAAAACGCCCGGGTGTTTGGTTCTCACGTCTGGAGCAACGCGGTCAACATCCTGAGCAGCTTCATTCATAATGAGCCTACGAGTTACGCAGTAATTGCCGAGGCTGGTCTAAGCAAAAGCTTTCTGGAGGCCGTTACTTCTTCCGAACTGAAGGCCCAGGAGAAGATAGTTGCCGAACCCGAAAGTGCTGATGTTGAGGGTGAGCCCTCGAGGCTTCCTGAGACCACTGCTACCGAGACAACGGCAGAGGATGGTCAGGGCCCTCGGGAATATACCATTGTAAGATCGGCAGAGGCGCGTTTGGCCCCCGGAATCATGCCCGCCGCCGAAGCTCTCTCGTGCATTCCCTCCGCTTTTGGAGCCATTTGCTTGAATGCTTCTGGTCTCGAGCTGTTCAAATCCTCCGATGCTCTGGAGAGCTTTTTTGAAATTTTTGAGAATCCTGAGCACGTCAAGTGTCTAAAGGACGATCCCAACCTAGTTCGATCTTTAGGTACCACTTTTGATGAGTTGGTGCGGCATCATCCGGCCTTGAAGGCTCACATAATGACTGCAGTTATCGTGATGGTTGCACGTGTTGGACTGTTGTGCAGAGCAAAGGCCTGGTCAGTCGGAATGGGTGCGAAGTTGTGGACAGAGAATCCGGAAGGAAAGCCAATCATTTCGGGTTCTACTTCCCACTTGCTGAAGGCGATCGGTATCGAAAGTGACGACCAGCCCGAGAATGCCTCCACTTACGGTGTGCCGCAATTGACGTCCGATCAGCTCCCGAATGGCGGAAAGCTACTACTCGGCGATCTAAGCCAGATTCTTCCATCGTCGATTGACAACATTGAGCCGAAGGAAACGGACGCTGCCGGTCTCACTGCCACAGATTACCTCTACCCTGTCGTTCGATTCCTGGGTGCATTCTTTGAGAACCAGCCGAACTGCTCGTATTTCATTGAATCCGGGGGTGTAGAGTTTGTCCTAGATCTCGCGACATTGCAAAGCCTCCCATTTGATTTCCATAATACGGATGCCAACCAGGAGCTCGCCGTCCTAGTACATATGCTTGCAGAAACGAAGCCTCACTTGGTTGTGCCGTCCCTCGTCCAGCGAACGGAACGAGCTGTCGATATGCTCTCGGGTTTCTGGCAGGAGCCCAATCATTCCGGATTTTTCACACCGTTGATCATGGCAACATCCACTGGGGCATCCGAAGAAAAGGGCAAGGAGACTCATAGTATTTCCAAGGCGAATGGAACATTCTTCGCAAAGCATATGGGGGCTGCTCTTATCCTCACCGATTTCCTTCGTGAGATTTATTCGATGCCTCTGTACCAGACGCGTCCGAGCCAGCAAACCTCCGCTTTTGCTCAAGTTAACCTAGTTGACCGATATTGCTCCCTCGTGAAGAAGTTGGGAGGTCTGCATGCAGCATGCGTCTGGGAGGAGATACTGCTTGAGAAGAACATACCCGACACCTGGGATCAGGCAACCAAAGTGCAGCAGTCTGGCTCGGCTCCAGAAAGGTCTAACCCTATCGCAGGACAATTGAATACCGAAGGGAACGCCATCGTACCTGGTGCAGAGCCTAGCAGGGGAAGTCCAGCTGCTAGCGAGAGTGCCCAACCTGGAGTTGCGCAAGAGTCCAAAGAGCCTACCACAGTCAAGGTTGCTGAAGACGGTGTAGCATTCAAAAATGTGCAGGCCCTTCGGTATCTCCTCAGTTCATTACCTTCTTCAATCACTGGCTTCTTCCATAACTTGGGACTTGGTCTGATTGGAAAGAGGAGAACGGATCTTTACCAGAAGCAGAATGCAACTCTGGTGGCCGATGCTGTTGCGGGAGCCGTGCTTGAGCAATTGCAATTCCAGCCTCCAAACGCCAGTGACAACTCCAAGCTCCGTTTCGCTTATCTGATTGTTATACTGTCTTCGTTCTCCCATCTTCTGTTCGAAGGTAGGCTGGTTCCCTTTCCCTTGACCATTTCTTGCCTAGGTGCTGACCATGTTGTAGCTACCGCAGATCGTCCTCATTCACACTATCTTACGCTGGTTTTGTTCTCCTTCAAGAGACACGGAGGCCTGAAAGTAACGAAAGATATCTGCGACCTCTTTGTGCAGGAGGTTAAGGCCCTCACTCCGCCGGAATCCGTCGCCGAATCTGAACAAGATGTCTCAGCACGGCTCACCTCCGCTTACGGCGGGATCAAGATTATTCTCAGCTTTTTCTCTGAGCTTGCCTCGGGGAAGAACATCGTTGATTCCAGCCAAACACAAGCCATGACTACCAGTGATCGTGACCGGGATCGCCCCGACTACTTTCAACCAGGCCAGTTTTTGGTAGACCTTCGGATGGAGATTCTACCGATGGCTCGGGACATGTGGAATTCCGACTTCGCCGCGCAGTCCTCCAGTTCTGTTGTCAAGTGCCTGATTGACATTCTGCGTTCGTCGCTCGATGGTGAATATGAGACGGGAGCTGCTCGCAGCTCCGATGTGCCTCCTATGGTGGCAGACGTCGCGAGAAGAATGTTTGTCGTGAACAAGGACCGCATGGTATCTTTACAAGAGAAGGGATTCGATGGGCAGCTTGCCAAGGAAGCGCTTTATCGCTGCAACAACGTATATGCCGCCGCCGAGGAGTACTGCAGGGCACAAAGTCGGCTAAGAGCCCCTCCAAGGGCGGAGCCATCCCCTAGTGACATCGAATCGATTCGGTCAACGTCAGTGGCTGAAGGATCTGACGAGCCTGCGGGCGACGCCCCGTCGTTTGACAATGGGTTCCTCGAGCGGTCTGCACTTGCCATGCTTTTGGCACAAGCTTCAGGCCGACCAACCGATGATGCGTCCCGTCAAGACCAAGGCCAGGGCAGATCTGAAGACAGCGAAGTCAGACATGGCTCTGAATTCCTGGCGAGAGCCCTGACTCATATTTTGAACGATGATCATGCCACAGGGGGCGATGAACATGAGGAATCTCCAATAATCACGCCCCGTATCTCTAACGCTCCCGGTGGTAGTTCGTCGGAGCCTTCAACCCTTCCGGCAAATCAATCACTAGAACAACGCTCCGAACAGCCTACAAGACGGCGTGAGGTGACTACGATTGAGGATTTGGATAAGGAACGGGAGCAGGTTCGCTCGAATTTGATTGAGCGTTGCTTGGACATCTTGAATGAGCACCACGACGTCTCATTCGAGCTGGCTGATCTGATTGCCTCCGCAACAAGAAGACACCGCGACGCGGAAAGTTTTAGAAGGGAAGTGGGCGAGATTCTTGTGCAATCATTGGTCTCTTTACAGATGGAGAATTTCCAGGCTGCTGGCAAAAAAGTGGCCGCCTATGCTCACCTTCTCGCTCTAGTCGTCCAGGATCGGGAAATGTATACCGCAACCCTTGGTGAGCTTAAAGAATGCTTCACGACGTTCCTCGGATTCATTCAAGTGTTACCTGAAAAGTCGTCCGATGAATCGTTCCCCTGGATCGGCCATGTCCTCCTGGTGCTAGAGAAGCTGCTTTCTGATGACTGTCAACCACCTCAAATCCGTTGGAGTATCCCTGATCATGAGAACCCAAGTGCAGACGATGAGCAACCAGCTCACTTGGAGGAGCCTCTTGTATCCCTGGATCAGAAAATGCAGCTTTATGAGGCACTGGTCGAAATACTGCCTAGAATAGGCAAGGATGAAACATTGGCCCTTTCGATTTGTCGAATCCTTGTCATCCTCACACGTACTCGCAGCATTGCTGTGCGGCTGGGAGAGAAACGAAGCCTGCAACGTCTATTTGTCATGGTCAAACAACTGTCTAGCTCCACAAATGAGAAACTTCAGGGAGCTTTCATGTTGATTCTGAGACACATCATCGAGGATGAGGACACCATCCGGCAGATCATGAGAAGTGAGATTGTCGCCAACTTCGAATCCAAATCGTCCCGCCAGATTGATACAACCGGTTACGTCCGACAAATGTACCATCTTGTCCTCAGATCCCCTGAAATTTTTGTTGAAGTATCCAATGAGAAATTGAAGTTGCAGCGTTATGACAACCGCCAACGACCTCAGGTTCTCACGCTGAAGGCCGACAAGAAAAACAGTTCTTCAGATCCCACAACGGTTAAAGAAGCGCCTGATAGTCCGGAAAAGAGCGAGGGCCAGGCAGGTGGAGCATCTTCTGAGGATAAGGACAAGGCCAAAGCTACCGATCTCAAGCCGCCCGTGGTGGAGAACCCTGATGGCGTTATCCACTATCTACTTTCTGAGCTTCTGTCTTATAAGGATGTCGATGATAAGGAAGCTCCCACCGAGAGCACAGATCCTTCTGCCCCCGATCAATCGGAAACCCAAATTGATGTGGAAATGTCAATCGATGAACCTTCTCCATCTGTTTCTAGTACCGACGCGCAGGGCACACGCAACAACAAGAAGTCAGACAAGCCGGCATTCAAGGCGGACGACCACCCAATCTACATCTATCGATGCTTCCTCTTGCAGTGCTTGACCGAGCTTCTCTCGTCTTACAACCGCACAAAGGTCGAGTTCATCAATTTCTCGCGCAAGGCAGATCCTCATGCGGCTACCCCGTCAAAGCCTCGCTCGGGGATCTTGAATTATCTCCTGAATGCTTTAGTGCCGGTTGGCACTATGGAACATGACGAATCGGTTGCGTTCAAGAAGCGAAGCAACACGTCCGCTTGGACAATGCGTGTTCTTGTTGCTCTATGTACAAAGACAGGCGAATTCGGCGGGCCTGGAAGGCGACGTAACGAACAGGACCTCAATGAAGACGACGAGCCCGAGCTTGCCTTTGTGCGGAGATTCGTCTTGGAACATGCGCTGAGGTCATACAAGGAAGCAAATGCTTCGAATGAACCCCTTGACGCCAAGTATTCTAGGTTGATGTCACTTGCCGATCTGTTTGATAAAATGCTCAGTGGATATGCGTTCGTTTCTGGTGAAACAGCTTTCGCGTCTTCGACTAGGCAATTGGCTAAGACTATGTTTGAAAAACACTTCATTTCTGCGCTGACAGCTTCAGTCGCTGAGATTGACCTCAACTTCCCAGCGTCCAAACGGGTCATCAAGTACATTTTGCGTCCTCTCAACAAGCTCACCCAGACTGCGGTGGTGTTGAGTGAGTCATCTGACATCTCCACTCTCGCTGAAACTGAAGACGATGAGATCTCCTCAGCTACATCGGTTTCGGATATGGAAGATGACCGCGAGGAAACCCCCGATCTCTTCCGCCACTCCACACTGGGCATGCTCGAGCCTCGGCACGAGGAGGAGACAAGCTCCGAAGAATCGGAAGAGGAGGATGACGAAATGTACGACGACGAGTATGGTGAGGAGATGGATTATGATGAAGACTTGCCAGAAGACGATGGCGAAGTAGTCAGTGATGAAGAGGATGAAATCGAAGGCGTTGGGCCGATTGAGGGTCTTCCTGGCGATAACGGCATGGACATCGAAGTGGTCATCGATGACGATGAAGATGATGAAGACGACGACGAAGATGACGAGGACGATGAGGACGATTCCGATATGGACGACGACGAAATCCTTGCCGGTGAGATTACAGGAGATCATGATAATGAGAGCCTAGAGGAGGGCGATGACGACGAGTGGGAAAGCGAAGAGATGTCTGAAGACGACGAAGAAGCTGAGATCATGAATCAATTCGAGGATGAGTTGGCCGATAGTCTTCGACAGGCAGAACAGCGCGACGATGGCCAGCGTTTTGATGATTTGTTCCGTGTCCTCAATGAGGCTGCTGGCGGCGTCGAAGATCTTCAGGCTGACAGTCTTGGGGATATGCATGAAGACATCGTTGATGATGATCTTGCTGATGAAGAAGGTAAGTGTCCCTTATTAATATATGTGTATCCAATGCTAACAATGCTCTAAGAAGACGAGGAACTTGAGGAACTCGAGGAGGAACTCGAGGATGCTGACGATGACCAAGGGTCTTATCAAGGTTTCGATGATGAGGAAGATCTTATGGATCCTTGGGGATGGGAAGGCGATGAGCAACCGCCACGAGGCCATCATCACTCCCGGTTTCACGGTCCTCGGCCGGCATGGGCTGCGGTTAGTGGAATCATGCCCAGTCGGCACGGTATTGTTCCCATTCAGCCATATCGGCTCCATAGAACTCAGATTCCGGCCCGTGGAAATGATGACGGGACCAACCCACTTCTTGTTCGGACAGACCGTGGCTCCGAGACAGGTGGCCAGCCCCGCGTACCCGGCAATGAAGCTTTCACCGACTGGGTCCATGGCATGGAGCCTGTATCCACGGGACGTCTGCTTCCCATGGATAGTCCTGTTAGCTTCATGAACGCAGTTTTGCAGGCTATCGGCGGCCAGGGGGGCCCAGGATTTGGGGTCATCACCCGTCCGGATGGTATCCACGTCCATGTTGACAGACGTGCAATGCCTAACCGGATTCAAGACATATTCGGACTTGGCAGGCCCCAAGCTCCTCCTTCCCGTACTCGCGACGATCCTTCCCAAGCTGTGAGCTTTGCCTTGGCCACAACCAGAAGCCGTTGGCAAGAGGAGGCCCGCATTCTGTTCAGCAGCGCATACGTTGAGAAGACCCAGCGTGTGGTCAATTCCCTGCTGAAGATTTTGGTACCCCCCGCCATTGAGGAAGAAAAGAGACGTGAAAAGCAGATGGAGGAAGAGCGAAAGCGGCGAGAAGAAGAACGCGCAGAACGTGAACGTCAGGAGCGCATCGCCAGGGAAGAGGAGGAGAAAGAGAGAAAGCGCAAGGAAGAGGAGGAGAATGCCAGACGGCAGCAAGAATTGGAACGCCAGGAAGCAGAGCGACAAGCATCCGGTATCGAGGCGGAGCCCATGGACGATGTACAGCAGACGGACACCGGCAATGAGGCCGCAGCACCGGCATCCGAGACTGAGACAGGCCCGTCAGAACCTGCTCCCCGCGTGCACACAACTATCAGAGGCCGTCAGCTTGACATCACTGGCATGGAAATTGATCCGGAGTACTTGGAAGCCTTGCCTGAAGAACTGAGAGAGGAAGTTATCATGCAGCAGCTTGCAGAACAACGTTCTCAGGCTGCTGCTGCCGGCGAAGAGCCTAGCGAAATCAATCCAGAGTTCTTGGAAGCCTTGCCTCCAGAGATTCGCGAGGAGTTGCTGCAGCAAGAAGCGGCCGATCGTCGTCGCCGGGAGCGTGACAGTGCTCGTCGACAAGCTGCTGCAGCTGCAGGTGCAGCTCCAGCTCCAGCTCCAGTTCATGCAGAAGATATGGATCCTGCCAGTTTTCTGGCTACACTAGACCCATCCTTACGTCAAGCTGTTCTGGCTGATCAGCCCGAAGAAATCCTTGCAACATTAGGTCCAGAGTTCATTTCGGAAGCTCGTGCGCTGCCAGGCAGACGATTGGCACAATTCGGCGATATCACTCGGGTCGACCACCGTCACCGACGTGAGCCAGCCGACGATCAAGAGCCCAAAAAACAACAACGACGTCAAATTGTCCAGATGCTGGACAAGGCCGGCGTCGCTACGTTACTTCGTCTGATGTTCATGCCTCTCCAAGGCAACGCGCGCCACCAGTTGAACGACATTCTCCATAACGTGTGCGAGAACCGCCAGAACAGGATGGAGGTCATTAGTCTTCTCCTTTCTGTCCTTCAAGACGGTAGTGCAGATGTCTCGGCGATCGAACGCAGTTTTGCCCAGCTCTCACTCCGTGCTAAGCCCTCGTCGGTTCAGAAAACTCCTCAATCCGTCAAGCGGAATTTGTCATTCCAGGGGTCTTCTAACGTGAGCAATGAAGTGACTCCGATCATGGTTGTGCAGCAGTGCCTGGGAACCCTTTCCTTCCTGTCGCAGTACAACCCTCACATTGCTTGGTTCTTCCTGACCGAGCATGACTCTTCCCCGGCCCTGAAGCTGAAGGCTCTCCGCAAGGGCAAGGGCAAGGAGAACAGGGCTAACAAGTTTGCTCTTAATGCATTGTTAACCCTACTTGACCGAAAGTTGATCATGGAGAACCCTAATTGCATGGAGCAGTTATCAAGTCTTCTAAGCAGCATCACACAGCCTCTTACACTCTTGCTCCGTCGTGAGAAGGAAAAGCAGGAGGAAGAGGAGAAAGCTAAGGGCAAGCAGCCCGAGCAGGCAGAGGGAGAGAGACCGGCTGAAGAACAGGAACAGCAGCAGCCCGTTTCAACGGATCAGACTGGCTCTGCCACGGATACAACAATGACGGATGCACCGCTTCCCACTGTCGAGACTACGCAACCGCAAACTGAATCTGCTCAGCCAGGGCAAACGGAACCATCGGGAGCCGCCAAAGAAGACAAAGCAAAGACAGCTGAAGATGAGAAGCACAAGAGAAGAACCATCGAACCACCAGTTGTCCCTGACCACAACTTACAGCTGGTGGTCCATATCCTTGCCGCTCGTGAATGCAACGGAAAGACATTCCGAGACACACTTTCCACCATCAATAATCTTTCCGCTGTCCCCGGCGCCAGGGACGTGATTGGGAACGAGCTGGTCAGCCAGGCTCAAACCTTGAGCACTGTCATACTCACTGATCTTGATGAGTTGCTATCGCATATTCACCAGGCTCGTACTGGTACCGATATGCAGGGTCTAGCTTTGGCCAAGTTCTCGCCAGCCAGTTCTGATCAGGCTAAGTTATTGCGCGTTCTCACGGCTCTCGATTATCTGTTCGATCCTTCTCGGACGGACAAGGTGAAAGGAGCCGAGCCTGACAATGCCGCAAAGGAAGATGTTCTACAGACGTTGTACGAATGCTCTACTTTCGGGCCTCTGTGGACCAGACTCAGCGAATGCTTGACCGTTATTCGACAGAAGGAGAATATGCTCAACGTCGCAACTATTCTCCTGCCTTTGATCGAAGCGTTAATGGTGGTTTGCAAGAATACCACGCTTAAGGATACCTCTCTTTCCCGGAACAGTAGGGAGTTGTCTGTGTCGACCACTTCTGTTGACGCTGGTCTCAGCATGGAAAGCCTCTTTTTCAAGTTTACAGAGGAACATCGCAAGATTCTCAATGAGCTTGTGCGGCAAAACCCCCGGTTGATGAGTGGCACTTTCTCGCTGCTGGTCAAGAACCCTAAGGTTCTAGAGTTTGACAACAAGCGCAACTACTTCACCCGTCGCATTCATTCCCGTGGCGCTGAGCCTCGTCACCCCCACCCTCCTCTTCAGCTGTCAGTTAGACGTGACCAAGTCTTCTTGGATTCCTTCAAGTCTCTGTATTTCAAGACGGCAGACGAACTGAAGTATGGAAAGCTGAACGTACGCTTCCACGGTGAAGAGGGTGTCGATGCCGGTGGTGTGACTAGAGAATGGTTCCAGGTCCTCGCGCGTGGCATGTTCAACCCCAACTACGCTCTGTTCATCCCTGTTGCTTCGGACAGGACTACATTCCACCCGAATCGTCTCAGTGGTGTCAATTCCGAACATTTGATGTTCTTCAAGTTCATTGGACGTATCATCGGCAAGGCCCTGTACGAGGGACGTGTCCTTGACTGCCATTTCAGCCGTGCGGTCTACAAGTGCATCCTCGGTCGGTCAGTATCCATCAAGGATATGGAGACGCTTGACCTTGACTACTACAAGTCCCTTCTCTGGATGCTCGAAAACGACATCACTGACATCATTACTGAGACGTTCGCTGTCGAGACAGATGACTTTGGAGAAAAACAAGTGATCGATCTCATTGAGAACGGACGCAATATCCCTGTCACTGAAGAGAATAAGGAGGAATACATCCAACGTGTCGTGGATTACCGCTTGGTCGGCTCCGTCAAGGAGCAGCTGGACAACTTCCTGAAGGGTATGTTTAGGTCCCGTTTCCGCTTGACCCTTCTAAGTATGTGGCTAATAATACGTGCTGTACAGGATTCCATGAGATCATCCCCTCCGATTTGATCTCTATTTTCAATGAGCAAGAGCTTGAGTTGCTAATCTCCGGTCTCCCCGAAATTGAAGTGGATGATTGGAAGGTCAATACCGAGTATCATAACTACTCGGCCTCCTCGCCCCAGATTCAGTGGTTCTGGCGCGCTGTCCGCTCTTTCGATAAGGAAGAACGCGCCAAACTTCTGCAGTTCGTTACGGGTACTAGTAAGGTGCCTCTCAATGGATTTAAGGAACTCGAGGGTATGAACGGAGTTAGCCGTTTCAACATCCACCGTGATTACGGCAACAAGGATCGTCTCCCAAGCTCTCATACTTGTTTCAACCGTAAGTACACCCAGCAATGTCCGAGACTGTCTATATGGTACAGCTTGCTAACGATGTGACACAGAGCTGGATCTTCCAGAATATGAGAGCTACGAAACTTTACGGCAACGTCTTTACACTGCGATGACGGCTGGCAGTGAATATTTCGGATTTGCATAAAATGGTGGCGCTAATATCCCTTATTGCCTGAATGATGATCTGGGGGTTAACCCACTTCCATTTGCAGTGTCCTTGACTCAGTGCTGAAGCATATTATGGCGTTTGACACATCTTCATTTTCAGCTAGTTTGTACCTTACCAAAGGCATGGGGGTGATGGTAGGAAATGAACCGCAACCGGCAGACCAATTGAAGTGCAGGTCAACTGGGATGCTGGGGATCGGTTCGAGACTTTTCACTACCTTTTCTGTGTTTTACTTTGCAAATTGCAGCAGCATGTACTTTTTTTTCAGCTATGTGTCAATTACTTAGAAAATTCCAGTCAATTGTTCTCGTTCTTTCACACACGTTCTCGTCCAGCCATCGATGCGCGGTTAGTCAGCCGGGTGCTTCTCCGTAGTCTGGAGGCGGTGAGGGGCGGTGGATCCGGGGAGTCACGGGATGCAACTTTTTTCTGCTGGGCGAAAAAGTCACCTGCCGGCGGGGCATCGGCTCGAATCTCAACTTCTTCAATCCGCTGCTCTCTCTCCGGTCGATGGGCGTTTCCTATCTCTCAGGCATGCTAATTCCTGCTCTCTAAATTCTACTTTATCTTCTGTCTATCATCATATCAATCTCCCCTCTACACCCGTCCGATTCCACGCGCCGCTCTCACCTGAACCCCTCCTCCAGTTTCTCTTGAATCTCCAACAATGGCTTCGAACTCGATCAAGCTCTTGACTGGTAACAGTCACCCTGAGCTTGCAAACCTCGTGGCAGCTCGGTATGCGCTATAGTTCTGGACTACTTCTGCACCCTTGCAGTACACCATGGACTAACGAGCCGTTTCAATTGGCAGGCTTGGCATTGAACTGACCAAGATCATGGTCCTCCAATATTCGAACCAGGAAACGAGTGTCACAATCGGAGAGAGTGTACGAGATGAGGATGGTATTGTTGTCCACTCCGCCTGCTCAGACCCAGGCCCGCAAAAGATCTCGGGTTAATGTGTGCACCCTGCAGTTTTCATCTTGCAGTCGACGCGGCCCAATGATATCAACGATGGACTGATGGAGCTGCTCATCATGATCAATGCTTGCAAGACCGCCTCCGCAAGACGTATCACGGCCGTCATTCCCAACTTTCCCTATGCGCGCCAAGATAAGAAGGATAAGAGCCGTGCTCCTATCACTGCCAAGCTTATGGCAAACATGCTCCAGACTGCTGGTTGCAACCACGTCATCACCATGGACCTCCATGCCAGCCAGATCCAAGGCTTCTTCAACGTTCCCGTCGATAACCTGTATGCCGAGCCTAGTATACTGAAGTGGATTCGCGAACACCTGGATGTGAGCAACTGTATCATTGTCAGTCCTGACGCTGGTGGTGCTAAGCGGTAAGTAAATTCGGTCCCTTGAATGCTTAACATTATGCAAGCGATGTTAATTGGCAATATTGAATAGTGCCACTGCCATCGCCGATCGCCTCGATCTCCAGTTTGCGCTCATCCACAAGGAGCGCCCCCGCCCCAACGAGGTCTCGCGCATGGTTCTCGTTGGTAGCGTCAAGGACAAGATTGCTATCATCGTTGACGACATGGCTGATACCTGCGGTACTCTTGTCAAGGCCGCCGATACTGTGATGCAGCACGGAGCTAAGGAAGTCAACGCGATTGTTGTCCACGGTATCCTTTCCGGCAAGGCTACTCAGAACATCAACAACAGCTGCTTGAGCCGTGTTGTTGTGACCAACACTGTTCCTCACGAAGACAAGAAGGAGCAGTGCGATAAGATCGAGACGATCGACATCAGCCCCACCCTTGCAGAGGCCTGCAGACGTACGCACAACGGCGAGTCTGTGAGCTTCCTGTTCTCGCACGCTGTTGCCTAAACGAACTAGTGAGGGCACTTGGCAGTGAGGGAGGATAAGATGGACATGCCGCTACCTGGAGGCGGCTCATATTTGCTTTTGCCTTTTGTTATTGTCGTGCGTAGTCGGATACCTCTAGGAGGACCTAGATCATGATGTTAGGACTCTTTAGTCACGGAATTCCCTGGATAGGCGCCTCCGTCTGTCAAAACTATATTTAACGCATTTACCGGTTATGATGCTTATGGAACTTGAGAAGGTGGAAAGGGAGATATGGAAAAGTCGGCGGCGCCTTTTGCTTTCTATTACCAGCTGAATTGAAGCATTTATATTGTACATATATCAACGGTTTTCTTTTTCCCCCTTGGTCGTCTTCATTCCGATGTACCACTCTTCCTTCCTGTGGGCGGATCACATGTGAATTTTACTGATACAATAGACTGACTATCTGAATCTCATTCCGTCCTGGACACGTAACATACACACCAAATATAGATGTAGTCAAATGAGAAATATGGAATTCGAGGAAACATTTAATACCGTGTATGAAACAAACATCTGCAGTCGTCAAATTAACCTCGGAGATTCCAGCTAGTAGTTCCGCGGCGATGCACACGGGCTAGCCCTAAATCGATCCTCAAGCTGCAAGTCGTACTTTCGATTCCGAAATCTATATTTCCGGCTTCAATAGTCGGTCTTGTCATCGTCCAGATCTAGCCACCGATACCTCACTGATCGGCAGCACTATCTCGCTTGCTTTTTTGCTTTCTGATTTTTACTTCAGGCCATGAATTACTAATATCTAGATTACTCTGGTATTACTGGTATGCTACTGAGTAGTAGCTCACAATATAAATATATTCCCGAAAGAGGGAGAGTAGTATGTAGCGGGAAATGTATCCCGGAGTAATCGAGCTTGTCGTCTTACCATCTGTGATAGTTTCTTCTTCTTAGTGGTTGGTCTATTTTTATTCGAGGTTATTTGTGTTAGTATTAATCTAGCTTACTAGTATCATATGAGGCCTACTGTAAAGCTGGAACAGAGGTAGGATACTAGTAGTATGAAGAGTCAGGCATTTCTAGTATTCGATACGTGATAATAACTACAAAAAAAAGGCATGGTTAGGACAATTGACTGCTTCAATTGAATGCCTGCTAGTTTATCCAAGAATAATTCATCTGTTTGTTTGCTTCCATGTCAATCAAGGCGCTTGGATTCATCACACGCTGTCAGCTGTAATCTTCGTATACTGGGTTATGTGTAGGTTTAGTTGAGGGAATGAGTGAAGTCAGTACTAGGTAGGTTGGAAGGTGGCTATGTAGTAAGGTTTTGTTGTCCCTTACTATTGACGTGTACATATTTAGTTGTGAAACAATGGATTTGGTGGCTGGTGGCTGATTGATTGATGTGATGGGATGCAAGGCAAGTTTGGTAAATTCAGTAAAAATAGGTAAATTCAATTATGAGTATCGCACTATGCAGTAAAAGTACGTCGAGCGTAACTTGACATCTTTGGTGGGTTGGAAGTATGATGTCGTATATCTTTCAGTTTGTCTTGTGTGTCTCGTCATAGAAGTTGTTGATGTATAGTCCTTATAGTCAGGTGGTCATGTGCTGCAGTTTCTCAGTTTCGGTACTGATAGCCATAATATACAGAAGCTTGAAGATAACTTAGTGTCACTAGCGGGGTTGAGTAGTAAGTAGTGCATTGACTTCACCTGTCTGGTCTGATATCTATATACTCCCTGTCTGGCCATGTAAGTATACATTGCTACACTGTTGAGTGGCGAGGGTTTTGATTAATCCTGGATAGTGCTCTAGTAGTTATGAGTGTATAAGAATAATTAACTAAGAATACTAATGCACTATACACATTCGAGACACATGGTGGATTGTATGCTGGATGTGTAGTCAGAAAACAGTGTCTGTGCCTGTGTCTGTCTGTGTCTACTCCGCACTTGACTAACGATCGCTAGTGGGATCTTGGGTTAGAATTGTGGGTACGCGAAAAAGTACTGGCCACACAATAATCCACTGCTGGGCTACATTTGAATAATTTTAAAGTTTACCACAGTAGGGGCCAGGGGATTACACTACAACCAAGGGAGTAGATAGAACCTGAAAACACCGACTTAAAATTTGGAATACAAAGAGTTTCATTTCATTCACAAGCAGCGCAAATAGAGAAGAATCATCTGCGGAGAACCGGAGTCCTTGGGTATTTTTTTTTTAGTCGTGCCAGGGAAGGGGAAGGGATAATGGTCGCAAGGCCATAAAAAAAAAAAAAGTGTAAGAAAAACAAAGAAATTCTTTCACATTTTTTCCCTTTCATTTCCATAAAATGTGGAGATATAGCATTTCCTTTTTTTGATGTTGTGGATCAGACAATATCGGCACGCCAAAGTCTCGGTCCGCTGCAGACGCCTTCTCTCCTCTCTCTCTCCCCCGACAAGGAGCTTTTGTTCTTGGGTCGCTCTGCTTCGGAACTCGAAGTAGGAAAAGAGAAAATGGGTAGATATAAAATAAATCCCCCTTCCCATTTGCTTGAGATTCTTCTATAATACCCTTTTCCCTTAGCTAGAACAGAGACGTAACCCGACCATTAACCCCCGGACAAACACATTTACTTCCTCATCGAAGACGCTCTCCGCTTGCGGAGCTCATCACGCTTGGCCTTCTCCTCGTGGACACGGCTGGCAAGGAGCTTGGCGTAGTCGTTACTGTGGATCGCACGGTTAGCGGATAATCATTTGATGTATTTGGGCACATGTCCCCGCCGAGAGAGAGGAAAGGGTGCAACTTACGCAGCCTCGCGGGCAGCCTCAGCACGACGGCGCTTGAGGGCAATGCGCTGGCGCTTGCGCTGGAGACGCTGGGGAGTAACCAGACGCTGGATCTTGGGGGCCTTGGTGTAGTCGGGCTTGCCCTCACGGGTGACGGTACGACGGATGACGAACTTGCGGACGTCGTCCTTCTTGTCGAGACCGAAGAAGCGGCGGATCTTGGTGGCACGCTTGGGGCCGAGTCTCTTGGGGACAACGGTGTCGGTGAGACCGGGGAGCTCACCCTCACCCTGCTTGACGATGCTCAGGGCAAGAACAGAGAGGTCCTGACCGGTGATGGCTGTAAACACGAAGCGTCAACGAATCAACTCCTAACCACGATAGTAACGGATATATTGTTGTTTGGTAACCTACCACCACGGACGGACTTGCGCTTGCGCTCACCAGTGCGGCGGGGGCGGTAGCAGCTGCAGTGGACATCAGTCTTCCATTTCGTAAACTCCATTATCGGCAGGTCGCATTTACCTGTGGCCATCGGCAAGGAGGAGGCGGGTACGGGTGGGGAGGAGAACTGCACACAAATCGATGAGTTTCTGCTGTTTTTGTGATTGTCGGATTATATTTGCGTCGGTCGGTACATACCACCCTGCTTCATGGGGAAACCTGAGAAGAAGCCAAAGTCAGCATCCAATGTACATTCTTAACCATGATATCCAATTTCTTGTTCGTTTTCGAGTCCTCCTAGTCGAGCCCAAATCCGAAAAGGGGGAAAGCAATCCAGTCGTACCTTGCTTGTCGTTACCACCGGTGATCTTGAGGATGTAACCCTTGAACTCGTCACCGAGAGAGTCGCCGGCAACCTATAGCAAAAAAAGAAACCCCAATCAGTCTTCTGCTTTTCCCATATTTTTCGTGTATTTCTCAAATTTCGTCTCTTTTTCTTTTCCAAATGTGGTGTTTTCGGGTGCGGATATCCAAGGGGGGAGGGTTGCTGACTTCGGTTCCCATGCGCTTCTCCATGAAGGGACGGAGCTTGCGCTCATCGTCAACCTCGATGATCTTCTGAGACCCATTGGCCGGGTAGGAGATGTTGAGCTTCATCTTGACGGGTCTGCGCGGTCAAGACGGAGGGCGCGGTTTGTCGACAGGTCGAGGAGGTTCAGGTCGTCGGGGATTCGTTCTTCGTGGGATTTTTTTGGTGGTGTAGCGAGATTTCCCTGTGTGGGCGGCTGACTAAGTCCACTAACCCTTCTGGACTTAGCGTCCTCGGTAGGGCTCTTATGTCAGCAATCCCGGCACCTGACTTGCCCCCTTTCCCTTTTGGGAACAATGAGGCTAGGCCTGCATTCTTATGCTTGAGGATCCCACTGACTCGTCACGATAGAAACGAAGTCGAAAGACCTGGTTACGCGATGATGCTCGTATTCGATGACAAACCTACTCAATCCAGACGGCAGGATAAGGACCTGTTTTTAGGTGTAAGCGGAGATTAGGTCACCTGATCTTCGTGTGATCCTTGCGACTGTGTACACAGTAGGCAAGATTTGGGGTCAGATATCTCCAACAGATCGGAGTCTTCCATATCTATGCCTGCTAACCTACACCCCTCTGATTGCGACTTTATGCATCCCAACAGTTGACAGCTAGAACAGCCTATGGGTATGTTCACTGACCAAACCTTTAAACTAGCGTCAAGTAGGGTGCCTCCTAAGCTCTATCCAGGCGAATCCGGGGAGCCATCGCGTTGCGCCTTAGGTGCCACATCTCTCGTCATAGAGCCTTTCTCCGAGCGGACTTTCATCCGTTGCGTACTCAGAATCCATCCTGCAGCCTAGGATGCAATACATGCTGGCTGATGTATTGCATGGAGCCTGGCATTACAGACGGTGCATATGCTTATCGTCATGCAGGAAGTCGTTCAACATAAGAATCTTCATTATATTAAGCTTGTTGTCACAAGTTAGGAGTCGAAAGCTAGTTAGGGGGCAGTTATAGTCAACCCCTGAGCGCATCGGCGATAGAGACTTGTAGATCTGGTCAGTCAATCAGGAGCCGAACTGGTCTGGGTCAAAACCACAGCGACCAGCGAAGATTGTAGGAGCTTCTTCGAAGCGCGTCTCTGTAAATGGCACCATAAATTCGAAAGGCCCCATATATATAAGAAGAAAGCTAGTATTAGTAGTTATGGAGGATATTTTCGCTGACTCGGATTCTGTTGCACATTGCGTTCTGCCGTTCCCGACAGCCAAAGACGGGGGACCAATCCGGATCGAGATGGACCGTTCGGAAGGTCGGAGTCTAAGCTGGCAGCCACTCTTGGAAGTTGGAAGAGGCGCCCTATTATCTATTAATGTTTGATTATTGATTGATTACTACCCACCACCCAAACTGCCCCTTCGGTAGTAGATACTAGATAGATACTAGATAGATAGATAGTGGCCGAGGAGGGGTTGTTCATGACATCCCAGTAAGGGGGTTCAGGGAACATGACCGCCATTTCCGACAGACGTTCGTTGCTGATTCGATAACCCTTATTGCTGGAACAGAGACTGTCCACGAGGGCAAGCCAGTGAGATCCACTGATGGGGACTGCCTTGTACAAAACCGCCTCTTCCAAGCCCGATGGAGTCTTGGGACTGACGCAAAAGACCCAGAGCACGCGACTGGTTACCGTTCCGACGTCGCCGCGCGGCCACTGCCAACGTCCGAGAGGCCCAGGACAAGAACAGCCTTACGGCAGATGCAAAGATGGCCACAAGCGCGCTATCGTAGTGGACAGGTCAGTGAATATTTTCTGTTTCTTCACCCAACTCTCGCACCGTTCGGAATTGTCTCCTTTTTCTTGTTGCTGCATCCGTTCCCCTCAGGTTCTCGTTTTCATCCGACTGACAGAGTTCTCCAGTCGAGTCCCCACTCTGGCGCCAACCATCCCCATTGCACGCTATTAGTCTCTCTCTCCTCTTGCACGGTACTGCCGGAGGCAATCTTGTCTTTCGTGCTTGTGTTAGGGGAAGAAGTTCCTGCTTGATTTCGCCGCAGATCACTACGTACGGCGTCTCCGTCTTATCTCATTCTTCCCCCCTTTCCGTTGTTCGGTTTCTTCTCGTTTTCCTTTGGCCAAATCGTATACACTCAGCATCGTTGTGTGCAACCGCGCAACAAAGAGTGCCGCCGATCGCCCCCAGCGTTTATCGGCTTCGCCTGCGAAGCCCAGCGGCTTTCGCTGTCTCGCCTCCACCGTTCGTATCCGTCCTTTATGTCCGGACCCAATGCGCCTCTTTAGCAAATTTCACGCGGTCTGCGCCTTGGCTGTGTGCAGCATTCTCCTGTCAGCCTCCTTTCTTGCCTCTCAGCATTATTATCGCCGGGTAGTCTTGACAAAAGAGCCCACGTCAGACTTCCACGCCACAGCATCTTTCGACCGTCGCCTAGTCGTCTTTGGTGACTCGTGGAGCGATAACAATGCAGCCGAGCTTCAAGGATCTGTATGGACGGACTGGCTTTGTAACTCGGTGAGTGTGAAAGCTACTTGGCTGGATCGAAGTGGTAAGCTAATTACTCGGCTTAGTTCTCATGTCACCATGAAAACTTAGCAGAGACAGCCAAGTCTTTGAGAGGAAACTACATTGGCTCTGTGGTGGACAACACGGAGCTGTCGGGCTCCTTACTCAACCTCTACAAGTCTCCATTGGCGGATCTGAAAGCTCAGGTCGCCAATTGGATTGCGGCGGAGACGGAAGCCACGAGAGAGATGGATGCGACTGCAATTAGCATGCGTCAGAATGGCACCGTCGTGGTCGTCTCCTTTGGTGTATGGGACTTGTGGAACGTAATGGCCAAGACGTACGAGGATGCATCCCATGCAGTCGATCGCAATATCAAAGTCATTATGGAGGAGCTGAATTTGCTGGCCGAGACATGGGGCAGCAATGACCTCAAGATCATCCTAACATTAGCACCAGATGTAACCTTCCTGCCGGCCTATAGAGCGCAGGGGGCGCCGCAGATTACCAAGCACAAAGATGCCGTGAGGATCGCAGACTATTGGAACGGAGAGCTCCGCAATAACGCCGAAGATTGGTCAAACGGCACGATCTATTTGTTCGACACCAACTCGTTTCTGGCGGACCAGATTCGCGACTGGCAACTTTTTGCTGCAGGGATCGAGGAAGAGAATGGATTGGGGAGGAACGAGGATCCCGGTTGGGAGAATGTTGAAGACGCATGCGTCCAAAGCAGCCAGCAGTGGATGGTGACGTCAGGTGCGCAACAGTGCGACCGTCCGGAGAAATTTCTGTTCTGGTAAGGACAAGGCATTATGATTGGCGCCCATTGACTTGATCGAGTGCTGACCGTATCATTTTTCAGGAACGATATGCACCTGGGCCCCTCAGCACATAGGCTTCTGGGCGCGGAAGTGTTCCATGGAATTGAAGAGATGTGGCTCCGATGAAATTCCCTTAAACATCAAAATAAGAGAGCAGAGAAAAGAGAAAAAAATTCCAAAAGCGCAACCGATGAGGTCTTACTTGTTTTTTTTCATTACTTCTTGAGACGTAATTTCGCCAAGGACATGATGGGGGAAACTTGTTCTGTAGATGATTAGACATCGGCCGCTTCCCGGGACTATCAAACGCTGATGAACAGCACGATCAAATGGCGGCCTGCTTCTCTTATCTCCATTGAGCATGCCGCCCGACTATTCGACTGGTCTCTAGACGATGTGTCAATAGGTTTGAGACCATGTCTTTCTCCCCGCTCTGAGAATGGATGAGCAAGAGGAAAGAGTTTGGACTGGGGGAACACAACTGTTTCGAATCACGAGAGGTTTCAGGTCGCTACCGAACAAGGACCGAACAGGGAACTAACTGAGGTGGTATGTCTCATTGAGAATGAGCACGGAAGTCAGGCTGCCCCATCCGGAGACGGAAGATTGTAACGTGATGGCGGTGGAAGGTGGAGCAGGGATCGGAATGCGATCGCCACAGGGTAGATCGATCCGGCCTCCAGTCTGGGAATGGGGACACCTGCAACATCAACGTGTCAATGGAGACCCGTGAACCTTTCGATGGGTCGAGGGAACTACGGATCAGACTTTGGGGAGGGGAAGAATAATGGATCCTGACCAGACCCTGTTGGAAGGGCCCCCTTTGAAAGATGGTTGGGGAAAATCGCAGGGGTAACGGATGGTGCGGATGATGCTGGTGGATGGGATGTTGGTGGTCTCGGTGGTAAAGTACGGAGTAGTAAGGAGTAGTATCCAGTGCCAATTTGCCAAATCAGGCTGTTCGTTCTCTTCCCTGTTTTTGCTTTCGGTATTTTTTTTTGCTTCTTCTCTTTCTCTCTCTTATTTTTTTTTACTCCTCTTTCCTTTCATTCGGTGCTGGCTGTTAGTTTCTTTGTCTCCGAAAAGGATCGGCCTGCTGTCATGGAAGCCTCGGGAAGTTCTGTCATTAGCCAGGAGCTGTGCTGGATTAAAAGTACCTTTGCTTTAGATGGAGGAGAGAGGTGGAGATGGAGATGGCGGAATTCTGATACCGCCACCAAGAATGTATGTATTACATTGATGGTAGGGAGATGGTCCCATAAAACAAGAAGACCGTAGTAGCCATGGCCACGATGGCTGTTTTCCCTTTTTTTATGGGGAATGACGGAGTTCAGTACCCAGTGTAGATTAGTGGGTATCAAACTTCCAGGAACTACTACCTTAGAGAGCCAAGCAAGCACATTCAGTTAGTTCAAGTAGGTAGGATTTAGTAGGAACCAACCGATACATGCGAGGGAGCAAGCAAATAGCAAGCAGCCAGCAGCAAACAACAAGTACCTTCGAAGTACCACTCAGGCATCGGAGTAGGTACTACTACTGTAGAGGCTAGTGGTGGGTGCCAGACCATGGGAAGCAAAAGCAAAGCAAGCAGGATGATGCTGGCGAGAAATTAGACGGATTGGAAGACAATCAAACCCATTTGCGCATGTGTCACATTGGCGGTGGGCCAATTGCCAGGCCCGGTCGGGGAAAATTGACTGCGGATTGGTCCCAAATCACTGCAGCACACCGCATGCGGACGCCGAACAGACAAAGGAAAGCTAAAATGGCTCCAGGATTGAAACAATAAACCTGTATAGCCATCTCTATGCAACTAGTCGATAGGTGGCAGCTTGTCTTTACCAGGGAGGGTCTTGAGAGGGGGCAAAAAAAAAAGTAAAAAGGTAAAACAATTAGGCACTCAGGTCCCCGGGTTCAACTAAGTAGTAGCTCTCCAGGTAGCTACTGACTTACTGAAAGGCGTATTATTATCGAACTGCCCAAACATGTAAAATGAGGTCCCAAAAACAACAAGGCAATCAATCATCCAGAATAATGAGCTCTGGAAGGGCCCATTTCTCACCCCTACTGCTGACTCACCTCGCAAAAAAAGAACAGGTTCAGGTTGTTCAGGTTGTTGCTTTTCTGCTACTACCTCCCAAGTGCCCACTTTGTCTCTCTCGCCCTCTGGCTCTTCCTTTGCCCTTCCAGTTCTTTGGTACCCTTGGTTGGAGGTTCATCCAGGGACAGTAGAGTCAAGTCAAGGTACCTCTTCCTCCGCCCCAGTACAACACCACACCACACGCTGGAAGGAACCGTGATGTACGTCCTTCCCAACCCGGGAGGTTTCCTCACCATGAGGTTCCATCACTTCTGTCCGAACAGCTGTCTCTGGTGGGGATCCTCCCAACCGGACGAAGGACTCGGGTCCATCCTGACAGGGACAAAGAAACTAAAAAGCCCGGGATTTTTAGTCGTAGTCAAAGGGAGGGGCGCCAGACCGAAGGCCCCAAAGATAGCTCCCCATAACAAAGCACTTGAAAAGCCAAATCCTGGCTTTATCTCACTGGCGTCCCCTCGGCTTGGTTGGCTCGGCCTGAATGGAAATATCATTTCATTGTCAAAGAACGAGGAGGCAGCAAAAGGAAGGGAGAAAAAGAAAAGAAGATTACCCAGCAGAGAGGACACCCCTGACGCCTTCAAATAATAATTCAGCTGGATATTATTATCAACATTCTTATTATCATTATTATTCGACCTGAATTTGGATTTAAAATATTTCACGCCCAAGACACCAAACCAACAGTGACGGCCGCTCGATTGGAAAAGAGAAAAAGAAAAGAAAAGGTTAACAACAGCCTGCCTGGAAATACCCGGTGCTGCAGCACGAGGAGAAACTCATTCGTCTCGTTGACTATAACTATAACCTTATATTGGGGCTTTCTTTTCTTTCATCCACTTGTGCAGCGTCCGCCCATTCAAGGGCCACGGCTCTCTCTATAACCTCGATTTCTCACCCACCATCTCGCAGACTTTCATTATTCATTGCCCGCCATTTCCTTTCAAGTCTGCTGGTTCCCACTTCTCGCTCTGCCACCCCCCAAAAAGCCATTTGCTCTTTACTCCATAAAATAGATGTCATGTCTTACGATCGCGTCCTGCCCAAACCTCCTCTTCTACACCATGACAGCTCTCACCATCTCCCCTTGTCACGGCCTACTAGTAACCTCCTCGAGCATAAGATCATGAATGACGATGTCGCTAAAGTGTCTATGATGGACCGTCATCTGGACACTGCTGCTTTAAGTGGTCATCGTCGATTCACTGACACACTGCCTCCGGTACATCTGACCTCTCTGAATCGAAGCAAGGTAGCTCTCAACAAAGTCGCCTCCAACGCTGCCTCTGCTATTGAAACCCCGAAGCCCACGAACTTTCTAGCTACAAAGGCTATTCCTCTTCGTGAACGCTCATCTTTGTCAGAACGTTCGTCGTCATCTAGTCCAATCAAGTCATCCAATGCTCCCACCCCAAGGGAGTCGGCCACACAGTTCTGCCTCTGTCAGCCGGATCCGAAGATCCCTAGGCCTCGAAATGGTATGCAAGCTTGAAATCTGCTCGATTTGTTTCTTGAGCTGACAAACAGGTTAAAGCGTTCATCTTATACCGCCAACATTACCAAGCTGCAGTGGTCGCGCAGAACCCAGGCCTTGCCAATCCTGAAATCTCCAAAATTATTGGGGAGCAATGGAGAGGGCTTCCACAGGAGACAAAGGATGAGTGGAAAGCACTGGCAGAGGTAAGTGCATGTACTGTATCTATCTTTGAGTGGACCACCTAACTCTTGACAGGAGGAGAAAGCTCGGCACCAACAACAATACCCGGAGTATCGCTATCAGCCTCGTCGCTACGGTCGGGATGGGAATCTCCGGAGCGGAGCATCTGGCATCAGCCATAACCCTCCAGGCTCTACAGTCTGCAGCCGATGTGGAGGCCGTGTGATGAACCCTCCAGTATCACCGGAGACTCCTTATACACCCAGGGCCTCCTTTTTCGGTGGAAAATCGGCACCTGGGGAGGTCTTTTCAGCACGCAGTAACCAGTGTCGCGCCAAAGATCTGGACCGTGCTCCTAATGTCATCAAGCTTATCCCCAATGGTAATGGGGAATCACGCTTGCCTCGTCAGCATTTTGTGGAAAGCAGAAGCCGATCACCGGATAATAAGCGCAGGCGGTTGGGACCGCTTGGTCCTTACGATATCCGTGAAAGAAGCCCGGATTCTTCATATCCTGCATCTCCATACACTCCTCGCTCGGCAGTAGCAGACTCACGAGGTCTGTACCAGCCGCTACAGCAGCCACGGCCCGGCCGAAATTTCAAGGAGTATACCCCGCCGGATCCCAGCTTGAAACTTCCACCGCTACAAACAGCTACTCATGTCCCCGGAACTATCACCCCAACGACTCCATATTCGCATGATGGACCTAGCATCGAAGCCACCGTCATGACAATCCCGTTTCTCAACAAGATAAAGGTCTTGGCTAAGATCTCCCCGCCCTTGACGCCGGCATACCATGATGGATCGTCGTTCCGACGTGGGGCTGTGATAGCCGTGGATGGACAAGATCCTGTTCTTGTTAAAATAATGGTCGAATTTTTGAACAATACATTACAGAAGGAGGGTAGGTATCATACCCAAATCTTCGGAGGACCTGAGATTCGGTCTCGTGAGAGCTACTCCGAATCCGAGCAAATGGGTGATGCAACTGTCGACTACCTCAATATCATCTCCTCATGGCACCGCATCTCCGACGAAATAGTCAGCTTCGTGAAGCCTTCACGAGCATCATCGGAGTCAAAGTCAGTTGACGAAGAATCCACGCCAGGAGTGTCGCCACGGACTATTATACCCAAGACTGCTGATTTACAGATCAACTCTCCCGAGCAATTGAGCGATAATAGCTCTGTTTCGACAGTCTCCACCGGATTGGGTTCCATTACGATGCCCGTGCCTGTCGCACTTGTTCCCCGATACCAACTAACGACCGCGGATGCTTTTGCTTGCTCCGTCCCGATCGGGGATTCGTATGCACCACTTGACCACTGGCAGTGGATGGCATCTCTGTGGAGGGCGTGCGTAGGACCGGACATAACCGTGTACATCCGAGAATGCGAGAAGGACGAACTAGAGCGTCTTGGAGGCAGCCCCGTGGAAGTTCGTCTTCATGATGCACGAACCATTGTGGTTCGAAGACTGGCATCCTCACCAAGCGAACTGGAGGAAAAGTCACTTAAGAGAGTCGGCTTCGAGATTGAGGACTTTCTCACCCAATGAGCTTGTAATATGACCGAACCTAAATCATGCCAGCTTTGTCAGGCTCGCATATTCTTCTTTTCTTGTCTTTTCTTATGACATTCTTCTCCGGACATATGGGGGTTTTTTTACACTTTCATAAATTACCTTCCTTTTTATCTTCTTTCTTTACTTTGCTACTAGGCGCTGGCCTATGCTGCGGGGTTTCTGTCTGGTTCTGGGTTTTGTGGCTGAAAATGGGAGGCTTTTCTTGTAGATCTACTTATGAGCTCTGATAATATATGTCAGTGATCGATGATGTTTTCACCGACGTTGTGCACGAAGGCGCAGGCATCATTGCTTCTATCCTAGCACTTGATAAGGCTTACTGTATTAGTATTCCGTTCAACTTATCAAGAAAAATCACCCACCGATGCAGCCAGCCATCAGTAATAGTCCCCATATTTTAAAACGAAACATCTCGCTGCCTAAGGCCCCAACAGAAGCTCCTAATATAACCTAAACAGGTATAACGCATGGCGGTGGCCACCCCAGACCAATCACAGGCGAACCATGGCGGTGACTGCCCGCTTATCGGGATATCCTGGAATGCGCGGTGCGATGAATGAGGTTGTAACGCATTCCCTTCATTGGACTTGTCTTCTGAAGGGCGGGCAGGTCTGTTTCATGTGTTGTTTTAGCTTATTGCAGATATCTTGAGAGTTTCCCTTTTCTGTTTCAGTGGAATCCTTCAGCACGAACGAGTTTGATTGTATGGATGGGCTGCCCGCTAAAGGTTATCGCCTCTTCATGCAGCCTCCGCGACGGCAAAGGGGCACAACGACAGATCCTATACGGACGATATGTTGGCGACTAATGATGGCATGATACATGCTGGTACTGCGGCATTTATCACTGATGCTGTCGAAGTAGACCAGGTATGTTGTATGCGCTAATGTGTTTATTGAATTTGATTCGCCTTGCACTGGATGCTCGCTTCTGCGAAACTGAACTTCAATGCTCACTTTGCGATGCTTCAATCTCTGCAGATACAACCTCCCAGATTAGACTGTACCATGACTGCAAAAGATGATGATGCTCTCAACTCAACCGGGCCCGATTCTTCCGCAGATACCACCGTAACCGCGGTTTCTACGCCCACGCCTGCAACGCCGCAATCGGAACATTTTGCCTTGTCAAAGCCCATCGCGAGGGATAACCAGGCGGGGGGAAACGAGACTTCTCAGAACTTGAATAATTATATTGGCGTTGGTGTTTTGAGGAGGCGCAATGAAGGCTACGATAACGAATCCGCAGCCCCTGTCGAGCCTGATAACTTTCCGGCGTCGGAAGTCGCGGCCTTGGAAAGAAACAGCTGGATCTGGACTGAAACAATAGCATCTGGGGAGAAATCACTGCGGAGTGGTGTTCGCGTTTACGTGCTCCCTGATGACGTCGGGCGCAAGTCCATCCCGCGGTCGAGCACAGCATTGAGGCGCGCACTCAAGGCAGTCATGATGAGGATCGACAGATCAGTTGAAGCGTGGAACGGAAGTGTGCACGTAGATCTGAAGGTTGTCGATAACCCTGTGGGTAGTTTGGAGGACGAGTCTCTTTGGTATATCTTCAATACGCTACAGGATCCGGAACCCCAGTTGGATAGAATCAGGAATGTGTATGCGAGAAGAGCGATGCGAGAGCTACTTACAGTAACTGCGCATGGAGAGGAGGAATCAGGCCAAGATTACTCCGGGGTGCTGGGTCTGAAGACGCCTTTGTACCCTTACCAGCGTCGTTCGGCTGCTACTATGGTCCAGCGGGAAGCGCAGCCTGCGCAGATGTTGGATCCGCGGCTGCAGGCATTCAAGAGCCCTAGAGGCGAGGAATACTACTACGACAAGGAAGAAGGGAGCATATTTAGGGAGAAGAAGATGTATTCGGAGGCCTGTGGAGGTATGCTACCTATTCGATAATGCGTGAACGGCTGTCTGACTGGGTATAGGTATACTTGCGGAAACCATGGGTTGCGGTAAGACACTCATTTGCTTGGCTGTAATCCTGGCAACGCGTGGTCACTTTCCCGAGATACCGCTCGAATACCAGGAGATGAAGAACCCCGTCCGAGAAGTGACGGGAAGTCTTGTTGAGATGGCGGCGGCGACAGCAGGCCGCTTCTCACTGCCCTGGAAAACCCACTTCGACACTCTGGGCTATTACGGCACGTTCTATGAGCGATGTGTTAAGGAGTGTGAGAGGCACCGTGGCGCGTATACTATACCTCCACCTCCTGCAAGGCACAAAGGTCGAAGTGGAGTGGCGTATCCTAGACCGCCGCCTCAGCAAATCCGTCTTTGTTCGGGGACTTTGATCGTCGTGCCCCCTAATCTGGTCAACCACTGGCAGAATGAAATTTCGGCACATACCGATGGCTTGAAGGTGCTTGTACTACGAAACAGCTCTGACAAGACCCCCTCACCAGATGAGCTTCTGCAGTACGACATCGTTCTGTTTTCGCGAATCCGCTTCGAGAAGGAGGCGGGCGAGGTGGTCAATAATAGACGTAACTCCTTTACGCCCGAGGAGTCACCTTTGACGAAACTTCATTGGCTTCGGATAATTGTCGATGAAGGCCACAATGTGGCTGGTAGTGGTAATCGGACCACCATGATGCATATCCTGAGCCAGCTTCACATTGAGCGTCGGTGGATAGTGTCGGGAACCCCATCCAGCGGGCTGTATGGGGTAGAAGTCAGTCTGGCTTCACAGGAGACACATACTAGCGAAACTGATCTAACCGAGGCTACTACGACTGTACTCCGAGGTAGAAAGAAGACAGGGAACGCCTTGGACAGTGAGCTCAAGGATCTCGACAAGCTACGATATATCGTGATTGACTTCCTCGACCTGAAGCCGTGGTCTAACCCTCGAGCAAGTGACCCGGCTAACTGGACAAAGTACATAAAGCCCGTCGGCGAAGATGGCAGGCGACGGAAAGCACAGTCTCTCCGGGCTACCCTACAGAGCCTTGTTGTGCGACACCGTCTGGAGGTCATCCACAGTGAGATTCCTCTACCAAGACTGCATAACAAGGTCGTCCATCTGGAGCCTACCTTCTACGACAAATTGAACTTGAACATATTCATCTTCGGCCTAGCTGTCAATGCCGTCACTTCGGAGCGCAGCGACCAAGATTACATGTTCCATGCTCGCAACCGCAAGCACCTTAGCACTGTTATCAACAACCTTCGTCAGGCAGGATTTTGGTGGGCTGGCTCGGACGACATCTCCCCAACGATCGACATTGCCTTAAAGCATTTGGAACTACGCTCGGACAAAACAAGCGAAGAGGACGTAGAGACATTACGTGAAGGCATTCGAATTGCACAAAAGGCTCAAGCATCTGGATGTTGGTGCGCTTTCAAGAGGATGCATGAGCTCGGTGTCTTCATCCAGGACTTCCCTGAACACGCCCGGAGTATGTGGGCAATTGATTCGTCAGTCGCGCACCAAGAGCCACTTCTGCTGGGCATCACCCAGGCGCGTCACGCACAGAAATTTGTGACGAAGCATCTGAACACGTACGATCCAGCAGAAGGGCTTGCCGGTGCAGGAATCAAGGCCCGTCGCGAGCTCTCAGGACGAGAAGGGGACAATCTGAGTCCGAAGAAGACCACACCAGACAAACCCGTCAAAAGCAACTCACCCAAAAAGACATACACCAAGGGACTATTTAAGAGCTTACCGGAGGAGTCCCCTCTCATGCGAACCAAACTCGTCGCCACGGCCTCAGCAAAGCTAACATATCTCCTGGACCAAGTATCAGAGCTGCACAAAACCGAGAAAATTATCATCTTCTACGACAACAACAACGCCGCCTTCTGGATTGCCGAAGGTCTCGAACTCCTCGGTGTAGACTTCCGCATCTATGCCAGCACCCTTAAACCCACCATGAGAGCAGAATACCTCGCCCTATTCCGCGAGTCAGAAGAGGTGCGCGTCCTTCTAATGGACCTGCGCCAGGCATCGCACGGCCTGCACATCGCCAACGCCTCCCGAGTCTTCATAGTCAATCCTATCTGGCAACCGAACGTCGAAAGCCAGGCCATCAAACGAGCCCATCGAATCGGACAGACCCGCCCCGTGTTCGTCGAGACCCTCGTCCTCAAAGACACTCTTGAAGACAAGATGTTGAAGCGCAGAAAAGCAATGACAGACAGCGAGATCCATCACGCGGAACGAGACCTCCTGGACGACAGCACCATGAGTTCCATCATCCAGAACGAGCGTTACATCCCGATGCCCGAAACCGAAGACTCTAGCTTTACCCGAGGCGCGTTTCTGAAACACCCTGCTGGCCTCTTCGATCGACACAAGCTCGCAATTGCCGATGACGACGAGGAAGGAATAATTGGGCCGGGACTCCCGGAACACAGCACCCCGCGGAAGCGGAAACATGTCAGAACTGTTGATATAGGCGAGAGCACCGACGAGCCGGATCTCGTCACGCCAAAAAGGCGCAAATCTACGTCCCCTGGTCTGGACTTCCTCTCGCCGCAGGGCATCCTCATGACACCGCCGCGAGTCTGGAGCAGGTCTCCTCGGGCGTCGCCATTTCCGACGGTGCTGTCTCCCACGGTAGAAACAGATAGTGCTCACGCGAGCACTGACGGTGCAGAAGCAGCTAGCAAACCGGGGAAGAAGAGGGTATCTTTGTTCGGAGGCGCGTGTGCTGATTGACGACATAGAATGACTGCTGTACCTAGATGACTGTAAATGATATCAACTATGCCCAGAATCTCATATACACCCATAGTAACACACCATAGCTACCGAACAATTCTAATCCCCTATCCATCCATCCTGCATGTAACCATCACGCAGAGACATGGACTAGTAAATATTAACACCCCCGATAAGGAAAACAACCACACCCCTCCGATCAGATAAGGCTGCCCCACCCAGCCCCACCATGCCTATATCACATCACGTCGGTCTTTCAACTTTCCCACCTTCATCATCCATTGCTCCCCTTCCCAATTCCCCAACGTCCACAGCCCAAAATGCCCCCACCTCCTGAAAGACAAAAAACAACCATAGTCGCCATCTCCGGCCCCTCCAGCAGCGGCAAAACCACCCTCGCGCGCCTCCTCCAGCGCATCTTCTCCAAACTAACCCCGCAGGCAACAAACACAACCACGAACACGAACCTACGAACATTCATCGTCCACGAAGACGACTTTTACCACCCAGATGACAAGTACATTTCCCATACCTTCTATATCCATCTCATCTAATAACAAAAACCAACAGAATCCCCCCTAATTCCCCACCCGCGCGACCCCACCACGCAGATCCAAAACTGGGACACTCTTTCCGCGCTCGACATCCCCTTCCTCAGCGCATCACTATCCTACATCCATGCGCATGGACACCTCCCGCCACGCTTACGCTCCAAGGAGGATTTGAACGATGTGGCCGAGTCCGGGGTGTCAGAGGAGGTTGTTTCTCGGATGAGGGAGGTGGTTAGGGGGCGAGTACCTTCCTACTTTCTGGAGGATAATACCAACTCTGTTTCTGGGGATGGTGTCAGGACAATCGTCTTTCTGGAGGGTTTCCTGTTATTCGCACCCCCGAAGGAGGAAGATCCGCGGCATGGGTTGAGGGATGTGCAGGAGAAGATGGACGTGAGGTTGTTTTTGCCGGCGAGGTATGACAATGTGAAGGAGAGGAGGGAGGGGAGGAGTGGGTATGTGACTATTGGGCCGGCGCCGGTGCAGCAGGGTGGTGGTGGTGGTACGGAGTTGCCGCAGAGAGGGTCAGTGGAGGTGGATTTGGAGGAGGAGGATGATCGGCCGCCGCAGAGTTTCTGGGAGGATCCGCCGGGATATGTTGATGATATTGTGTGGCCTAATTATGTGCAGGATCATGCGTGGTTGTTGTTGCCGGAGGGGGAAGAAGGGTCGGCTCAGACGGCATGGAAGGATGCGGACACGCAGGAGCTGGTCAGGTTGGTGGGACAGGGAGTGAATCTCAGATTGGATACAGGTGTAACGGTGGCTCCTGGACAAGGAAAGGCGTCCATGACAGACATCCTCGAGTGGGCTGTCGAGGAAGTACTCAAGCATATTGCGGAAACAGAAGGACAATGAGAACCTGGTTCATCTGTAGTACCTAACTACACAGGGTACCTCCCCGAAGCCATTTTTTACATTAATATCAGTACCTATTCTTCCTGCCCTCTTAAGATTGCGCGACAGTCTCGCCGTGAATCTCGCTGTTGGCCGGGCCCCGCCACCCAAGCCAGTAATCAACCCTGTCCCGGAAAGTCAACTCTTGTTCAGCTTGCGGTGACTCAAGGCTTCGCGGTCCAGCTGGTGCCGACCTTGTTGACTCTTGATCCGGCTTCGTGGTCTCAGTATCCATTGTTACCTCTTCGTTCGCCTCTACGGAAATGCTGACTCCTGGTGTTGGTTCATCCTTGGAGTTGCCCTCCCATGACCTATCGGGCTGGCTGGTGTAGCTATGCCAGTGTACTGCCGTTGGTTGACTCATATTAAGGCTTTCCGCATCCATATTAGCAACAGTGGATGTCGCCTTAGTTGGTGAAGCCACAGCGTCAATAACGGTATTATTGAGCCAGAACGCAAGAATTGTTCCCAGAACATAGATAGCGCAAATGAAAACGAGTCTCATCTTTTGTATAACGTTCTCTGATCTCGGAATATTCGCGGAGTTATTCATTGGCTGTTTGTCCGTAGCAGGCAGGTCCGCCACGATAGCAATGGCATCTCTTATACCTGCGGGCTCTTTCGAGTCATCGATCTCAGGTTCCCCCATTTCGTAGCCACGAGAACGCTCAATGCGTGAAAGTGATACAGCCTCCACTTTCTCAAATGTCCGTCGGAGATGATGTCTAACACGGTCACTGGGGCTGGAAAATGCCGGGTAAATTCGTGGGAGCCAACTGATTGCATGGTGCCCGGGAAGCCGAACTGTCCAGTTCACACAGAACAATTCAAGATCTCGGGGCGAGCAAACGATCTGTAGATACGCAGATCCAATACCGACATTCTCTCTTGCTGGGATATGGATCATCTTCAGACCGCTTTCTTGAGAATCAAGTTTACTGCGGAAAACACTATCTGGTCCCCCATCGATGGACAGAATGAGACAGCATGTTTCGGCCCAAAAGCAACGATTGTGCAGTCTGACAGAGCAAACAGCGTGGTATGTTGCTTGTAATTCTGGCGGACTTTCTACTTTGACAGAGGCCAATGCATATTCGGCCCTGATTTCCTGGTGTACCGTAAAGTCCTTGACAACTCCGTAAAACTTCCGCTCGCACCTTCGAACAGGGATCACAAGGTCACCCGTATAGCTGAACTCACCCAGGAAGCAATTTTCCACGATCTTATGCCTCTGTAAGTTCGTCGTACGGAACTCGAGACCATATTCCTCTGGCATGAGGAAAAGGAGGTATCCGTACTCGCCAGGTACCAACTTAGGTAGGCCTTGGATAACTAAGTCATTCCATCCGCTTTGCTTTCTTTGCCGCAGAGACACAGATATGGTAACAATGAGCTTGTAGTGTTCTGGCTGGACATTGGAAGGATTCTTGACTATTAGAATACCACGGTTAATATCAAATACTGGTTCGCAGTGTACATCTGCGCGTGACTCGTCATCATGACTTTGCGGGGAGGTCTCCTTATCATCCGCAGTCTTCCCATGAGAAGGTTGCGGTATGGTGAGCTTGGGAAGTAGCCGAGCCTTTGCGATCTCCTCTGGTTCAATTTCAGCTACCATAGGTACCTCTCCGGGGTCAGAATTGGATAGTGGCGATTCTTTCAAAGCTGGAATGGATGGTGTTGAGTCCGCATTTGACCATTTCCAGAAGGGGTCTTTGCGCACTTCGCCCGATACTTTTGTAGTATCTTCATTTGAAGGCTCAGGTAACGGTGTCATTTCATCAATCAATGAGAAACATGGATCAGCCTCACCAAAGACGGACCCCGCAACCTCTGGCTGTTCAGGATCATGAACTGGTTCTTTGCCTGTGTCTGAATGAGCTAGTGAAGACTCGAAAGTAGCACCAGCATCACTGGCTTCGAGCTTCATGCTACTTGCTATGTCCTTGACCTCAAAAGCACTATTAACACCCTTGGTTTGCGTACTGCCGGAAAATATTTTTTGTGTTATGTTGTCAGTCTGGGGTACGAACTCTCCGCTGAGGGGTTCATGCTGCTTTTCTCTGGGAAGCGGGGAGTTGGAGACCAAGTGCCCACTGTGGTTTGCCCAGCCCTCAGACACTCTCCTTTTGGGCTCAAATTTTGTAGAACTAATTCTGTCAATATGGTTTTGCTGCGCCGCTTTCCTACTTTGACCCTCTTCCGTATCCGAGCCCGGCTGAGATTCCGTCAGGCCTGCCGCTGCAGCACTTCTCTTTCCCAGACTATGCTGCTTGATAGCATCTATAAACCTAGTATATTCATCGCTATGATCGGACGCAGATGATACTTGAGCCGAATGATGATCCAGCTGATCGAGCCCAGTATCGCAAATAGAGAGGTTTTCAACAGTTCCATCGACCGAGGATACCAAGTTTTGAGCCGAACTCTCGATATTTGCGGGCACATTTCCCCCAGAAGACTCTGAGCCAGATACCGGGGAATGTGCAGGGTAAGACTCTGTTGTAGTTGAAGAAAAGGCGAATAAAGGACTCTGAGGGGAGCTCGAGCTTGACCAAGTACCGTCACTATACTGGTCAGGCTGAAGCCGAACCAACTGTGTATTGACGATAGAAACCCCGGCAGATCGGATGTTCAAGATAGATAGCTGCGTGCTCGGAATACAATGGACCTAGTCCGAAGAAGGGGAGAAATTCTCGATGAGCAGCGGACAGAGTACAGTAATGGGGATGTAGCAGCTCACCACCATAGAGATTCTGCAGTTGACGGGCTCGTCTAGGCTACCGCTCCAGGTACTTCGAATGTCCAAATTTGAAACCTCTGGAGAAGCCTGGAGCAGAGGTACTTGACGGCTTCCGTCTTTGTAGGAAGCCATGATTAGGACAGTGGTGGTTTGACGATGCGTTGGGGTAAGAATATCAGAGCAGACGCGGATGGACGACAACAGAGACAACACAGCTGCGTGTAGGCAAAATGATCGTAAGAGCAAAGTGGGGAGCAAGGCCGAAAGAGTGAATGCTAGCAACTGTGGAGTGAGAAGTGAAGGCGAGGCTGTCAACGAGGGGAAGAAGCCGGTTGAATCCCACCTCCAGTTGGGATTTTCCCCCAAAAAGGAAGGCAACATCCGGCCTAACCTCAGGCAGCCAGCCTTAGTCCGCGTATATAGTTTCGGTGCTGGAAGGAACCTTACAAACACCAGTTGATTTGCTTCGGGCTAGTTCAACTTAATAATAACGAGAAGTGGCAGCATAGCCATTAAGCTACCCATCTCATGTCAAATTCTGTTTCAAGTTAATATGTACAATGAAGTCAACCGTCCAGCCATCATCCGTCATCACTCGATCCAAAGCCGTAACCATAACATAATAACGGGGAATAGAAATAACAATCAAACACCTGTAGTATGGTTATCCCATTTTAAATCCCCGAGGCGCCATTTATCCCCAGAGCCCGATTCTTGTTCCCAGTAAAAGCAAAACACCCGTCCAACTGTCTATCCAAGGAGGTAAAAGCAAAGAGAGAGAGAGAAAGAACAACCAGAGCAAATTCGACCATCGATCAAGACCACAAGCAACCGAGCCACAGTGGCTGAGCACTCCGAAACCACTCATCGCGGGGTCCCATTCGCTGAAGCAGGATGCTCAAAAGACGCCTGGCCAGGAGTAGAACCGTACCTGTCCACTTCATTGGTAGGAATAGGTTGTGATGGAAGGATCGGTGTCGCCGCTTGGGAAGATTGATCAAAGTAGCCTCGTGCCGCTGCACCGTTGGTGCCTTGAGCAAAATTTCGATTCCGTTGTTGCAAAGGAGGAAGGATTGTGGACCCAGTCTGGTATTGCGAACGAGGGTAGCTTTGTGGCATCATTGCTCCCGTCGAGTCCGCTGTCTATCCAGAATAATATACGGTTCTTAGCTTCTCGACCTTAACGACGGGTGGTAGGCGGAGTCCATACAGGAGTACCAGGCGCGTTGACCATTCCTAAGGACTGCATCGTGGCCTGTTGGCTGGATCGACCGTGTGCCCCAGGGTCTTGCATCTGGGGTACCTGAGTGGAGGATGGGATTCCGTAAGACATCTGCTATATTGTTAGCATCCTGCTAGAAACATCCGGCCTCTGGAGACGGCGCTTCGTGGGAGCATTGCTGTCCTCCCAAGCCGGTCTTTGAAGTAATGAATCAGGCAGACGAACCGCATAATCTGGAACCGCCGTGTGTCCGGCAGGATAGCCTTGCATCATAGGAGTTGCGTAGCCCCCTGGCTGATTGTAGATCGCCGTTTGAGGGTACGTATCCATCTGACGCATCCGCCCATCTGCGTCATACATCCCTCGGGTCCCAAGGTCTATAGACGACATTCGCGGCCGCTTACTGGGGTGTGTCTGCTGTCCATAGTACCCATAGTCTCTACTCGTTGTCGGGTAAGCGCTGAACGCGTTGCTTGGCATCTGGATCGAAGAACGATCGGGCGAGCGCGGAATCGGCTGCGGATACTCCTCTGGCCGGGGTACAGGCCGTTTGCTGTCTCACTGGTCAATCATACAAAGCCACTTCTCGCAGGTTTCCCAGTCACTCGGCTACTTCACTCACATTAGTGTTCGTGGCTCCTTTCTAATTCTCAACTTCACACCTTGGTCCGCAAAAGATCTGGAGAGGAACGTCGACTCTGCCATGCCCGGAAAGCTCTTTGGCGGGTACACTGTACGGAGTCAGGAGCTGCGTTCTCAAGAAAAGGATTTCACGAGGACGTAAACGAACCGGTAAATCTATCCGTGATGATGGACTTAAGATGGGTTACGACGTCCCTTTAAATCGCCGCAAAATCAGCATGCGCTTCTCACAAGTCTGTGGAGAGGCTCGCTGGGAGCCATTGCAGGGCCAAAGAAACCTACTTTCGCATTTCGAAGAGAGTGAACTTGAGCCGGAAATCTCCTTCGATTTTTACTGACAAGTCCCCCCAAACGAAGAATCCCCCATCTGGGCCAGGTCCAGTCAGTAAGCCAAATCTAGACCTGTTTTTGAAGCTCATTCGAAGACCAAACTTACCAGTATTGTCCACATCTTTCAACCTGTGGAGAGACGAAACCAGTGTGCCGGTCAGAGCAGTGGACGGGGCCACGGGAACTGGGTTATCCTCTGACGCATCATACAAGCTGCAGCACATAAAATAATAAGGGCTTTGCAAGTAATGCCTATCGGTGTTTTGTCAGTGGGCCTGTTTCTCCAACGCAGCACCAATTTCAAGCGCGAACACCTACTGCGCGAGATAGGTCCCCTCCTCTCTGACTCGGATCTGCACAATCGGCGGCGGATCTACTGGCTTGCGTTCTGCAGCGCGAAAACGGGTCCCAAGTCAACCTCTGCTCGTCCGTAGGGGCGTTGCTTCTCAGGAAGAAAAACCGAAGAGACTAGCAAAGCCGGTGATTCCACATACCTTTCTCCTTCCCACCCGCCACGCGCGCCCTGTTGGGCTGCTGGCGAACGATCAGGTCAAAGTCGGAGCTGGTAATCATAGTCAGTTGGATGCCCTGGGTAGCTGAGTAAGAGTTGGAAGTTATTTTAACAAGGTCCAGCAAACTGGGAGGACAAACCTCTGAGTATCGCGGGCAAGGGAAGCGTCCGGAAACGTCGACGCACTCATCAAGGCGAGCTCTCAAGGATCTGAACCTAAGCAAATACGGGAGCCAAAGGATCCAAGTCGGATATCCGCAAGGACAGACAGCTGCGAACCACGTCTGAACAACAGAAGGTGGCCAGGGGAAAAGTGAGATATGATGAAGAAACAAAGAATGAACCGATGGATTAACAGCAGGGAAGAAGAGTTCGGGTCTCTGGAACCTAGCAGCCAGCGACTTGTGGTTCGACGAAGCACTAGAAGAGAGAATGATACACGGTGGGGGTGAAAGAGGGGAGTTGGGGTTGGTTAAAGATGGGACACGACGGTATGATTGACTAGTTAGTCAGTCCGTAGCAGCTGGAGCTGGACCTTCGACCCAACTTCCGGAGTGGAGAATCCGTAGGAAAACACCGTCTGGGCTGCCACTTGCGTCGGGACGCTGGGAAGGATGGCCGAAATTGCAGTAGCACCGTCAAGTAGTTTTTGAGCTGCAATGAGGCGAATGCGGTACGAAAACGGCGCCGAGAAGGAAGAAAAAGATGGATGGTGTCGTCAGAATGCAAGCGGCAAGAGCCAGCCGAGCACGGTTCCAGACAAACCTTAACCAGCCAATTCGACCCAAGTGGATTGCTAACTAAGTTGCTTTGCTTCCTTTTCCACCTCTTCTCACTTGTGACTGGGCTGCTTTCTTTTGGCTCTTATAGGGGAGTAAAGCTGCTTGGGTTTTGCGGCTGCTGCTGCTGCTGTTGCTGTTGTTGCTGCGGCTCTGATTCGAAAATAATGTAGTAGAAGCGTGTTCGTCAACTTTTCTTTATTTTCCTCTTGTTAATTTTCTTTCTTTTTTTTTTCTTTTTTCTTTTTCCTTTTTTCTTTCTCCAATTAAACTCTTTTGGTTTTCTCTTTTTTCGCTTCCTTTTTTTTTTTTTTCCTCCCCTCTCTTTATGTGTCGGTCTTGTTTTATTTCACTTGTTTTTGCGTGTTATTCAAAGACTTCCTTTCCCTTAAAGAAAAAAAAAAAAAATTTTTTTCCCTTCACCCTTTGGCTCTTTCGAAGTCTTCCCAGTAATATTTTTTTTCAACACCCTTGGAGGGATATTCTTCACGTGAGGATGAAACGTCGTGGGTGCCTGGCCAATCTTTCTTTTGGCACCTTCACCTGAAGAAAATTCCGGGAATCCAAATGGTGCTCTGCTGCGACCGTGGTGTTTGGGTCATTCAAATGGACGCCCGGGTCTAGACATCACAGATCGCGCGGCCGAGTAAAGAGAGAAAAAAAAAATAATAATTGAGGGAAATCACAGACCAACTCAAGCGGAAAACAAAATAATTTTCGCGCCCCTCCTTCAAAACAAAATTTGCCCAAAAGTCAAATGAATAATAATAGTAGCAGCAGCAGCAATAGTAGTTTGAAGCGAGCGAGCACTAGGTGTGGCGGGATTGAACACCGCCCAGCGATCAGACGGTAGCTGAACGATGGGTCAACAAAGTCGCCTCTGACAGGTCTCTGACGCACAAAAATCCACGAAAAGAAATGCGTGGTGCCCGTGGTGTGTCAAAATTAGGAAGTCTAGGGTAAAAATTTACTGGTAATCAAGAGGACAGCCAGCTGAAGGGTGAACCAGACAAATGGCCTAGTGGAGCTGTACCGGAAATCGCAGAGCAACGCCGGCCACTGTTCGGCCGTCGAATGGTATCGTTCCCAGTCAGGTCAACCACGGTTGGGCATGCGGGCTAGGGTGTTGTATCAGCCTTGACGATCCGACAGGAACCGCAGCGACATGGAGATGATGCGCACATTGGCAAGTCCCGAGGAAAAAAAGCGAGGGAGGGGAAATGACAAAAAGTCGCATCCAAACTGCGGCCACCTGCGCAAGACTGAAAGTCTACTTCCCTCCTTCTTGGCTGGATCGTCTGAGAACTGACAACAGACCACTGGTTCGAGTTAGGCACGAAATCCACCGCGTTTGCGGCAAGCCACTATCCCCTTCCCCGAGCAATTCCCCAACCCACACGCGCAACGGCGTGGTCTCGTGCGCGTGGAGATGGAGCCGGCTATGCAAGTGATCAGACCCGTATCTAGGCGCCACACAGGGTCTCCAGGTCTTGATTTGACGCCCGTGAAGTTGTTTGATGCTGGTCGGTGCGCGCGTCTAAAGTCTCCAGTCGGACTCGTACTGTTTCGTCGTTCCTCTAGCACTGTACTGAGAAGAAGCCAGTTATCTTTGCGCTGTTTTAGGGAGAGCGACGCTCATCCGTAGATAGGCCCTTTAGTCCGTCGCCCTTTTTCAGTTGTTGGCTCCTACTTATCCGCCTATCAAAGTTTCTCTGCGTTTCGGCCGAGGAGTCAGCATCATAAGCAGCAACATCATCCCTCTTCATCACCTCACTCCCCTTCACACCACCGCTACCATGATCAATAACGACACAGCATCACAAGGACACGACGAACCATTGACTGACCTCTTATGTCATCCACTGGGAACCGTGTTTCTAGACAAAGGGAAGATCCAAGGTCGAGAAGACGGCAGGAGGGGTTCAGGGCCCCAAGGCCCACTCAATAATCCTTTGAGCCCTTTGTTAGACTTGAGCTGATCCGTCAATCAAAATTAACTTTGTTCAAGCAATTCGACACTTGAGGCTTTTGGACGCTGCCTACCTATTCTGTACCCGCTCTTTAGTCGCGTGGTATTGCTTGGGTTTGTTCGGGGAGGGCGCACCGGCTTGTCTATTGATCCCCAAAGATGTTGGAGAGAGGAGGTATGGAGGAAGAGAGTTTGGGCGGTAGTTTCAAGGCGATGCGGTTTGGCCAAGAAGACCGGCGACGAAGTGTTGCTGCTTTTGCTGCTGCTGCCAACCCCGGTCTGTGTCACGAGGGCCCATCCCCTGTCTGTTCGTCTTCCCCTCGACAGCAAAGGCTGCAGCCAATTCCAAAATTCCAAATCCCTTTGCTCGGGGATTTATTCTCTTCGACCTTCGGCTGTCTCACTCTGTACTGATTTTTGTACGACAGCGGGATTGACCACCCCTTATCTTGATATCTCTCACCCCGCGATGTTCACAAGATGGGGATTCCCTCAGCGACGACGCTCCAAGTGAAAGGAAGCTGACGATCGTGGACCACCACCACTCTGGCCGGAACACGAGAAGAAAAAGAAATGAAAAGAATATGAAAGAGAGGAACAGATAAAATAAATATGAAATCGATCACAATGAGGATAGTCAACCAGAGGTGGGAGTGGGCCTCTTTTCAACGTGCAGGCGTGGGGAAACAGGTCGGGCTTGAAAGTCAACCTTTCTTAGCTTCTGCTGCTGCTGCATTCCTGGGACCTAGCCCGAGAGATGCATCACATTGCCTGGAATTTGACACGCAGGTCGCAGAGCTTGCGTCCCGCTCATACATTCATACTGTTGCGCTGCTGGAAGGTTGATTCGATCTCGGGGAACGGGGCGCTCACCCCTCAGCAGAGCCGGGCCGCCAGAGATCGGATCGCTGGGCTGATGCGGCGTTGAGAAAGTAAGCATGCATGAGTCGTTTCTGAAAAAGAGGGATCGTCGAGAGCAATTCTTCCCTCTCACTTGCCTAAGCGAGATTCAGCAATGAAGAGCTAACCTTACTTAAATAGTGTTGACCATCTGGTTGGACTACGCAGCTTCTCCATGCATAATCTGAGGGTTCCTGGTTCACGCTGTGTAAAAGCGCGGCTGAGAATTACGCTTCCTTGTTTCCTCCGTACAGCGCCTTTTCCCCCTTGGATTTCCCATCTGATTTTTGGCCCTTTTTCCCCCGACCTTTCATTTATTTTTCCCCTTGTACCCTTTCTATTTTCGGGGGGTTCCTGGGGAAACCTTTCACCCTTCCCCTCAGATGCGTTGCATTGCGTACGGATCCTGGATCTTATTAGGTGGTAGTGGCAGCTGCATCTAGCCGCATCAACTGCGAAGCTACTGGTTCCAGGAGCCCACAATCGCGATTCTCGCCATTTGCCAAGTGTCAAGCATAACTGGATGATCAACTTCGGCTGAGATACTGTATTTCTTCGTTCAGCGCAGCGACGGGCTCAACTATCATCCCTAAGAGGTTGGCATTACCTCAGACAGAAGTCCGAGGTTCATCAAGAAAATTATCACGTAGGAAGGATCAGCAAAAAGCATGCGTCCGATGATTGGCAATCCCTATGCAAGGGTGGCATAGACCAATGCCTGAGTTTGTAAGGATATGGATGGGCAGAGGTCCAGGATAGCGGAGCTTTGGACATGGTACCTGCAAGTCAGGAACGAAACCCATCCCCGACGGGAAAAAAAAGAAACCAGTGGAGAAAAAAAGGTTGATAGGAATTTCTGACGATTATTGCGGTTTATTTTGTCCGCCGCACGACTCAATGAAGCCATCCGATTGACGACGGAGGTAAGCAGGGATGAGAGGGAAAAGAAGAGAGGAGGGTAAAAGGAAAAAAAGAAAAAGAAAAGAAAAAAACCAAGTACGGAGTATAATGGGGCAGCAAATGGGGAGTAAAACCAAGGAAGACCTGCTCTAGTCCATTCATCACTTGTGGATGGGTACGGAGCACACACTTACACTCACAGAAACACACGCTGGGACTGATCGACACCATAGACAGAGAGACCTGTCAGCAAGTCTTCGGATGCGATGCTACCATGGCGCCCTTTAGCCAAGAAAAATTCCTACACCACAAGTGTACCGATAATGCCACGTTTTGATGGCAGAATGTACGAGGTTACCGAGTCATGACAACGAAACAATGAAGCTTTGGGATGGACATTATCGTTGATTGACGGACGCTGAATGGGCGAATAGCCACAGACGCACACCCACACACACACACAGATACACACACACACACACCGAGAACAGGCAGTGGAAAGCCCACTGTGGATTCTTAGTTTGAAGGAATATTTTCCCTACCGCCATGACCCTATTAGGGAGGTGAAAATTACCACAGAAAGACAGCAGCGAAAGGAACTCTGGAGAGGGGAAAGAAAAAAATTACTGATAAAATCAGGGTGGGTAAAGAAATGCAAATGACTTAGAAAAGAGAGTTAAGGTAAAAAAAAAAAAACAAAATAAAAGGAAAACTGGAAAAAAAGAGAAGCGCCAGAGAATCACCAACACTAAGGAACTAATTTTTTTTTTCGCACATTTCCCCCCTCCTTTTCCTGTCTCTCAACAATCGAACAGTTGACCCTCTCTCCCCTTTCGACCATTTACATATCCGGTGGGGACACCGACTAAATGCACGATGAAGTGTTCGGCGGACCCAAGCGGTTGCCTTTCTGTCCAGACTCCAGCTAGCACGGGGAGCGAAACCTTTCCTGGTTATTGTTGACAGCGGTCCGCCGAACATCCCCAGTCCGAACCAGACTTTCATCAACGCTTAGTCTACGCTACAGTTATGCTTATTCGGGGTCTGGGGGCGGTTCCGAATTTCAAGAAGATCTGACCCAGGGTATGTTCCTTGGAGGCTAGAACTTCCTGGGTTCGCTCCTCGCCGGTTCTTCAGGAGCTCCAGGCGGCAGCCGAGGCCCGCCCAGTCCCTGTTTGTGATTGTTGATTCACTACTGGAACAAGAATTCCTGATCGCGGTTCGGCCGGGGTTCCATCCACAGAATAGTCCTTCTTCCATTGCATCGTCCGCGCCGGAAGGTGCACAAAAGAAAATCTTAATCCTTCGCTAATCGCGAGTAATAATTATCGACGCCTCAGCTGGTCCGACTAAGGAGTGCCCGAACAGGGATCCGGGCCTATCGAAGACCCCGAAAAGACCCCGGGAAGCCTTTATCGAAGCGATCAGAAAGCATCAGTAGGGAAGGCCGGGTGATTTGTAAGAAGAAGGCTAGATGATTGCACGAAGTACGGCGACGGGGAGGAGGGGATGGGCCGGAGAGAAAATTTCCTGACTAACTGACAGATCATCTACAGAATCCGAGAGGTCAGACGGGCTAAGACGCCTCTCATCCGCTAATTGATTCGATGACGGGCTCGCCATTATTATCGATTGATTGACTTATCGTTGCTCCAGGATCAGATATGGTGACTTCCTTTGTCCCTCTTTTCGGCCGAAGCTTTTGATTCCATATCCTTTTCCTTCCTCCTGGAAGGGATGAATTGAGGCACAGAGCAAACCATCGCCATTCACCGCCAACCCAGCCCAGATCGAACGTCATCACGCAGCGCTGTACAAACACTCCACACAATGGCTATTGTCATGAATGGGGCATGTGAAATTCCAAATTCTCCATCAAACATGCAGTCGAGATCGCAGGATGCGAAACAGCATCTCCACTGCACCACACGGGGGGTGGGTGGGCTTGTACCTAGCAGACACTATCACCACCATGAATGCAGCCCAGACGTACTGTACATGCCAGCCGCATCGCCACATCAGCACAGGATTAAGTACGATGTGCAGGAAGTCCGGAGCTGCTCGGCACATGAGCCACACCTCGGTTCATTCTGGCTGGGGACTTGAGAAAAGTCCTACCCGTCGAGTGCTTCGTGGTCCCACTCAGCAACGCGATGACCTGTAACCTACTAGTAACTGATCAGAAGAGGGAAACGACCGGGCTCAACTCTACACGGTATCCAGGATTCTCTCTAAATCCATTTCGTACTAATGAAATCAACCTGTGCGCCCCTCACAGTGCTGTGATTTCCGTGTACTCTGGCCTGGTGAGTAGATCAATAAGCCACTAACCCCGAACGGGGATTCCTCGGAAAAGGATTCCAAAAGCTGACCTCGAAGCCACATTCCTTGCTGCTGAGTATACCGCCACCGCCCGAGAGGGGCATTTTGTAGATGGTCAATCTCGCTATGTTTCGAGTCTTTAGCCACCGGGAAGAGAGAGCAAAAAAAAAAAAAAAAAAAAAAAAAAAGGGATAATTATATTGTATTTGTACAGAGTAAGAGTATACTGCGCACTTTCTACAGCAAAGATAGATACTCCATAGTAGAAGGATAGTAACAAAGTAGGTAGGTAGCTACCTAGGCAAGGGCCATACCCCTCCCCTCCTAAGCCCAAAAAGAAGAGGAAAACACAAAACGCATGCAGCGAAAGTCACTCCCCCTCACCAAATCAAAAAAGAAAAGAGAAGAAATAAAACCAAATAAAATAATAAAATAATAAACCAAATAAACAAAAAAAAAAAGAAAAAGAAAAATATTCCCACGAGAAAAAGTCCAAGAAGTACACCCTAAGTTACTCTCCGTATCTACAAAGTAAATGCAAAGTAAACTTTCAGACTCCTCTTGTCTCTGGATGAATTCCTGGAAATCTACTCTCACGCAACCTTACCCACTTTTTTCTTTCTTTCAACTGCTCTCATTTTCTCCCCTCAAATCCAACGCTGCAAGTTATCTGCAAGAACCACCTGGCCAAACTCTAAGTTGCCTTGCCTTTTTTTTTTTATTTCTCTACCTTGTCTAATATAATCTTCTTCTCTTTTTTTTTTTATTCTACATTATTTTATTATTTTCTTTTTTTTTCTTTTGCCTTCTCTCTCGGTCTACCTCCGAAGGAAGAAGAAACGATTGATTGAATTAAAAACGGTCTCTCATTTTTCATTGGAGGAATTAGTCTTGCTTGATTTGGCACTAATTACTACTTATCATCACCTCCTCAGTAAGTATTCACTAGAATAGACATAATAATGATATATCTGTACTGTAACCAAAGTAGGTACCTTCTGTTCCAATCTCCAGGAACCCCCCATCCAACCGCTTGCAATATCCCATCTTGAATGTAGTAGCAGCACTTAGTTACTTGCTTACGGTATACGGCAAGGTTGTGGGACGTCCACCTACCGAAAGCGGAACTGAACCTGTTTCAGCCACATTCCGGGGCAAACAAAAACGCCCCCATATTCCGATGGCGGTGTGGCGCTGCAAGCAAAGTAGTATCTGTTTAGTAAGAATGTGGCTAATTAGTTGGTGTTTTAGTGGACCAAGAGGGGAAAGAAGACAGATTGAGTTTTCTGAAGGATCGGAGGGATCTCGCATTCCTTCTTGGGTAGGGGGAATTTCTGGTGCCCTTACGTTGGAGGGAAAGTGTATTTGTGGCTTTGCATACCTTTTTATCGATTTGGGGTTTGTGTGGTTAATGGGTGTCTATGTTGTAGCCCTGGAGATCTAGATCAAAAGCTATCTTGTTCGATTGTGGATGGCTTTAGTTGGTTATTTGAAAAATTTAAACCTTGAAGATTGCAGGTAGGTAGGTAGATAGCGACGTTCGTGGTTTGGTATGAGATCAGATCCCATTCCCGGTGGGAGAAAAGCTACGTTACAAAAGTAGGCTAAGTGAGAAGAGGAAGTAACGCACATAATGAAGCAACAGGCAAGGACGTTTAAGTGTAATAAAATCAAATTCTCACATGAGTGGTGTGCAATGGTGGGCGAAGAGAAATGTTTAAGAAAAGAAAAGGGGGAGGGATGTAATATGGAAAGGTTTCACAGGACCCGAAACAAAACAGCCCTGTGAAATTGATGTAGTAAGTAGGCAATGCACTGAAGTGTGCATCGAAGGAAGAGACGAACCCAAAAACTCCGGATGACCCCGTCACTCCTTGCTTGGTACAATGTGCAGAGAGAACAAATAGACGAGAGAGAGAGGCAGAAAGAGACAAAGCCAAGTAGGTGAAGTCATGAAGTGTATCCCCGTAAGCAAAGTCCAGAGCCAGACTTGAGAGTCAAGAAAACAAAAACACCCCACGCCCAACAATAGTAAGTCGCAAAGAACGCCCCGGGAAATGCCTCGTGAATAAGAAAATCTTTTGGAAATGCATTCGAAACCTCGAGTCCCTTGACAATGTCGCAGGATCAGGTCTCCATCACAGCGTCTCCGTCCGCGTCGGTACCGTTGCGCTCGGCTTTGTCTGCAACGCCGTTCTCGTGCGCCGATAGAGCGGTGTCTTCGGCAGGCACCATAAGCTCAAGCTTCTCCACGTAGGACTTGCGGCTAACCGACTTGGTGAGCTTGGGTTTACCCTCCACACCCTTGCCTTTGGAAGGGGTTACAGGCTCGACATTAGGCGTCTCGGCCGCTTCATTCTCCGGATCCGTAGTGCCATTGGATGTGGGCAGCTCATCCTCACCGACAGCTGGGTTGGCGCTCAGTTCGGGCTCGGTGGATACATGGGTCTGGGACGTCGTATCCGGCCCATCTGCCGGTGTGTTCTCCATATCATCATACGGCTCGTTCTCAATACCATCCGGCTCTGCGCTCGTAGAATCCACCGCAGGGGAGTCGATCAGCTTTGCGCTACGCCCGCGCCGAACACTAGCTGGATTTGCAGAAGGGGTCACGGACGTCAAAACGGATGCTCGTCTGGGAGTGTTACGGCCACTGGTTCGAACAGCGATTGGAGTTCCGCCCGTCTTGGAAGACTTGCTACCAAACGGTCGGCCAGGACGCTTTTTATGCGATGGTGCTTGCACAGGAGGATAAATCTCAAATCTCCAGGCAGGGACGTCTCCAGCGGGATTGGACTCGGCCGGTGTACTCGAGGTTGCGGATGCCGTAATCGGATGGCGGAAGCCGTTCACTTTAGAGAGCATATCGGTAGAAGGAGGTCCAGCTGGCTCAGTGGGAAGCTGTTCGGAGTCGGCGTCGCCAGTCCCATTCGTGATCGGAGGACCAGAGCCATCCTCCTTAGAGTCGCCAGCATCTGTTGGTGACTGCTGGTCTTCCTCGTTCCCAGACTCCTTCACGTCCTCACTTTCTTCATCCTCCAGACCCTCGCGGGGTGCCACGGCGTGTAACGGGGCGCGATCAAATTGGGATTGGTTACTCCGACCCATGATGTAAGGTGTCCAAACGAGCGCGTCGGGGTTAAGCTGGACATACCCTTTGCTTTCCCAGCTGGCGATGCACTCTTCGAAATATCTGTAGTCAAGCCGCAAGGCGTAGGTCTTTGTTACCGGGTCTCTGACAAGCGCCCGCAAGGCTTCCAGACCGGACACGATGTCGTCTGCGGTCATACCGGTCCGCTCAGATAGCTCGGTTATACTGAGTGGCGTCCTTTGACTCCGCAACTGGTAGGATAGAATAAGACGCCAGTAGTTCCTATAAGAAACCAGGCCCATATCAGAGAGTGGCTTCTCCGGGGAGCCCGTCTTGCCTTCAATGCGCGTGAGCAAGTACGAGAAGTCAATGAGGAGGTTCCCGTAACCTTTCCGTTGGTGAATAGGGAGTGTAAGAATGCAAGAGACATTGTTCGCCGAACTAGGGCGCTTCTCTTTGCTGAAGTAGCCAACAAAATGGCAGCCCAAATCGTCAAACTCCGTCATGACATAGAACAGGAATGGCTCGACATCATAGTAGAGTGTCTTCGAGCCCAGGAACAACTTGGCGAGCAGGCACAAATTTTGACAGTAAACGGGATTTTTCCGTCCGTCAACTTCGAAAATCGATATGGACCCTTCACGGTAAATCTCATCTCCCGGAGGGTGTTTCGCCGGGCATTTGAGCTTATGGCGCCACGCGACATAGTCTGAGTTCATGTATTTCAAGCAAAATTCACAAATGTAGAGAATGCGATTGCGACTGTACTCCTCAGGGTATGGTGCAGCGTACCAAGTCTCAATCTCGTAGCCGCCGAAGTTGATGTACTTAATTCTAGATGGGGGTCCGGACACCTTCTGCGACGCATGCTGTACAGTTTCGCCTGTGCTCTCGGCTTCTAGAGCTCGTCGTTGCCACTCTTCCTCCGCTTTTTGGCGGGCCTTTTCGAACCTTTCGCGGTCGAGGTGTGTTGGCAGTGTCTTGGAGGTATCCGCATCCGCTTCGGACAGGATGCCCCCGTACGGTTTGCCCTTCAGCTCATCGGTCTCACGGTCGCTAAATGAATAGAATGGTGTGTAATAAGAGGCAGGTGTGATCGGTGCAAAATGAGCCTGTGGCTCGTGAGCGACGGGTGGTGGCTTTGGGGTCCTTCTGCTTCTCATCTGTGACCTGCTGCGAGAATTGAGAATCTTAGAGAGCTTAGACTCGTTGAGGCGAAACGCCATCACAAGACGTTCAAATTGCTTCAACACCACGCGACAGTGCTCTTGCTCGTTCCTACGCGTACGTCGCGAACGAGTCCGTACTGGGGACATGCCATCAACTGTCTCAGCCATCTGCTCGCGGGAGTCCGCACGATCGTAGCGCAACGGGGTCTGGCGTTGCCGTTTGCGAAGCACAGGTGCATGCTCCTCGATCTCTGCGGAGAGGGACACGGTCTTTCTCTTTCGCAGCGACCGAGAGCTATTCAACAGTTCCTCGTTGACAGTGACTGTGTTGAAAATTGAATGAAAGTCGGAGCCGTCTTCACCCGTATGAGCCGGCAGGAGCTCCTTGCGCATGTTTTTCTGTCTGTTTTTCCGTTGCGGCGCCGCGCCCTCTTCCGCACTAGGCTTCAACTTCTCGCGGACGCACGTCGGGCACCTCCACGGGTTGGCATCTAAACGAGTCAGCTCAAGGGCCCCCTCGGACTTTCCAGAGACAATTTGTTTCAAAAAGCAACGTACCTTCTGCATCTCCTAGTGCGTTTTGCTCGCGAGCACACTGCCGATGAGCTGCCGGGTTGCCGAGTCAGTAATGATCGCCCAATATCCGGGGAAATTATAGTTTGGATGGGGCCGCAACCCAACGTACAATGATCGCCGCAAACTGCGCATGTCAAATATTCCTCGAACTCCTCACTCGGGTCATTATCTTCATCTTGTCCACAAAATCTATCGATCCAGTCGTCAGCCTAGATTCCATGGGTATATTGTCGAACAAGGCATGGGCCAGGTCCCCACTCACATGCAGTTTCCGCGGACCGTTGTCTCCGCCTCCGCATCCTCCTGGTCATTGCTTTCGCCTTCCCACTCCTCATCGGACTCCTGACTGCTCGACGAAGAACGGTGCGCTTCCTGGTCGCTATCACTCTGGTTTTCGAACGCCGGATCTGCCTCCGCGTCAGCGGCCTCCGAAGCTGCGTCCTCGTCGTCGGCAGACTGGCCATTCTGAGGCACCTTGACTGCGCCAACCGGCTCGGTATCGTTCTGATCTCCGACCAGACTCATCTCGTTATCTGGCTCCCCTTCTGCGTCCTGATCCTCCCCGAGGTCGCCAGTCGCAGCATCGTCCGCAGCCTCTCCGGTGAAAGCGCGGTGCGCGGCATCCTGAAGCTGCTGATCCATCTGATACAGGTCCGTTTCCTCCTCCCCCTCCGCGTCCTGGTCACTGTCCACCATATCCGCCGGGGTCTTCGACCCGGGGTCGTTGGCCAGCGGTACGATAGCCGGCATAGTGTATGTCACGGTGGTCGCCAGGGCTGTCACAATAGTCGCCAGATAATGATTCGGGGATTTGAAATACAAGGCAAGCCCAAGAGTTGAGGCTATTCAGGCTCCCCGCGAAAGTAGACGATCATCTGGTGCCGCGTGAAACGGGCATCGGGAAGCATAGAACGAATTGCCTGGGGCGCCACAGCTCTGAAGACCACGCACTGTAAAAGGGGAATCCACGCAAGATAGAAAGTTCGATTCCCTACAGCAAGCGCATGCTTTCCAAGCAAGGTCAGTGAGGAGTAGGTAGCAGCAGCGGGAAGCGGACAATGGCAAGCAACACGTGTAGCAACAGGGCGGAAAACGTACCGTTCCCACGAAAAGAGCAGATACTCCGGATCAAGCAGAAGTAGACGCGTGTAACAGCCAGGGAAACGCCGTCTCAAGTCTACTTGCGCAATCAACGCAATCGACGGCGGCCTCTTTGCCCCTTCTCCTGCCTGTGAGGTTGACGGCCGTGCTGACTCAGCCGTCCCGCCTAAACCGCTTTGGGCCAACCTCCAGACCTCGTCGACGAACGGCGGATTCCCGCGGCCACACCAGCTTCACCTTTCCCCTCGCTGCTACTCCAATTGAGCCTTGTGCATTGCTCTATTCCTGTCTCCTTGACTCCTATCGTCATCATGGGTGTCCCTTTCGAGGCTCTCCTTCCCTTCGGCATCATCATCGGAGTACGTTCAGCGACCATTTCCTCTCCCCATTTGTTTTCGACGTGGTAAGTACTGACCAATGCGTGACACAGTCGTTCACTGTCGGCGGTGCCGGCTTGTGGGCTATCCGGAGATGGGACAACGAGGGCAAGATGCCGCGGTGGAACAAGGATAAGTGGGATAGAGTAAGTGAACCTGCCACTTACCCGATGCGACCGGGATCAGACGTACTAACTCTTTTACAGCAAAGTATGTTATAACCTCGATTGATGTCGTGCAACATCCAATTGGAGATCTCCTATTTCCGATCTTGAAAGAGAAACAGCGAGCTAACTCTCGACACCCCCCACCTACCAGTGATGGAGAGAGACCTGAGAATCACGGGCACGAAACGAGGACAATCGAGCAACCCGGAAGCTCCCAAGGGATTCGAGCTCAGCAACCCCTGGAAGGTACGGACCAGCACAATCAGCAGCAGTGAGCGAAGCAAAATACTGAACCATGGCAGATCGAGAAACGGATTTTCTAGACAGCATGGGTTGTCACACGTCATGTCATTATTCCCGCCTGTTCCTTATTTATTCGGCCGCATTACTTTCGAGAGAAATATCCACGCAATGAAAGATTGTTTGTATCATACTATAAAAGATATCTGGCCGGCTCTGGGTACACCGCCAGGTAGATTCTATCTTAGCCTTTGTTTCCAAACCGACATCTATTTGATCTCAGATACAAAACCGCGGATAGCCTCCGCTTCATAATCGCGAAGATGCATATCAAACCACTTTGCCAGAGCTTTGACGCGATCTGCATCGCTCTCCAGCGTCTCTAGAACCTCCGACTGTCCAAACTGTCTCTTTTTCACCTCCCGCCCAGCAAGAATATACATCCCCTGCACTTCACTCTCCGCCTCATCCATGAACATCCTAGCACAAACCAGCGACTGCGTGAACCAGCTCGTGGGCCGCTGACTCGTCGCATAGTTCATAATTTCGAAATCTTGGGGCAGGAACTCCGTCCCCAGGAACGAGTACATGGGAATCCACCTACTGTCAGGCGTATACCTGATCTGATAGATCCAGACCTTTTGCGTCTGGTCCACGTACTCAGGCAGGGCCTCATGAACGAGACGCATCTCCGTCGGAGCCATGCAGACCGAAACGGAATCCTCTTTGAGCGGCAAAGGCCGGGTAGGCCCATTACCCCCGAAGCCGACGTCCACCTGCATATACCATTAGCTTCGTAGTCACTACCCCGTAGGATACCTAGATACATACCGCGTACTTCTGCCCATCAATCAGCACAATCAGCACCATATGCGACCTATACCATCATTAGTATACTTAGACCAGCCAAACCCAACCCTTCCATTTCCATCTCCATGGGGAATACTACTAGTATAGGAAAATAACTTACATCCCCGTATACAACTTCTCCAACCCCTCCTCCGCCCGCCCCGTCGCAGCCAAACACACTCTCCCACCCGTAGCATAGACAGCATACCCCAGAGACTTCAATATCCCATGCAGCAGGGTATTATTCTCCATGCAGTAGCCATCCAGCTTGCGCGTGACCAGCTTTTCGAACACGCATGCAGGACGGATATCGATGGTCCGGTGATTGGAGTAATGCAGGGCTGAGTTACCCCAGGGAATGAAAGTAAGATGGCGCCGTTGGATCTCGAATAGGGTACCGAGGGGGTCGTTCTTCACGGCTTGTTGTAGTTGTTCTAGTCTGCTGGTGTTGGAGCCGTAGTGGATCCGCTCAAGGTAAAGGGTGAGTTGGTCGGGGGTGTAGGTATTTGATGCCATAGTGGATATGATATACACAAATCTACTATGAGGGTATGTATGTGGCTCTATCCAAGAAGAGAGTAAATGAAAGGTGTATTCTGGCGATATCAGGAACTGAAATGTGGCCAAGCCAGCTGTCAGGGACTTTACGGAGATCCGGCGGCATTTTTGCGGACGGGGAGTTTTACCCCAGGAACTAAACTAAAGCAGATACTATTTGATAATTAATTGGAGGAGACTGACTCGACTGGATCCGATGGTTCCCCCACATCTATCCAATGTTCGGGAGTGGCATTGTCAGGGACGATCCGAGGGGAAATATGGTATTTATCTATGGAATAAAAAGTACCACAATGTGATATCGGGTAAATGGGGAAGAGAGGAGCGGAGTTTAGCAGACGCGATGCATGCTGATCCGGTCGAATGGATGGAAACTGAAGTTAGTATCTATCTTGTGTGACTCTTACACAGTAGGATGTTGTGACTACTTAAGAGATCTGCTCGACACATGATGTCAATGCAGTGATCCTCGGTTATGCAAGAAGGATTCTTTGCAGCTTATCTGATCGGATTTCACGGTTCGTATATACTCTTATCCATGCCCCTCATATATGAATCTGCTACCTTATACTCCGCCTACTACTATCTACTATCTACTCATTTCAATCCAGTACAGCCACCATGTCGACCCTCGAAGAAAAGATCTCCCTCTTACACAACTACTCGGCCTGCGATGTACATCCCCTTAACCATATTCAACCCATCAAACACTACTAACTCATGAAAACCAGGTCTCCGACGCCCTCCTCAAACTCCAATCCGTCCCTTCAAATACCCCACCCCGAGCAGGCTACATCGCAGACCTAAGTATATACACCCATCGTCAACCACCACCGCTACCAAATTACTAACAAACCCCATCTACTAAAAACAGCCCCCTACCCTCCAAACACCACCACACCCACCAAACTAATCGCCCCCGCCAGCACCCTTCAATTCATCCCCAAATCCAACCCCACCCCCACCAGCAGCAGCATCCCACCCTCCACGCACTGGTCCGACCTCACCACCCCAAATACAATACTTGTCATCTCTCAACCCCCAGACCAGCACTGCGCCGTAGTCGGAGGCATCATGGCCCTTCGGATGAAAGTTCGGGGGGTGCTCGGCGTGGTGGTCGACGGAAGAGTGCGCGATCGCGCGGAGCTCAAGGCCTCTGGATTGGGGATCTGGGCGAGGGGAGGGTCGACGGTGGGGAGTGGGGCCGAGGCGAAGCCGGGCGAGATGGGTGGGGAGGTGTGTGTTTCGGGGGTTACTGTACGGGAGGTATGTCTTTCTTTCTTTCTTTTTGTTGTAAGTGTTTTGAGAATTGGGTTGGGTTGGCTAATGTGTGTGCAGGGAGACATCATCTTCTGCGATTACGAGGAAGGAGGGGTGGTGGCTATACCTCGGGACTTGCTGGATCGGGTTCTCGAGCTGATGCCGAAGTTGGCGGGGATGGATGATAAGGTCAAGGAGGCGGTGGAGGGGGGAATGAGTGTGTTTGAGGCATTTGGGAAGTTTAGGGGGAAGATCTAAGTCTATAGGGGTGGAATGGATGTTAAAAGGTACAGTAAGTAATGGTCGGTAGGTTTCAATTTGTGAGGCTAATCTTCTGCAGTATGGTATATAAAGTGGTGTGAAGACCAGCTTGGAATATACGAAAATAAGATAGATACATCGCTAGAGATAAGAAAAACAAATCATCAATCTAAGTTACAGCCTTTTACTTTACTCCGCAACCCAAACGGCTGCCATACCCATACCCGTTCCGACGCACATGCTGCTAACACCAATCTTCTTGTTCGTCCGCTTCAGCTCCGTCAGCAGCGTGCTGATCTGGCGCGAACCCGTGCAGCCGAGCGGGTGTCCAAAGGCAATCGCACCACCCTTGGGATTGATCTTCTCCTGCGGCAGACCCAGCTCGTTGATGCACCAGACGCACTGCGAGGCAAACGCTTCGTTGATCTCATAGATATCCACGTCGTCCTTGGTGATGCCGGCCTTCTCCAAGGCCACGGGGATGGCCTTCCACGGGCCGATACCCATGAGCAGAGGCTTGACACCGACGACGCTAGCAGCGACGTACTTGCCGATGATCTTCTGTCCCAGGCGCTCGGCCGTAGAACGCTTCATCAGCAGCACGGCGGCAGCACCGTCGGAGATCTGGGAGGCGTTTCCGGCGTGGATGGATCCGTCCTTGGCGAATGCAGGTCGGATCTTGCCCAGCGACTCGGGGGTAATGCCGTCGCGGATGCCGTCGTCGGCCTTGACGGTGATGGTCTTCTCCTCGCCGGACTTAGGGTCCGTCCACTTGACCTGCAGAGGGATGATCTCTTCGTTGAAGAGACCGGCCTTCTGGGCCTTGACGGCCTTCTGGTACGACGAGGCGGCGAAGGCGTCCTGGGCTGCACGAGTGACGTTGCGATCCTTGGCCATCTGCTCGGACAGAACACCCATGGGAACCTTGCAGTTGGCCGACTCGGGGTGGGCCTCGAGAAGCTCGGAGAACTCGGTCACGGCACCGGGGCTGACGATGCTCGTCAGCTTACATATCATAGAGGGGTGAAGGGAGCAGAAACTTACCCGTATTGAGACGACATGCTCTCGACACCAGCACCAATACCAACATCGATCATGCCTGATTTCAGGGCATTGGCAATGTCCACAATCGCCTGGAGACCGCTAGAGCACTGACGGTTCAGACTCTTAACGGCAGTAGACTCAGGGAAGCCCGCCACCAGGGCGGCAGCACGGAATTCCGTCGCACCACCACCAGGGGGAAGGACGGAGCCGACAGCGATGTCGTTAACCTGGCTTGGGTCGATGCCGCTGCGGTCGATGACCCCCTTGAAGACACCGGCCAGCAAGTCGGCGGCAGCGGTGTCCTTGAAACCACCCTTTCCACCCTTTGTAAGAGCCGTACGCAGAGCGCAGGTCACAACGATATCATCGGGGTGCTTCTCCGTGATGGCGGAGACTCCCTTCTTGCCACCAGGGCCGAAGTGGGAGGCCACTTGGGAAAGACGCTGCTGGGCTAGTAAAGTGTGGCCGTTAGTTTAGAGCCCTTTTGAGAACCGACAAAGGCTACTGTAGACTTACCGGAAGACATGATGACGTCAACGGAGACTCGAAGAAGTAGAAGAGAGATGCGCCAGTGATATCTCCAGTAGAAAAGGAGAGAATAGTTTAAAGGGGTCTGAAGCTACAAAGAACCGGACTCCTGGTCTTATAAGAATCTGGGGCAACGTGGAGTAAAGCCGGTCACTTGCAATCAAACCGGCTGGCTGCTCAGCTCTGCTACAATGAACCGAGGCTTATGCGCATCATCGTTGTTCCGCGGAGGCGGGTCACGGGATGTCGGTCCACGAGGCAGCGGTTTCATGTGAAAAAGCAATGCACCAGAACGGCTGATGCTCAGGTGGTTGCATGTGCTGCTTTTTTGGGAGGTGATGCGTACTGGTACGTCATGCGATCAGCAGGACCAAAGATGAGAGGCAAACATGGTCTGGTACTGTTCTGCAGTGCAGTGATTAGTGATCTTGATGCATCCGTAGTGTCACATGTTTGCTACTATGCAATTGGTTTCAGAGCCTAATATATATATATCGTCTTATATTAGTACCTTGAACCTGTTCTAAAGCCCTCAACATTTCTCCTCCTCATGCAATGTAACAAATATATAACAGATAGTATTGGATCGAAAACCAAAAACTCCATCCTTCTCTCTCCTACGTACTTCGTAGTACTAAGTACTGGTAAGTAAGCCATTCAAACCAAGATGCCACTCCGTGACGAACCAATCACCACCGAGCGGAAACCAACCTACGCCATCGGGCTAGTCTCTCCGCGGGCGGAATCCCACCCGACAACTTTTCCTCCGCAATTCAAGATCACTCCATCGATCTTCTTCATCTATATCATCCTCAACCTCCAATCCACCACCAGCTAACAGACACACTCAAACCAATGACCTCGACCTTCCTTCTCTCCCGGCTCCTCGCCGCGCTCACCTTATCAAAGCCCCTATTCCTAACACCACAAGCAACAACAGCAGCAGCAGCTACCCGCGCCCTCCCATCATACCTTCACCACAAGCACAACACCACTCAAATACAACAGGTACAATCCCCAAACCCAACCAGAAACACACACACACACCCTAGTACACCAACCCAATCTAACAAATGCAAACAAAAACTAGACCCGCCCCCTCTCCACACCCCGCACCACCTCTCGTCCCCCTTCCGCCTCACCACCAACAATCCCAACACATACACTCCCGAAGATGCCGAAGGCGAATACTACAGCCCCTACAAACCGAAACGCCAATGGCCACCGGACATGTCGAAGCTCTCTCCGAAGCACCAGTTCCGTTTAGAACGGAAGTACCGGCGTCGCGCGGCGCTGAAATACGCTCGGCCGAAGTGGGTTAAAGCGACCAAGATTACTCAGTGGGTGGTTATTGGGTGTATGTACAATCTATTCCCACCGATACTGTTTGGTTTGGAGATGGCGGCGAATCACACGTGTGGCGTGACATTGCTTGCTAGATTGGGAAGGCTAACGTACATTATGGGATTTAGTCGTTCTGGTGTATGCGTTGCTCTTCATGGAGTGGGATGAGCGCGGGAGTCCGTTTGATGAGGTGAGTGATATTTATCTACCTGCTGAGTATGGTTGAGGCAGGTGAGCTTACTGTGGTTAGATTCGACGGACGTTCTTTGCTGGTGTCAAGGGTGCTTTCTCGACGCCGCCGCCTCCTCGTCCGGTGAAGAGGTCGGAGGATGAGTCAGGTGCGCAATAAATAACGAACAAGCCAAGCCAGGTGCTGGAGGGTTTTACAGCTGGATATCATTAGACTAGACCATTTCGTTCAATCTACACTGTATAGTATCCTATCCTGTACAACTATCATATGATTTGAATATAATGACAGCGAAGCTTAAGCCGCTCATGTTGACAATAGTAGAAAACTAAGCATAATCCACCTCGGTCATGTCGTGCCTGCTATAACGCATCTGTCCAAGAAAAAGAATGATCGGCCTGACATGCAATCAAAGAACGTCAAATATCGTCAGGTCTGTGGCCCTATGCCGTCATGAGTCGTTTCGCCGTGGCCGTCAAGTGACGGTGAGATGCACCCAAACACCGCAGAAATGCCAACGCCGTCCAATCCCAATTCTCCAAAGTCACAATGATGAACAACTAACAGACAAGGTAACAACAACAAGTCAAAAAAGATAAAAGCTGTCATAATGCCGTGTCAATGTCGCCGATTAGTGGAGACATGATGACCGGTCCGCGCAGCAATAGACTCATGTCTAGAGCCAATTCCCAAGGCCACTGTTGCCTTGGGCCCCGCCACGACCAGCAGGGACATCCAGCGCAAGTTCCAGCTTGGGAGGCTGTTCGTCCAAGACACCCTTTCTGGGGCTTCCAGCTGCTGCTTTGATCGCGGTTTTGCTCGGCGACCCAGGCTCCGGCCGCGGAGGACCTTCGCGGACCGATGTGTATGGCCACCCATCAGCTACAGCTGCAGCAACCCATGTCTTTAGGCAATCGTGCACGGAGGAATAAAACTTCTCCTTGCATGTTCGCAAACTGCCGCCCATGACCTTCTCGAATCCCGAGGCTCGAAATTCATCTCGAAGCTGGTTACGTTCTTCGCTCGTTGGCAACGACGCCACCAGGCCATTCATGAGGTCCAGGTGCGCAGCCAAGTAGTTGGTCGCATCCCATTCCACGCCACCAACATATGGAGCGGCGGGAACTGGAGGCCTAGGGGCAGGGAAATGACGTTCTCGGTAGCTCACACCCGGTTTATCGTCTTTCAAGATCGGGATCACGTTGAGATGATGCAGGAAGATCCAGAAAACTTCCTTGGTCACATTGGTAACCTCCTTGCACCAGACTCGGTAGGGGCGTGACTGATATATGTTTGCGATAAAACTCAGAGGCTGACTGTCCTCCGGGGGAGACGGGTCGCGCAGGTAGGATAAGATGCGTGAAGCCCGGCTGGCAGCCATCTCGTCGGATGATACAGCAGAGAGCTGAGTAAACAGGAGATTGATGATAATCCCACGGGTTGTGTACTCGCTTGGGCCCTTCTTCTCTTCGTCAAATAGCATTCGCAGCAATGCGGGGAAAAGCTCGCCCTCGATGTTGGTGAGATGCTGCAGAGCGATGGATGTTGTACAAAGAGCTTTCAAGCATAACAAGGTTTCGTGAAGCAGGGTATCTTCATGCTCTTCCCTATCCAATTTATGAGCTCCGGTTCCCCAAATCGGAGAATACGTATAACTTACCTCCATTCAACCTTCATAATCCTGTAAAGCAGTTGCACCACCTCATCCATACCACCGTCCGCAATGAACGTATCAACCCAGCTGACAGTTTCATTCCGGAGGAGGATGCGAAGCTTGTGCATTTTCCCAACCTCGACCATTTCTGGCTTCTGGATTTCTCTCAGATAATGCACAAAGTCCGACGGGTCAGCTGCAGTATCACAAGCTGTGGCAGAGAGTGAGGTAGTGGAAGCTGACGGGGTTCCGAGCCTGGAGAATCCTGTGGGCTGTGAATAGTCGGCGGATTTGGGACGCCTATAGAAACTCCCGCTGTCGGGGCGCTGCTTCTTAGGCGAAGAGCTGCCTTTGGAGAATGAGAAGCCGCGACTGCGGGATCGCGAGCGAGATCCTTTGCTGTCTTGGCCATGGCGGTCCTCCTTTGGCTCCTTCTTGCGCCCCCGACGACCGGTACTATCCGTACCACTAGCACTAGTGCTGTGCGGCGCAGTATTTTCGGCTCGATCCTTCATAATGAAGTCTGCTTTTATGTTGGTATCCAGAGACCTCATCTTGTCTCGCATGTTATGAGGAATATTCCTAGCATCCTGTCTCGTCATTAGTCTAGGCTCTGGGTGTTCGACGAGAGTAGTTCGGGATTACTAACCAGTAGCTTTTCGAACTCGTTCTCAAGCTCCTTGCCGGTCAAGCGTTTCTGCAGTTCAGCCTCCTGCTCTTTTGCATTGAAAGCTGATATTGCCGCTTGGACGCGAGAGAGTCGTTTCGGGCTTGCTTCGGGCCTGGATTCCGCTGGGGGATGGTATTCCGGGCGTGAGAGTGCCCTGGGCCTTCCGTGTTTCTTGGGCGAGGCAGGTTCTGGCTGGTTACCCGAAGCCAGCTGGTTCGCCGTCATGCCATCTATAGGATCCATCAGTTCTTTCACCTTGCGATTTCCCGCGAGGTAGTCCGATTTTGGACGTGGCTTTGGATCCCCGCGGGCTCTGAGAGAGGGTCCATCGTAATCATAGAAATTTCGCTGAAGAGTGGGTCCATACTCCCTAGGGGTGTAGAGAGAAACCTCCTCCTGTAGAGTCCTACGCTTGTGCTGGGAACTGGTAACCTCAGGTTGGTTGTAGTACGGCGGCGTTGGGTAGTGGTTCCACATTGGAGAGGGCATGCTATCGACAGGGTCCGATGGGCTGCGGTTCTCTTTGTCCCGAGTGCTCTTCGAGTTTTCTCCTTTCCTTCCGCGTTGGGATCGTTTCAAGATAGCCGTGAGACTGTTGGCCGACTTTGCTTTCTTCGGCTTCAGATTCGCTGCTTCGTCATCTGGCGTCTCATCCGACTTGTCCTTGCGTTCCATATAGCTCTTGAGAGATTTCAGTGAGACGGCGCTTTTTGTTTTCTTGTGTAGAGTGTGTTTCCCTTGCTTTCCAGGTGATCTCTGGGTTGAACTAACGTCTGCTGTATCCCGGTTGAGGGCTATTTCTGCCAGTGGCTGTTCCGCAGGGTTGTAAGGTCCATCGACTGGGGGCGCATATGGGCTGCCACTAGGCTGGCCTTTATCAACGACTCTAGGGGCGAGGACATCATCTGCAGATGAAGTCCGTTTGTGGGCCTTGGATGACCAGATTGCTCGCAGGACGGAAGGCTTGGTAGGACCACGGGAGGAATCGTCAAAGATGCTCGGGGGTTGTATGCTGGGAGCCATGTCTTATCGCCTTTGGCCCGAAACTGATTAGGAAGCCACAGGCTGTGTTAGCAGATGAGGACAGCCATCAGAGGAAGGTTATGGAACGGGTAGGCGCAGGCGACTCACGGTGAAAGTTGCTCCCGCGTAAAGATAGATCGAACACCAGCGAAGGATACGAAAGTAGCGGAAAATTCTATGCAGAGCAGGATAACGAGGACATGCAAGAGTAAAATACCGACGACATTGATGAACGTCAATTAGGAGAAGGAAATGAGGTTAAAGAACTGTAACTAAGGAAGAGAAGAGAAGACACCGGTGCGAAGGAACAGGAGACACAGCAGCAACAGCAAACACCAAAGAGTCAATCTCAGGTGGGTAGACTGGGAATTTGAAGCCCTTCAAAGGTCTAAGACGGGCAGGAGCCGTAAGCATTCCCCCACTGCATAGCCTAGTCTGCCAACGCCGTTGCCAAACGGCTGGAGATGGGTGCACCGCAGTGAAGCGGAGGGTGTAAACACTGTGCGGGCAGGGAGGTTGCTGGGGGCAACCGCGCCTCCGGTCGCGCCGGAGAGTGCATCACCCCGTCATGATCGTCTATCTATCAATCGGGCAGTTAATTGATCGGGCAATCATATCACTTCCATCATCCTCCGTGTCCAGCCCGTCCAAAGAACATCCGATCGCCCGTCATCGTGAGCTGGGCCCCGTCGCGATGGAAATTGGGGTCGATGTCATAGTGGAGGAATACCCGGCATGGAACCGGCTATTGAATGGACCATCACAATCTACCTGCGTCGGAGTGGGCGAGAGGTCATATAGTTATATTCATTTGACAACCGGGAATATGGACAGTATAATAGTCCAACTATTATGCTGTCATCATTATGACCGGTAGGAATTGATGGGTTTATTGTTCCTCTTCTCTTGCTCATAGTACTTAAGTGTCCACCGTCAGATGTCAACATGATGGACTCGAGAGATCTGGTGGTGTACCGAATAGGGACTAGTCCGGCGCATGATATAGTAAGTAGTTACTACCAGTCTAGCCTATTAACTACCTCTATGCTCTCTCTGTTTCATCATGTTCTCCTTCTCACTCAATATCTGTTTGGAAGTATACAATATTCGATTCCTCTTTTGTTTATTCTTTTCAAGCTTTGATCAGTGAAACCCCTTCATTCGGCTATTGATTAGGTCGTCCGCATGCAGATCTCAGAAGCTCTGGCTCGATACCAAACGGTCTAAATAATAGGCAAGGGATGAAGATTGCCCCCATATCTTACACGAACTTAAAGAAGATGACCTCCTCACTGTTCTAGGTAGTCATATCATGGTCTATGACACAGAGTCTCTGGAATCGGAACCGCCTCTCGAGTCTGACAAGAGCGACATCAAAAAAGGGATATCACTCGGAAGAACTGAAACAATTTGTGTGATCTGTGGTAGCAGGAATGCAACCTCTTAGATTTAACTAAAGAACACTACCTCACAGTAATCAGATGATAAACAAGTGATTGGTCCCATACGGGGAAAAGGACCAGGATTTCCACACGCTATCTGAGATCCGTGAGACGTTCAGGACACACAATGTTAGTGATCTTTTGCTTAATGCTACACAATGTATACAGGATGCTTGATGCAAATGGTATTGAAGACTCAACCTTTCAAGCAGTCACTAAAGGTCCTGTACTATTTCAGAGGATACTTGTTCAGGTTAGTCTACAACAGAGAATAACCACACAAAAAGGTCTACAGCCGGACGTAGTTCTAACTGAAATCTTCATGCATATACTGTATCTAGAGACCCGTAAAGGGTGCCATGGACATTGTCGGGAGACCTATGTGGGTTGTCAACTTTATCGTACCGATATTTAGAGGGTCAAAAAAGCCTAGCGTTGATCAAAGATCTGACTTCATTGGCCTCATGGCTACATCAGTAGAGCAGTAGAACCATAATTTTGTAAGCTATAAGCTGTCTTCAATTTAGACATACCAACATAACAGCCAGTTGTATCAGCGCATTCCATCTGGTTTAGGCTGAAGACGCCTGAATATAGGGGACTCAGACAAGTTCCTCAATGTCGAAAACAGATGATTTGGTGACTAGCATTCGTCTTGGGTAGCTTTCGAGTCCCTGGTACATTGAAAAGACTTTTGTGAAACGGTGACTGCCCATCTAGTCAACTTGCCCAAGGTAATAGTCGTCGTGCACTGGATATCAGTTGGGGGAGCTCTCGCAATAAATAGCCATCGAAAGGGTCACCACTGGAGTAGGGTCTTGGAGAGTGCGTCTTTTTCTGATTGCCATTACGCGTTCTTTGACCCGCAATCGGTATACCAAGAAATTGTTCGGAAACCACATAATATGCTGGCCGAGGCATCTGGTCCCCTATCTTGTGAATTCGATAGCATGGCGTTGGGAAGAAACCTCTGGAGCCGCTCTAGCATGGAATCTAGACGCTTGGCTCAAGGGTTGGCGAATCCATCAACCCAATTGCGCGATTAAAGTGATTTGGAATGGTGTTTTCCACAATGTAGTATTCCGAAGCCACAACGGTGCGGTTCCATTTGCATGAATGGTCCGATATCGAATAAAGATCTTGGTCCCATTGATTGCCGACGCGGCAGCAGCCGCACGGAAACATCAGAATCTCGCGGTTCCAGACTGCGGCCCTATCTGTAATTCTACAACCCAATATGGCCATTATCATCAAGTAAATGCTGCCGTTGTGTACTATGAAGAAGCAGATCTAGGCGCTTAAATCCCATGGAGCTTATCGAATCAGAGGGAAGATAAGGCCAAGCAGATCGATCAGCTGCAGCAAGGGAGAAGGACAAGGCGCATCACGGGATTACAAGGATTCCATAACTTGGCTGCCAAACCACCTCAATCTTCTATCATATGTTCATCTTCTGTGCTCATTGAGCCTTTCTTTCCGGTTACCCATGGGGTATCCATGCAGAGTCCGTTTTTCGCTGAAAACCAATGTGTCACCGAATCTACGAGAACACAATGTTGCCTAGAACTGTTGTTTTTAGTCGGTCTGGGCGCGGCCCAGTTGGCCACACTTCACCGCGAACAGCCTCGAAACCGCATGCCGTCATGCTACCAAAATTCTGAATTTCCCCCTTCTCTTCCCTCTCCTGCTTCCGACTGGAGTGAAAGTCACTGATTTCATCTTTTGGACCCATCTTCCGTCGTAACAACTGCACTTGAACACATAGCAGTCGATCTATCTATTTCCTCCGGCTCTCTTCCCTGTTCCGCAGTGGACGTGTCTACAGCGACTACCGCAATCGGGCAGTTTCGGGCAGGCTTCCCCGCAGGGTCCTTGAGTCCTAGACTGACGTCCCGAAGTGGCGTTGCCTAAATACCCCGATCTCGTGGCTATCGGAATAGCTGCAATTGCTAATATTTCAAGTTGTGTCACTGAAGAGCTTCTCAGTCCGCCATGAATTGTCCTTCGCGCACCGATGACACCCTCGAGCACCCGGGATGGAACCAGAATCCGCCGGCGCTGAATGCCGACATTACCACTCGAAGCGACTTCAACGGCATTGCGAACTCGAAGGTGCATCGGAGACATGCAGGCGGTATGGGAGGGGCTGCAGCTGAAGGTATTGCGGCGATGGATCATAGACCAAATAGTCTAGATGGAAACGAGCCCGAGATGGAGAAGAAGACACCCGGCGAAGTGATTGCTGCCGCTCCTGGGGACCAATCACCCAGGACGAGCAGCGAATCACCTCGCCGTCCTTTCAAAAAATCAACTATATCTTTCTTTCTCCGTCTAGCTCAAAGTATCAAGAAGTTTGGTCGCTTCGTGGGCCCTGGATTCCTGATCGCGGTAGCCTACATTGATCCGGGAAACTACTCCACCGATGTCGCCGCAGGCGCGGAGTTTCGCTATGCTTTGCTCTTCATCGTCCTAGTGTCCAACCTTTTTGCTATTTTTCTACAGTCGCTGTGTATCAAACTCGGCACAGTGACAGGGCTCAATCTGGCGGAAAACTGCAGGGAGCATCTGCCCAAGTGGTTGAACTACATCCTGTATGTTTTTGCGGAGGCCGCCATCGTGGCAACCGATATCGCAGAGGTACGCAGCCAATGTTTCCCCTCCCTGTTTTCTGACGCTGGTGCTAAGCTGGTTTCCTAGGTTGTCGGGTCTGCGATTTCGCTCAACCTTCTCCTGAAAATCCCTCTGGTGGCTGGATGCGCAATCACATTAGCCGATGTTCTTTTCATCCTGATATTCTACCGACCGAATGGCGCCATGTGGGGACTGCGTCTATTCGAGTTCTTCGTCATGCTGTTGGTTCTGGGAGTTGTCATATGCTTTTGCATCCAGCTTGCCCTTATCAAAGAACAGTCGGTCGGAGCTGTTTTCCGGGGCTACTTGCCTTCGTCTGCCATAGTGCAGTCCAATGGGTGAGTAGCCCGATTTGTATATGACTGGAAACACTGAGTTTGCTAATATATTGTTTTCCAGTCTGTATCAAAGCTGTGGTATCCTCGGTGCTACAGTGATGCCTCACTCCATGTTTCTTGGCAGCGGAGTTGTCCAATCGCGACTGAAGGAATTCGATGTTACCCAAGGCTACGTCGATCCCTCCGTCTGCCTTGGAAGCACCAACGGAGAAGTGGAATACAGGCCGTCAATCCAGGCGATTAGGGGCTGTCTGAAGTATTCCGTCATTGAGCTTACGTTGTCCCTTTTTACATTTGCCCTCTTCGTCAACAGCGCCATTCTCATAGTTGCTGGTGCTTCCCTGTACGGAACGTCGGGAGCTGATGAAGCAGACCTCTGGGGCATCTACAATCTTCTCTCCAGCTCCATTGCTCCGGCTGCAGGTCTTATCTTTGCACTGGCCCTACTTCTCTCAGGTATCTCGGCCGGCATTGTCTGTACCATGGCTGGGCAAATGGTTAGCGAGGGAATGCTGAACTGGAGCATCAGACCTTGGCTTCGCCGACTGGTCACGCGGTCCATCAGTATCATCCCTAGCATAATCATTGCAGCTGCTGTCGGCAAGGAGGGATTGAACAAAACTCTCAACGCCAGTCAAGTGGTATTGAGTGTCATCCTTCCGTTTGTCACCGCTCCTCTAGTTTACTTTACGTGCCGCAACCGTTACATGACTGTTCCTACGGACAGAAACTTCACTGGCGAGGATTCCTCGGCTGACGGAGTCAAGATGAGAAACAACTGGCTTGTTACTGCCATCGCTGTCATTGTTTGGGTAATCATTGCGGTCATGAACGTTGCTTTGCTCATCCTTATTGGGCTCGGCAAAGCCTGAGAGCGAGAAACGCATGGAACGCCGAATCCAGGGAACAACATCTTTTCAGAAGGAAGTTTCGCTGGAATGTGCAAGCCGTGTGGCTCAGAATAGTGGACACATAGTAAGATACACTCCGAAGATGCAGACACATAGGGGACGGGAGAGCGCAGAAAGAACATAGATAATAAAAGCTCGTAGAATGAACACAGCTTAGTCGATTCATTTAAGGGGAAGAAAAAGTGAACAAGAAAAATCCAAACTCCGATGCCACCATGATCTGAACTCCTAAACGCTATTCTCGTAAAACATGTAATCCTAACCCAACCCACTAGCAGGCTCCTTAACCTTAGTCTGCTCTGGGGGCTCATCAATGAACTGCGGCGGCGCCACCTCATCTTGCAGGAAGCTAGGCATAGCACTATCAGCCATCGAGCTCTCCATCATAGTCTCCTCGCCTAGCGCCTCCAATTCCGCATCGAGTTCCGCCTCATCGACATCCTCGGGAACGTCATACGCCCGCGATATACTTTCCTGGATTTCATTCCCCACGTCCATCAAATCCGCCATCTCATCCTGCAGCCGTTCAATCTTATCAATATCAATCTGACCATACTGCTTCTTGAGGGTCTTGGTTGTCGTCTTCATAGCATCAACCGTCGTCATCACATTCTTCAGATTATCCTGCATCATGCCCGCCTGCTCCATATTCCATGACTGCTGCGACAGCTGATCCCGCTGCGCTTCGTACTGTTTCCGTCGCTGGAGAACCTTGAGGGCTTTCTGCCGTAACGCGGTTTTTCCCGGCCCGTCGCGCATCTTGGAGATCTTGGTTTGATAGGTAGATAGTTCCGAGTTGAGAGCCGCCAGCTTGACGTCAATGCTGGAAATGCGTGTTTCCACCTGTCGGGGAAATGTTAATCATGCGGGGTCAGGCGGATAAGGGACGAGATGAATTCGGAGAGTTGGGCAACAATGATGAATGACGAAGGTTGGAAGGGAAAAGGGGAAACGTACATTGGTTATGGCCCCATCTAGCGTTGGCTTGGGTGCCGTGTTCTTCGTACCGAATAGCCGATTCATTTTGGCTGGCTAGGTGTGAGGATTGGAAGTGAACTCTTGTGGCAAGCTTGAGGTCTTGAACAGGCACCGAACTGGGGGGTAGATATGGTCTGGTTGGTCTTAGCGGCCGCGGCCTCGCCGCCTTGGAGATACCGGTCGGGAGTATAGAGCTGTGTCGGGTGTTTCTGTGAGTTGGGACTTTGTGCAAACGAAGTCTTCAGAGATTGCAAGAGACGAGACTGATAGTGAGCGCCAGTGAGGATGTGAGTAGTCCAGTAATAATTTCAACTATTAGAAAAGAATATGGAGTAGCGGGGTGGATGTTATCAGTTGCGCTCGAGACGAAGCTTAGGCTGCTACCTAGAATTGCCCCCACGTGATGGGGTATAATACAGTAAGATGTGGTAATATCCTGAAGGTACGGCTATGTGCCGTTCTGGTTAAATTGGTCAGTGTAATCTGGCGAGTGAATTCTTTAGCTGACAGATATGATTGCTCTGCCGTAGGAGAAATATAATCCCAGTAACCTGAATTGTCCTGATGATCAGATCCAGACTGACTCGGTTTGTCCCCTCACCTGGTCCGAGGCAGATGAACCGGAGCGACGGAGTATGGGGTATCTCTCTAGTGACTGCAAGGCTAATTTGCTTACTGGCCCCCGAGTCTAACCTAGTAAGCACACGCCTGCTCAACCAAGTCCCCGGGTGAATATATATGTGCTTGTTAGTATGGCCTGGCTGAATTTGACACCACGATTCACAAAGGTGAGATGAGAATCAGATGGCATTGATGATAAGGCAGTCAGTTCTATTGTAAGAAAGTGACGGTAAGATACCGCCCAGTGCTTCCCCCCCCCAAGCTCCGGTGAAACGAAACAGACAGAGTACCCGGTACTTGTATCTGTGCACAAGCGGATAAGGCCAGTGCGGTACCTGATACTTGCCGGTCTTTGCACCAAAACCTGCAAGGAGCAGGTAATAACGACTCGTGCGTCTGAAGGCATCGGAGTGTTACGCGAACGTCTGGAGGACAGCCTCATCAACATCATCGCCATTCCCACGCCAATCCACACGACCATTGGACTTCTAGAAGGAGGATAACCGGTAGGGAATTGTATAACTACCGTCTTCGCCCCGGATTATTAAGCGCCTGAACTGACCATCCACTCGCGGTTCTTCGCAGAAGCGCTGGAAACCCATCCATTGCCCCCTCTCCCTCGCGTATCTGGTTTTGGTTCCCCGCCGTCGCTCCTCGGGCTTGTTGGGTATTTCCGCCCTGCTTGTTCATCGTCACCTTCCAGGGATCAGTCTTGCCGGCCGATCCAGACACTCCCGCCAGCGCACCACAGTCAACGTGATCCTGCGACTGTCAGCCTGTGATTCCTGACTTTAAGCCCTTGGGTTGACCCTCAATTATCCTTCCTCCTTCATCTGACGGACTGGTTTCGCCTGTGCAGTGCCGGGCTGACAAAGTGATTACATTGCCCGTGGGTCGCTTCAGCCCTCCCAAACAAGGACCTTGCTCTTGTTTCGTCTTCGTTTGTCACTCTCTCAGGTCGTGAAAGGTACGTGGTCTGGACCTCCCTCCTTCCTTGCCCTTTTCAGATTTTATGGCAATGCACTCTGTGCTGCTGCTGCTGCTGTCATCCCCTAAAGCTTGTCGCTTGCCGCTCGCATAGGCTCTTCGAGACTTGACTCCTTCCTCAACTTCCTGAGAAGCCCACCCCTGATAATTCTTCAGCCCATATTCACCGATCTTTTTCTATGACGCTTGAGGCGCATGCAACCTTACTAACTTTGTCTATTTCGCGCATGTAGCGCTTGGCCGCTCAGACCCGGTTTATCTTGCCTATCGTTCTCCTCTCCTCTCCTACCTTGTGTCCTGGGACGATTCGATCGTAACGACTCAGCCCTTCCGGAATCTGTTCGATATATGACTTTCTACCGACCAACCATTGCATACTTGCACTTTGCATGAACCTCATTTACTAGATTTGACCGCTTACCACGGTTTTGTATCATACCCGGCTCTCCGTAACGACGTTTCGGCGACGACCTGCGATCAAAAGTGCTCGTGCTACTGTGCTTCCTTTCCATGACTCTTTTCGCCCAGTTATATAATTCATCATGTTTTGGCGTTTCGGAGGATATGCAAGTATCTCCGCCATTGATACCCTGCTAGACAAGCCCGATGTCACCCTTGAAGAGCTGTTGGATGAGTCTGAGCTCATCCAAGAGCTCAAACAAAATAATACGAAGCTCATAGAATTCTTACGAGAAGATAATGTTCTAAAACGACTCATGGATTATGTTACTGCGCCTAGTCTGGTGAACGAAGATGACGAAGATGACGATCACGAGAACAATGCGCAGACGAACAAAGATGATGCAACGGAAGAGGCCAAGGGGGGAGACCCCCTTAAGGATATTCTGGACCCCGAAGACCTGGAGCGGGCGGAGAAGGATCGCATGAAGCGAGCCTACGTCGCATGCGAAATTCTATCATCGGAGATATGGTCGATCGTGGAGTCTATTCTGCTCAATCCTGACAACTTACGAGATTTCTGGGGGTTTTTGCGGCGCACGCCACCTTTGGACTCTGCCCAGGCGAGTTACTTTACGAAAGTGAATGAAACCCTATTCGACAAGAAAACCAGTGAAATGCTGGAGCTATTCAAGTCAATGGAGGGGATTGTACCGGCAATCTTGCAGCACGTGGACAACCCTATGGTCATGGACCTCCTACTCAAAATCATAAGCTTGGAGAAGGTCGAAGGTGGCCATGGCATTGTTGATGTAAGTTGAGAGTAACCGTCTCTCGCCTGTAAGTGATCCATGCTGATAACTGTCCGCAGTGGTTGAAAACCCAAAACCTTATACCCACGCTCCTCTCATTCCTATCCCCGGATCACCCTGCCTCAGTGCAAACATCAGCCGGGGACTTTCTCAAAGCTATTATCACTATATCCGCAAACGCAACCCAGAATGACCAATCCTGCATTGGCCCTAACAGCCTCACCCGTCAGTTGGTCTCCATGCCATGTGTGGAAAGTCTAATCAAGGCCATGCTACAAGGTGGAAATCCCTTGACAGTTGGTGTTGGCATCGTCATTGAAGTGATCCGGAAGAACAACTCCGACTACGATCCTGAGAACATCAATGGTCCGGACTCGCTCCCAACAACATACGATCCGATCTACCTCGGAAATCTGCTTCGGCTTTTTGCCAAACACATACCTGACTTCATGGCGCTGATTCAAAGCTCCAAACACACTGTGAACGATGGGGGCAAGGTTAGAAGTGTAGAAAGGGGCAAGCTCAACTCAGCATGGGGTGCCAAGATCGAGCCTCTGGGCTTTGACAGATTCAAGACATGCGAATTGATGGCCGAACTGCTACATTGCAGTAACATGGGCCTCTTGAATGAGCCTGGTAGTGACGATTACGTACGGCAGCGTGATGCTGAGCGAGAGAGGCTGATGCGCGAGGGCGTCTTCAATCCGCATCGCGAAGAAACATCGGCATTTGATGGGAATGATTCTACGGTGGATTTTGTCAATGGATCCGTCATTGGCTACGGCTCCCCTGAGGGCTCTAGGGTGCTTGAGGTTGCAAATACGGGCGAGGAAAGCTTCGAGGACGTCAGCGCATCCGGAGTTCTTGTCGACAAGGAAAAGGATGCTGAAGTTAAGGACACCAGCAGCCCCGAGACTAAGGCGGAGTCCGCAGCTTCCTCGCAGCAGGCCCCGACAGAGACTGCCGAAAATGCGTCAAATGGCACGTCGGAGGACGGCTCAGACAATGAAAACCCTGCGAGTCAGGCTCGAGCACAAACGCCTCCTTCCGATCCTGTGTCAGCTACTGCGTCAGGAATAGCAGAAGTCAGCCTGGGCGGTGGACAGACTACCAAGGAAAGCCAACCAGCTGCAGAAGCGGCTTCCAACGGTATAGAGGAACAGACCACAGCGTCTTCTCACGCCGGAACGGAGTCGGCTCCTCTTGTAGACCAACAAAATAATCAACAGAGCTCCTTGACGCCTGATACTGCTGGCCAGGTCGGCGATGCTTCAAGCTCAGCCCCACCCGCTTCCGAATCGGCATACGCCCAGCCAAACGATGGTGATGTACCTCGACAGTTGCATCCAGACGTTCAGATTGATTCTAATGGTCAACCCGTCGTTGGTGACTATCTTAAGATCATGTTCGTTGAGAATCGGGTAGTACCGACTATCTTGGTAAGTCCGCATGCAAATTGTGTGTTACGGACAGTTTCTGACTGATATTTCTTAGGACTTCTTTTTCCGATTCCCGTGGAACAACTTCCTTCACAACGTCGTCTATGATGTTGTCCAACAAGTGTTCAACGGTCCCATGGACCGCGGCTACAATCGTCTGCTGGCCATTGACGTTTTTGAGACCGGCCGCATCACCCAGAGCATTGTGGAAGGCCAAAAGCGAAGTGATGAGGCGCAGCGAACCAAACAGATCCGATTAGGATATATGGGCCACTTGACCTTGATTGCCGAAGAGGTTGTCAAGTTTAGCGAACGGCACCCGCCCGAGTTGCTTTCCCCTACAGTCATGGAGAATGTGCTGAATCCGGAGTGGATAGACTATGTTGAACAAACGCTTTCTGAAACCAGGGAGCGTGACAACGCCATTCTTGGCGGGGTGCGCCCTGACATGTCGATTGGACATCGCCAAGGCATGCTCAATTCTGGCCAGAGCGCGAACACATCATCGGCGCTTGCTGAAGCTGGCTTGAATGGCTCGGTGGGAGGCTCCGGGTTCCAGGGCTTTGACATGATGAACCAAGGAAGTGTTTCTGGCGGAGCTTTCGGGCTAAACAGCGGGAATTCCCTACTCAGCGGATTCGCTAGTTCCAGTGATGACGATGAGGACGAAGAAATGGAAGATCAAGATGATCGGAATCTTGCTGAGCCTTCCGCTGAAGGCGGCTCTGACAATGTGGGTCATCACCTTTTCACTGATGTCGATATGCGCGATGCTTGACGCAATCCCGGACATCCCTCTCTTCCCTACCTTTCCCCTTCTTCTTCTTCTGCGGCCATCTTTGCATCATATGGTACACCCTGTGTTGGTTGATCTTTCTCTGGATTCGGGCCTTGGGCTGGTATACATTTCATGCTGCGGCTGGGATAGCGCATGATGGACAAGAGGAGCGATGGAGGTCGTGAAGGGCCTTGCACATAGAGCGTTCTCCAGCGCTTTACTTTACGTATGAAGTCATTCTAAAGAACTCCTGCTCCCCGCTATCATGTTGCAACTCTCTGGAACTAAGCATGTGCTTGCCGGTCACACCAGTAGTTTCTTTTGGCTTGCCGCCTAGGTGTTGACGTCGCTTTTGATGTATCCCTAACCCGATCCTTCGCTTCACGCATTTACCTCGTCATCTACTATCCTATCTAAATGGAACAGAGCCTGTGGACTAACTAAAATGTGATAGGCCTCTACCAACTCTACCAGCCAGCCAATCCCGATCCTCCCCCCACCTCCAGCACCGTTGAGTCAAGGTCCGTCTCGCGCACGCCGGCAGCTAGCAGCCCGACTGGCTGCCCATAAACAACAGGCCGCCGAGAATTTCGAGGGTGGTGAAGATTCAAGTAATAATCAGCCAAGCGAACATGATATGCAATGGCCCACCAATCCATTCGTGATTGCCGGCTTGGACGAGGATGCCGATGGCTCCAACTCACCTGCCAGTGCTGCCTTCCCCTCAACTGATTTCCCCCCTGCTAGCAAGGATGAACCCTTCTCATCGCCTACATTCCCGGACTCTGGATTCAGCCCCCCCGACTCGTTCTCGACCAACTCCTCCGACGAGGAAGGAGTAGGTAGATCGGAGGGCACGAGACGTAAGGAACGGGTTCCCCTGGAGGTTGATGAGGAGGACGACATGGGGGAGATGGTAGGGCCTTCGCTTGGGTCGGGCATGATGGACTCGGACGAAGAGGATGAGGCCATCATGAATGAATCCCTGGGATATCCGGATATCGCCTCGGGACGTTACAGAAGCTTCGGTCGATCTCGGATGGGTGCCTCACCATTTGGCGATGATGAAGACGACAGTAGTGATGGGGAGGATGACGGTTTAGTCGAGATTCTCGTCCCTGGGAGGAAGGCTTCCACTTCGTCCACATCATCCCATTAGTTTGCACATGATGCTTGATGTCCCTTTCTGTTATGTATGCAACGTTTTCCAAACTTTTTTATCTTTTTATCTTTTTGGCGGTACTCTGATTGGTTCTGTTCCCGGCCTCTTTTCTTTTCTGATTTTCATCTTTTGCTTTTGGATTAGTTCAATTCCCATGATGTACACTATTTGATCGCATGGCAGTTTTGTATATGCTCCGGTTCATGATTGTATACCTCGACGAGTGGACCAAGCGAAATTCCGGGCAATAAGGATTGATCTGAATGATTGTGTTTACAATGATGTTGCAGAAAATGGCTCGTAGAGATATGCCTTGTGTTGATGCGGGAGGGAAAGTGGGACGCCGCATTCAATCTTTCCATTCCTGCCTTCCGCACCTGCCAGAAACCCACTTTTCGCTTTTGCAACTTTCGTCGCTCGGGGGAACTGAAGCAGTACCAGGGGTTTACCTCGAATCTTGCAGTACTCAAATAATTCATAACGAGTAGTATTCCTTCCCATACTCTCCTTCGCGGCCATGGCAAGTGCGCCGTCAGGGCCTCCGAGGTAAGCGTTTTTCCCTTATTATTTTCATGGCTATCTCCGCGATGACGTTTTCGGGTCCATCTCGGGGCTGCAATGTGTTTTATGCCTGATGCTTTCATGGTTCAATTATCGCCTCAACATATGCATTATTCCCGGTCCAAGCTATCTGCAGAACGGAAGTTCATGCATAATACCAATGAAACACATCCTCAAGCACTATGCATGATGTATGGCTGTGAAGCATGGAACTCACTCCTCCCCCACCATCCCACCATCACACTGCCCGCATGCCCACTTCACGATGCAAAATCCAGAATCTGACCAGTAGCTCCTAGGTCTGGAGATGATGCCAGTCTACAGATCTACTTCGATCTGCTCGATTGGATGGTCAACAATGGAGGGCATCTGCACGAGAGCGTCCAGATAGCCAAGGATGAAAGCCGTGGTGTTCATCTCCAAGTTAAAAAGGATTGGAAGAATGCTGTCCCCACCGACACACACATCATCAAGACGCCTTTGGCTGCGACAATGTCTTACTTCAATGTCGTTAATTACACCGCCGACTCTGTCTCTTTTTCAGCCCATGGCCTGCATTTCCCACAGTCGTTTGTTGACGCTGTCGGAGAAAAGGAATCAACTATCTTCTTCTTAATCGGTCAGTATCTACGAGGCACAGAGGGCTTTTGGTACCCGTATATTCGGACGTTGCCTCAGCCTGGCTCCTTGACTACTCCTCCTTACTATGAAGGGGAAGATCTGCAGTGGTTGGATGGCACTAGCTTGTTGGCGGCTAGGGAGAAGAGACTGGAGGTTCTGAAGGAGAAGTATGAGAAGGGTTCGACGGAGCTGCGCAATGCTGGGTTCGAGGGTGCTGATGCGTATACATGGTAGGTCAGCAAGAGTGTTCCTTCAGTTTCAAGTCTGGATTAAGAAGCGACATTGACAACAGCGATGTGTTTTCAGGGACCTCTATCTGTGGGCAGCTTCAATGTTCATTTCGCGTGCCTTCTCGGCGAAAGTGCTGTCTGGAGTCTTTCCTGAGACAGATCTGTCAGAGGAGAAATTATCTGTCCTTCTGCCCATCATCGATATGGGAAATCATCGTCCGCTAGCCAAGGTGGAGTGGCGGGCTGGTAAGGACGATATTGCCTTTGTGGTCCTGGAAGACGTGTGGGCGGGTCAGGAGATCAGTAACAACTACGGACCCCGGAATAACGAGCAACGTAGGTGTCTTCTCTAGGATTTCTCCATAGATTAGCGACTGACGAATAACAGTTATGATGAACTACGGTTTCTGCATTCCCGGAAATCCTTGCGATCACCGCATTGTCAGTTTACGAGCACCGCCTGGAAGTCCCCTCTACATGGCAAAGTCCCATCAGCTGCAGATGTATCCTGACCTTGCTGGTGGGGAAACGGAAGATCACTACTACGTCTTCAACGTGTTCTACCCTCTCCTCGCTCCTGACATGTCAATGGAGCATTCCATCTTCTCACCTGCCCTGCTTGACGCCGTGTCGGTCCTGGCTGCCAACAATCGGGAATTGGAGACTCTGGAAATCACAAGCCAAGGGATCAAGATCCCAAATGCCTACGGAAATTCTAGGGCCCTGCTTGCTGCCTTGAGTCAGGTTATTATTGAGGTCGTCACACATGCTGCCAAGCTGAGGCCTTCAGGGGAAGACCTCCAGACACCGTCAAACCTCAAACAGACTCATGCGAAAGTCTACCGGGACAGCCAAATCATGTTGTCCGAGACCGCTCTAGTTGTCGCAGCATGGACACTGGGCCGTGCGCGGCAACACAACTTCACCGGGACCTGGGAGGAAACCAAGAGACTCCTTGGGGCCCATATGGGTCGGATCCCCACCGGAAAGTTCCCGGATGAGGTGTTCTCGCGGCTGCAAGTGCGGATTTTGGAGCGGAAGTCTCTCCTTACAAACAACGGGGAGTTGTTCACGCTGGGTGAATTGCCTAACCTTCTCCCAACGGCGATGCAGCAACCTTGCAAGGCCTGCTTCCAGGACATCTTGTCGGTTTCTGAATCTGCTATCCCAATGCTAAGAGGCAGTGGTGGGTCGTCGCCCTTTGCCTTCCCGATGTTCCTTTGCCTGGTTGCGGCAGCCCACACGGCTAGCCAATCCAGTGCATCAGAGGGACCTCAGCTCCCTCCCAGACTGTCCAGATGGGCGAGCTTCCTCCTAGAGAATTACCCGCCGCCCCCGAATGATGTGGCCTGGGCCTTGGAGGACGAGGATGATGAACACATTGTGAGTCTCTTTGACGAGGCCCTGGAGAAGATGAGGACACAGAATGCAGGCGTCTTTGAAAATCTGGCTCCGTATACGGGAGACTGGCAAAAAGACGACTGGTGGCTGTCGCCCAATTGGTTGCGATGGGGATGGATGATTGGGGAGCAAGAGTGTGTGCAGATTCCTGAGGATCCACTGCAGTTTTTGGCGACTGAAGGTGGGGCTCAGGTGAGACTGATGACGGAGAACTACCTATATGTGCCAGGGGAGGCATATGAGTAGACCGATGAGACATGGATATAAAGACTTAAGTAGTGCTACCAATAGATAAGCCGTCCATATATAGAACAGGATCAAAAGAACGAGTAGATCTGTTGTGGTTAGTCAGCGTGGATCAGGTGACCCCATCTGACCAATCAGGGAGGAGCGAAAGGCGGATATTCAGCAAGCGCAGGAATTGCCGCGACGGGCAGCTCAACCCAAACCACGCCTGCCACGGCTTGTCGTTCATCCTCGAATCTCCCACCTTTCCTCCCCCCTCCTTTCCCCCTCCCAAGTCAATTGGGCCAGTGTTCACCATGATATCTCGAGCGGCGGCTCCCTCGTCTTCCATCGCCTCCCTCTCCTCCCGCTCCCTCCGAGCCCAGGCCCCGGCCGCCCGTTCCTTCGCGACCGTCCAGGACAACGCCCCCCCGGTCAAGCACTATGGCGGTCTGAAGGACCAGGATCGGATCTTCACCAACCTCTACGGACACCATGGAGCTGATCTGAAGTCGGCGATGAAGTATGGTGATTGGCACCGGACTAAGGATATCGTTCTGAAGGGCCATGACTGGGTAGGCTCTGCCCCTTCGCTGGTCCATTGGACCCGGAATTGCTGGAAGATGCGGAAATGATTTTAGTGCTGACTTGAAATGTGTTCGACCTGTGCAGCTTATCTCTGAGCTGAAGGCCTCCGGTCTTCGTGGTCGTGGTGGTGCTGGTTTCCCCTCCGGATTGAAATACGTGAGTTATCCTGACCGAGACCAATTGATGACATAGCCAGTCTTCGGGCCCCAGTCTAACTTTCTCAATCGATGTGGTAAAGTCCTTCATGAACTTCAAGGACTGGGATAAGGACCCCAGACCCCGTTACCTCGTCGTCAACGCCGATGAGGGTGAGCCCGGAACCTGCAAGGATCGTGAAATCATGCGCAAAGACCCCCAGAAGCTCATCGAAGGTTGCCTCGTCGTTGGCCGTGCCATGAACGCCAATGCCGCTTACATCTACATCCGTGGTGAATTTTACCAAGAAGCTACCGTTCTCCAGCGGGCTATCAACGAGGCCTACGAGGCTGGCCTGATCGGCAAGAACGCCTGCGGTACCGGGTACGACTTCGACGTCTACATCCACCGTGGTATGGGCGCCTACGTCTGTGGTGAGGAGACCTCCCTCATCGAGTCCATCGAGGGTAAGGCCGGCAAGCCCCGTCTTAAGCCCCCGTTCCCCGCTGCTGTCGGTCTCTTCGGCTGCCCCAGTACCGTCACCAACGTCGAGACTGTCGCCGTCACCCCCACCATCATGCGTCGTGGCGCCAGCTGGTTCTCGTCTTTCGGCCGTGAGCGCAACGCTGGTACCAAGCTTTTCTGTATCTCCGGACACGTCAACAACCCCTGCACTGTCGAGGAGGAGATGTCTATCTCCCTGCGCGAGCTGATCGACCGCCACTGTGGAGGTGTCCGTGGCGGCTGGGACAACCTCCTCGCTGTCATTCCCGGTGGATCCTCGACTCCCGTCCTTCCCAAGACCATTTGCGACGACCAGCTCATGGACTTCGACGCCCTGAAGGACTCTCAGAGTGGTCTCGGTACCGCTGCCGTTATCGTCATGGACAAGTCGACCGACATTGTTCGCGCCATCTCTCGTCTGTCCACCTTCTACAAGCACGAGTCTTGCGGTCAGTGCACTCCCTGCCGTGAGGGCAGCAAGTGGACCATGCAGATGATGCAGCGTATGGAGAAGGGTCAGGCCCGCGAGCGTGAGATCGACATGCTCCAGGAGCTGACCAAGCAGGTCGAGGGTCACACCATCTGCGCTTTGGGTGAGGCCTTTGCCTGGCCCATCCAGGGTCTGATCCGTCACTTCCGCCCCGAGCTGGAGGCCCGCATCCGGGAGTACTCGAAGGAGGTTGGTGGAAATGGACCTTACGCTGGTGGTTGGCACCCGGAGGCCCGCGCTGAGGGCAAGCTGATCTCTCCTGGCATGTAATTACCATAAACCTGTCTCAAATCTCTTTCTCTCTCTCTGTGTGTGTACGACTTCCACTATGGGGATAGAATAGCTTCGCTCGCGACACCCTGCAGTTCGTCAGGAATAGAGCAACAGGGCAAGCGAGGGAGGGAAAAAGAAACAAAAAGAGGAAAAAGAGAAAAGAGAAGAAGTTAATCTTTGCCAAATTTTTCTTTTCTTTTTCTTTCGATTTCCTAGAGGGAGTGTGTGTTCTTTTCCTTTTTACCCCTTGTCTCTTACCCATCTCATATTTTCCTTTTATATCTTACGTGTCGTGTTAGGTTCTCGATCATGTACAGTCCTGGTAGCAATTGAACTTTTTCTTTGATTTATTTTTTACTCCTTCGAGTGACTTAGACTGTATAATTGTTTAGTAGCGAAGAATAACCGTAGGAGTAAGAGTAAGAGTAAGAATGGCCAAAACGAACACAAAACTACTTAACTTATTAGTCTAAGCACTAGAATCTGCCCACGCCCATACGATGATAAATCGACTACTTTACCAACTTACCAAGAATGCGAATCAAAACCAAACAGGAGTCAGCACCTCTCTCCTCCATACCAACCAACCAACCAAACAATACACTAATTAGTTAGATTAATATCCCACCGAAATGTAAGAAGATACATAGGTATCTGGCAAATTAACTCATTATATATATTATTTTTCTTCATTGGTTGACTGGTCTATTGCTGGCTTTGCAGGTTATTTGACTAGCTAGTTAAGTGGTGGGTATTGGATTTGACTGGATCGATGGATACGAACCTCGTGCTGCCTTGGTGAGTGGCTATGTATTTATCTAAGTGTTTACTGGCTTTTGCTTTTTCTCTCGTTCATATTAGAGTATAAAGAGAGTATTAAGAAGAGGAGAATGGAAGGGAAAGGGGAGAGGGAAATTCAGAGAAGAGAACCTTTCCTGTATTGAGACCGGTGTGTGCGTCATTATCATCGGCAGCAGAAGCAGCCATCAGATGAGGTCTTTCGAAAGGTAATCGAGTCTAGGTTACTTGCTCGTAATTAGAGGAAGGACTGCTACTCTGTGGACATGGATATGTGATGATGACTTTGCGCAATTACGGTTTCGTTCACAATGACCGGCTAGCTAACTTACACACCCGGAGTTCTGCGCCCTCTGCAAAGTCCGAGGACGGAATGCATCCAAGAATCACAGAAAGAAAATAGAAAAAGAAAAAGACGAACAAAAACAGAGAAGTGAAAACAGTATCTAAGTTACACAATGGCTGCATGTCGTTCCGTCAACCCATAGACACAAAAAGATGCGAGATATCAAAGATTCAGCATCAAAACAGTACTCGGTATGCTGCATCCAAACAACGGAGTCCCTTCCACCCAAATTCCCGAAATCATAGATCAATAGCCCCCAGCCATGATGAGACTGTAGTACCGCCGACTCATTTCCGCCGTCTGTGCAAGGCGTGCATCGCCCGTCAAAGGCAGACTAAGCACGCTGGACAGCTCGATTGCCTGAAGTAGTACTTTGTCAGAACCAGAATTTTCGCGAGGCATGTCAGTGGAACAACATACCTTTGAGTCCTCGTGCCCAGTCCAGGTGGCAACCACGCGACTCATTTCCCGGAAGGCTACACGCTCCTCTAATCCTTCCACACCCGATCCCTGACTGACCTTCTCGCCCATCTTCACCAAGGCACTGACTAACCGGGCAAGCCGGGTAGCATCGCGCTTGCCGCTCCTGGCCGTAGCCAGGCGCAGGAAGTCGTCGTAAATGCCACCACCATTGGCCCAGCCGCGCACCTTGCGCTCAGGCTCCTCGCCAAAGCCCGACACCAGCATCTCTAGCGTGCCATAGTCACCCTCAATCACGGCTGTTGGCGCCACAACACGACAGAACGTAGCGTGTGCATCGTTCCAGTTCTTGCCACGGACAAGATAATCCACTTCGCGTGCCGCATCACCCGTGTCGCGAGCATAAAGCGCCTTCGAGACCCAGATCCAGCTCTCAGGCAGCTGAAGATCCTGCGTGAGATAGTGCCACATCACATTGGTTTGGCCGTCCGAGGTGACCGGCTCCGGCAGTTGGGGCGCAAATCGGGCAAGAGTCTCCTTCACAGCACGCTCGCGATCCGATGCGTGAGAAAGGTGGAGGAGGACGAACAATGCTCGGTTCAAAGTCCCACTGCAGCAAAGCTCCCAAGCATAGTCCCACACGAGCTGGTCCATCTGGGCTGTGTTGACTTGGAAGCTTTCGTGTCGCCCAATGGCTGCTGCAAGAAGTTGACAAAGCTGGAAGGACAGCCGGCTTGACTGCTTATCCCCGCTGACCGACTCAGGCAGGAGAACGGCCGGGAACTCCTGCGGATGGAGATTGGCCGTCCGAGAAGCTCCACCAGTTGTCGTGGCATACACTTTCAGCAAGACCCACAGAGGAGATTCGCGATCAACGATGTCTTCCTGATTAAGAGGCGTCGGAAGGGCCGGCTCATTCCCTTCGTAGAGGTCATCCACGAACTGGCAGACGGCGGCTTCGATGGGCTCATCGTCGGTAATACCATACCAAAGACGAAGGCCGAAAGCCTGGAACCAATCCAGCTCAAATCGCTCAGAGAATGTGAAAGTAGAAAGACGATCCTCCAGCGCACCAGTGGATTTACCTTCGCTGCGAAGGGCGTTGCCGGCCAGAAGTTCGTACAAAGCTCTGACGGGCTCGCTCATTTCAGAATAAACATTGTTCTGGCGCCACATTTCAATCTGTTTTGCCATATCAGTGCGCGTCGTGGGATCGCGTGCGATCTGAGCAACTAGTGTCGCGAGATGGAAATTCTGACTGGCAACCAGGACCTTGCAAGCCTCCTCGACCCGATGCGAGCATAACAAGTAAAAGGCACGCTCTTCAGCCGAGCTGGCCTTAGCCACAGCCTGTGCATGCTTTTCACGTACGATACCCTCCCACAGACGGGTCAGGCGGTCTTTCTTGATCCGGTGAATGTATTTGGAACGAAGATTGGGTGGCACACCAGCAGAGATGTCATCCTCAGTCTTGTCGTTGAAGAGGATGTTGGCCAGCTGCCAGAGGAGTCGCTCGTGGTCAGATTGTACCAAGTTCGAAGCTTGCACGAATTCCCGGAAATCGGCCTTTGCCAGACGAGCAAAGGGAACCCCGTCAACACGTGAAACAGCAGTCAGCTTCCTCTGGGCATCCAGCATCTCACTCGGTTCCACGGGCGTGTTGAACTCCAAGAGAGCCACATCTCTTCCTTCGCTAGTCAAAGAGAGCTTGTGCCTCCAAGCGCTATCCCCCGCCTGCACGTCCGCCATATCATTCTTGACGCAAAGAAGAGAGTTCAGCGTGCCCCAGCGCGGCTTGAATGAGTGATGGAACGCAAGGTCGTCTTCGCTTAGCTCGTGGGATTCGCCAGCAAATGTCTTGGGCTTCTTGTTATAAGGCCACTGTAGGGACAGATGGTATTAGTTTATGCTATTGATAAACGATGGTTCGCAGTGCTAAGACATATTGTATCGCATCGCTTCCTACAATACAACTTCCAATAGTGATAATAGAGGGCTATTAAAAAAAAAGGAAAAGAAGGGGTCAAACCTCGAGACCATTGGGCCGCACGCTTTGTGCCTTCAAAGGAGATGCGGCCTGTTGTTTGCGCGGTTGCTGAAACAAAGAATTCATCAAATCGATGCTGGTGGCGAAGCCCTTTTGCCTGGTATCGGCGGCAGATGGCTTGGGGGTGTCCTCACGGAGGGACCGATCGGTGAAGGCATTGGCTTGGATCTCACGAAGTGCATCGCGGTCTTGCTTCCGGGGACTTATGGTGCGTTGCAAATGCTCGGCCCAGTCCCCAGTCAGATCGAGACGAGGCTTCGAAGGCGTGTTCCAAGGCTTCAGTATAGGCTGGGTGGTCTCCATAAAGGTATCGGTACTTTGGGTGTCGTCGCGCTCCACGGTAGGATGGAGGTCTGGAAAGGTGCCCGCCATGTCCATTTCCTCGCCCTCATCCAATTCGACTAGTGACTCGCCAGAATGTTGGCTTTCGGTGATATCATCGCCGTCTTGCTCAATAGTCGAACCCGTGGAGCCTTCCCCTAAAAAAGACTCCTCGTCGTCTCCAGAAACCGAGCGCTCGTCCTCAACCGTCTCCATCATTTGGTTGCCAAACGCACCCGGAACAATCTTACGCTTTTTGAAATCAAAGGTATCATCGTCGACGCCGGCCATGGAACCCACAAAGGAGTCATCAGTGGAGAAGGCAGACATCATCTCCGAGCCCATGGTCGTATCGGGGTTGGCGGGGGTTTGAGCCTTCGGAGTCGGAGTGTCAGGAGCAGCACTAAAAGTGCTTTGGTTGAGGCTCTCACCTTCTTCTTCCTCGTCGCTATCATAATCAAGACCATAGGTGGTGTAATGGGGCACCCGGAACACCCATGTGCCGGTCTCCTTTTCGTAGTCCACGAACTCGGTGTTGTGCACCTTTATCAAGCGGTCGACGTGCTTATCAAATAGAGGGCCGCTGGTGAGAGGGGAAGGTGACTTCTTGTCGCGACCCCGAGGCCAAGAGTTTTCGATGCGAAGGGTGGAGGGAACGTTCAGGCCCTTGCCCCTGGGAGGCTTGATGGTTTCATCCGGATAGACGGTGATCTTGCGCACACCGATGTCTACCAGGTCGCCGAAAATGCGGTCCAAGTCCACAGTGGTCAGATCAACGGGCTCATCGAACGTCACCTGACCGCACCTTTGACGACCAACGGTAAAGCCAACAAACTTCTTCTGCTGTTCTCGGCTCAGCTTGCTGATCTCCGCGCGGGTGGGCCTCATCCAGTACTCGCCCGGCTGCGGGTCCCCACCAGGAACGAAAGGCAGACGAGAGGGGCCCTCAGGAGTAGTTGAAGCCGTGGCCGCATTCTCGGGGACAACGGCAAGTTCATTACCACGAACAGACTCCATCTCAGGACGAGCAGAGGTCTCGGTAGGCTTAATACCATTGAGGCCATTGACGGTGTTGCTCTTGCGGATGGAGCGCAGGAATCCCAATTCCTCCGGAGTCGGCTCGGGGCTTTGAGACTGCACCGGAACGATTTCTCCTCCAGTGGCTGGCGTATCCGACGACGAATCAAAGCTGACCTTCTTCTTCATCTTGTCGGCTGGCTGTGCTGCGTCTTCGCCGATGGTGATCGGGGCAGCTGGGGTACTAGCTGGGCGAGCAAAGAGGTCATTCCTCAAGCTGCGATCGATGGTAAGACGCTTCAAGCTGCCGCTTGACAGACGGGAGCTGCCAGAGGTAAGTGCGCCGGGGGACAAGACGCTGTCGGTATCAGGGTCGAACGTCTTGCGCAGATTGCTGGTGGACAAACTCTTGCTGAAGCTGGTACGCCCAAGACTTCCATTGACACTGCCACGTAGGCTTCCACCCAGCACGCTGCCACCAAGTCCGTTAGGAGTACCAGTAGAGCTCGAAGGTGAGCCATAGGTAGAGTAAGAGAACCCGTATCCCTGTCGTTTGGGGGGTGTAAGAAGGCGATTAGCAGCATTGGGGGTGATCTTATAGACAGGGAGAGGAGTCCGCTGCTTCTGCTTGGCGGCAGACGAAAGCGGCGTCGCCAAGGGGCCGGGGCTGGAGGCGCTGGGAGCTGGCAAGCCGGAGAAGATCGACTGGTTACCATAGGGGTTGCCGTCCAGAAGTGAGGCCTGCAAGCTACCAGGGGCCGGCTGGGACTGCTGAGCTTGCTGGGGCTGCGCTTGCTGGCTTCCGCCAAAAAGACTGGAAGTACCAAGGCCCCCAGTCTGCTGAGGCTGACTCTGCGTGTTACCGAAAAGTGAACCGCCGGTGCTTGGAGTTGTAGTGCTCTGTCCTCCAAAGAGAGAACCACCGGTCCCAGTGCCACCGCCAAACAGACTCGGCTTCTGCTGTTGCTGGTTTTGAGCGCCTCCGAACAGGCCACCACCACCCGTCTGCTGGTTCTGAGTATTACCGAAGCCGCCGAATGCGCTGGTGCCGGTGCCGGTGCCGGTGGCAGGCGTGCTGCCGCCGAACAGGCTCTTTTGGCCCTGCTGCTGGCCTCCGCCGAAAAGGGAGCTTGTGCCGGTTTGCTGGTTGTTTCCAAAGAGCGATCCACCAGTCGACTGCTGCTGTGGTTGCTGAGTGTTCTGGCCAAAAAGAGAAGAGCCAGTCGTGCCGGTGCCGGTGCCAGCCCCAGTATTGCCGAATAGACTCGGGGTGCTGGACTGCTGCTGCGTGTTTGAGCCGAACCCGCCAAACAATCCTTTGTTCTGAGTCTGCTGCTGATTCTGGGCTTGGTTCTGCTGGCCGAGTCCACCTCCGAACAAGCCGGTGCCGGTTTGCTGCTGTTGTTGGCCGCCAAAGGGAGAGGAAGTCGCAGCAGTACCGCCAAAAGGAGAGGCGGTGCTTGTGTTTTGCGCGCCAAAGGCGCCGCCAAAACCTGTGCCGGTGGAACCACTGTTTCCGAATAGAGGCTTCTGTTGTTGGGTAGCGTTATTCGCGCCGCCACCAAACAGCGATCCGCCGGTTCCACCAAAGCCGGTGGTTCCTGTACCGCTTCCAAAACCACCCGTAGTAGTAGTAGCTGTGTTTCCACCAAAGAGGCCCGGCTGAGAAGTACCAGTAGCACCAGTTCCGCCCCCAAATAATGAAGTGGCCGGCTTTGCTGCTCCGAACAAGGGGTTGGAGTTGGTGCTAGATCCGAATCCACCCGCCGTCTGAGTCTGTCCAAAGGTCGAAGGAGCACTGGTCCCTCCTCCGAATGGTGTGGAAGTGCTTCCAAAGCCGCCGGTCGACTGTTGTCCAAAGCCGGATCCTCCAAAGGCCGATGTGCCAAAGGCACCGGCTTGGCCACTACCATTGCCGAACCTACGGCCTTGGTTGTAATCAGCTAGGCGAAGCTCTTCAAAGGAATACTTGCTGTACGGCGCCATAAAGGTGATACTTTGATAGTGATTCATCCCGGTGGTGTTGCCGTCCTTCTCAGTGAAGGGACTAAACGGCGTGCTTCCAGTGCCATCGGAGGGAGGAATGGCCTGCTGGAATGCAGTACCTGTTCCACTACCGAAGCCCGATGGGGTGCTGCCGAAGCCACCAGTGCCACCGCTTGTACCGAATGCACCACCGGTACCAGTTGAGCTGCCAAACCCCCCGGTTTTATTGCCGAACAGGCCACCTCCAGTGCTAGCGGCAGCGCCAGTGCCAGTACCAGTGCTGCCGAAACCTCCGCCAGTGTTGGAGGACGATCCGAAGCCGCCAAATCCGCTACCACCAGCAGTGGCAGTCCCACTTCCGAAAAGACCACCTCCGGTCGAAGTTCCAGTACCGAACCCGCTCGTGCGATTTTGTCCTCCAAATAGAGACGTCGATTGGTTCTGTGTGCCGGTTCCGAATCCTAGAATAAGAGAGAGCTTGAGTCAGTTTCGCTAATAAATCACAAAAATAGACAGATCCTGGAACTTCTGATTAGAATCCATCCTTGGGCCATGGATCTCCGGCGGTCAATGGACGACATTTGATGTGAAGGCATTCTTCCAATCCAGAGACTTTTTGCCTTAGGAGCCAGTGGTGAGGGTCCTCGAAAACGCCACTTCGGTCACAGATCGGTGATCGAGCACAGGAAAGTCGAGGGGTCCGCCCCAAGGCACAGGTGGAAGAGAAAGGATCGCCAAGCCCACTGAGATATAGCCGTCAGGCACGTACCTCCACCGGAACCAAAGCTACTGGAGGTGTTTCCAAACAAGCCACCACCGGATGTATTACCGCCACCAAAGGGGGACGATGTCGATCCAAAGCCTAGATGACGGGGGAGATGCTGTCAGAGACTGTATTGAAGCTGCGATCCCTTCTCTTGCAGTGCTGCTGTTTTGCCCCAGTGTCGAAGCCATCCACAGGTAGTCGGTGATGGGAGGAGCCTCATAGGACGGTCGCAGCTCGACGTTCGGAACTACCAGCAAATACCGATCCTTTTGCACCGGAGAGTCTCAAGGGACGAGGTAAAAGGAAAAAAATAATAACCCGGGATAACCGAGGACGGGGATCGCAACCGAACGAAGACACCTACCTCCACCAGTACTCGTGCCACCGAAGCCAGAGCCTGCCCCGAAGCCGGAGCTTTGCTGGTTATTCTGTCCGAAACCTCCGAACATCTTGCTGAGTGATGATGCTTTAGATTAGGGAGTCATTCGGTTCGAAGGACGTCTGCGATCGAAGGTTGGAAGGCTCGGAAGAAGATCGTAAGAACGACGATAATTAGAGCTCCGTGTGAATGAAGATTTCGCGAAGAAGAGAACTGCAGCGCGCAAGCCTAGTAGAAAGCGACAACGTTGCGTAGAATTGGAAGGACGATGTCGACGCGCAGGTGAGCACAGGTGTTTGTTTTGAGAAGGGAAGAAAAGAAGAAAAAAAAGGTAAAAGGGTAAAAGTGACAAGAAAAGGCCACACTAGCTACAGACGGAAAAGTACCGTCGGAGCTAGTAGGTGAGCAAGTCTGAAGGGAATCGACTTGAGTGACAGTCGGGGAAATAATGGCGAGGTGAAGTAGAGGGAGGAGGACGCGCGACGGTGGTCGAGGGAAGAAGCTGCGAGAGCCAAGGAAGAGAAGAGAGAGAGGGAGAGCGACGGCAGGTTCCCTTCCTGCCTGACTGGCTCGTTGCTGTCGCTTAACTATGGGAAAGGTCGGCCATGTCAGGTATGGTACGGTCACGGTCACGGTGTGACGGGGCGGTGTGCTCAGTGAAGTGGGGAATGGGACCAAATGGTCTGGTGTTGATACCGTTACATTACCACGATGGCACGTGATGCGACGGAGACTGAATCGGGAGCCCGACCGGGTCGCCAAAAGAATATTAACACTGGGATGTCTGCATCCCGATTATCATAGCTGTGGCAAGATTCCACCACATATGCGCCTATCTACATTATACATTACGTTAGCTCCCCGGAGTATGCTTGAGGAGCCCGAACCCCGGATCAGTGTATCATTGCAATGAGGGACTGTTCCCAAGGTGTCACCCCGGACGTTCCCAATCTAGTAGTGGGAAGGGACCCCGACAACCGCTGTCATGTAAAGGAACGGCCCATACTACATTTAAGAACAAAAGAACATTACTATGAAGAATAGAACTTATGTATATTGAAAAGGTGATCAGCGACCACCCATAATGTTCATCTCTCAAACACGTTGGGAATCACGAAACGGGGTTTATAGGAATATGACTGCGCCTCCGGACAATTGTGTCCACCCAATAATGCTAATCAACTCATCATAACATCCTGATTAATCGCTTTCATTTCATGGCTGTGAATATCGCTCGTCTTGGATTCGGTTCATTTGAAGATCTTATTTGCCACGGGCAGCGTGCACCGTGGCAATGATCTTGTCAACAACCGAAGGGTCCGACAGCTGTAAGATATTTAGTTAGTTTCCTGCATACCCAGCATAGGCAAGAGTAGTTGTAATCTTACAGTAGAAGTGTCACCCAGGCTGTCCTCCTCGCCGCTCAGGATCTTCCGGAGAATACGGCGCATGATCTTACCGCTACGGGTCTTGGGGAGATCCTCGACAACGTAGACGGCCTTGGGGGCAGCGAAAGGTCCGATGGACCGACGAACCTGCATGATCAGATCCTTGCGGACCTGGTCGCTGGTCTCGTTGCCCTCTTTCAGGGCCACGAATGCGTTGACGGCCTGACCGGTAAGCTCGTCGGCAATACCGACGACAGCAGCCTCAGCCACCATGTCTATCATAACCGATTAGTTGTTGTTATATATATATGGATGATCATTGTGGTAACTTACGGTGCTCAATGAGGGCGGCTTCAATCTCAGCCGTGGACAGACGGTGTCCGGAAACGTTGACCACATCGTCAACACGACCCCGGATCCAGTAGTATCCGTCGTGATCGCGGCCTGCACCATCTCCAGTGAACTATAAGCGCCCATCAGTCAGCAACTGTCCATTGAGCATTCGTTTTTGAATGTCGCTTACGTAGTAGCCCTTGTAAACGTTCAAGTAGGTATCCATGTAGCGCTTGTGGGCGCCCCACACGGTACGGGCCATGCTCGGCCAGGGTTGCTTGAAGGCAAGCACACCCTCCACATCGTTGCCAGTGATCTCCTCACCAGAGACCGGGTCAATGATGGCGGGCTCAATGCCAAAGAAGGGAAGCGACGCGCTTCCGGGTTTCGTCGGGGTAATACCACCCAGGGGAGTGATGACATTCGAACCCGTCTCAGTCTGCCAGTAGGTCTGTGGAAGCGCATTAGACTATCATTCCAAGTCAAGAAAAACCCAACAAGTCACTTACATCGCAGATGTGGGCTTCTTCCTTTCCGACCACCTCGAAGTACCATTTCCAGACCTCGGCAGCAATAGGCTCACCGACAGAGCCCAGGACACGCAGGTGTGCCATCTTGTGGTGAATGTGCTCGTCGCCAGCCCGCTTCAGAAGTCGCAGGGCAGTGGGGGCGACGTAGAATTGGGTCACCTTGTGCTTCTCGATCACGTCCCAGTAACGGGAGAAGTTGGGGTAAGCCGGGGTACTCTCGAAGACCACGGTAGAGCATCCGAGCAGCAAGGGTGCATATACGACGTACGTGTGGCCGGTGATCCAGCCAACATCACCACCACAGAAGTAGCGGTCATCGTCGTGGATATCAAAGACATACTTGCCGGTCATGGCAGCACCCAAAAGGTAACCAGCCGTGGTGTGCATGACACCCTTGGGCTTTCCGGTAGAACCAGAGGTGTAGAGCAGGAAGAGGGGATCTTCCGAGTTCACCGGCTCAGGAGCAAGGTAGTTGGGGTACTTCTCGACCTCCTCGTGCCACCAGACATCACGGCCCTTGGTCCAGGGGACCTCCGCGCCGGTGCGCTTGTAGACCAGGACGCTAGTGACATCGGGGCACTGCTTCAGGGCTTCATCGACAATGCGCTTGGTGCCAATGACCTTTCCTCCACGCTTGCCCTCATCGGTCGTGATGACGACCTTGGAGCCAGCGTCCAGGACACGGTCCCGGAGAGAGTCGGACGAGAAACCGGCGAAAACAACGGAGTGGACGGCACCGATACGAGAGCAAGCCAAGAAAGCGACAATGGCCTCCGGAATCATGGGAAGGTAGATAGCAACGGTGTCACCCTTCTTCACACCCTGCTGGCGGAGAACCCAGGCCACACGAGACACCTCGCGCAGGAGCTCACCGTAGGTGATTGTGCGGCCCTCGCTGGGCTCATCGGCCTCGTAGATAATGGCGACCTTGTCGGGGTTCTTGAAGGCATGGCGATCGACGCAGTTGTAGGAGGCGTTCAGACGACCCTCGACAAACCAGGCATTGTCGCCATTCTCCAGCGACCCACTGTGGGTGGTCTGGAAGTCTTGGTCGAAGTGAAGAAGTTCGCGGGCCATGCGAGCCCAAAAAGTGTCTGGGCTGCGGATGGACTCCTCATAGAGCTTCTTGTACTCGTCAAGGTCTTTCAAGTGGGTACCTGTCGGGTGCTTCTGGTGGAATGCTTCGGGGACATGGAAGGTGTCGACTTCGTGGGCCTCGACCACCTGAAACCGACGGGATTAGCACGGGGACCCGGCGATAACTCGGCCAAACACGCGCGATTTCTTACCACGGAGGACTTGGGGGGCATAACACTGCCGTCGGCCATGTTTTGTTGTGTCCCAACGAAACTGTGTGTTTGAACTGTGCAATGTTAGAATTGATGAGACACTCCAATTGAAAGGTAACTCTCGTTCTGTTGGGCAAAAAGACGAGAAATTCCATTCGTAGCGCCGGAGCGCACGTGAGTTTGCGGGCGCGGGGGATTAAGCTCACTTGTCAAAAGAATTGCAGCAGTGCTGGTTGGTGGGGTTCAGGCAAACTTTCGCGAGGGGGGGGAAGAGAGGGAGAAGTGTAGGAGGGAGTAAGAGAGGAGGGAGAGAGAGAGGAGTAGAGAGGAAAGAGAATAGAAAGATTAGGAAGAAATGAGGAAGAGAGGGGGGAAAAGAAAGCAACTGGTGCCCAGGATGGGGAAGAGAGACAGTTATTTATTGAACCCAATGCCCGAACTAAAAAAGAGAGATGTCCCTTTGAGAAAGAGAGACATTTATGATTTTAATTGTTGAGAGTCCCGCTCCCCCGGTGTCCGGGTGGAGGCGTTGCTACTTCAGGCTTGGTTCAGGCTTGGTACCGTCGTAGCTTCAATTTGGGCAAGGTTGTACTGCTCCCGGGCTGCTAAGGTACCTCCTCAGTACTACTTGGTTACTACTCCTACTTACTACTTACTTACCGTAATCCCCTTATCCATCCGTCCATCCTACCCCAAGTCTACCTTTCTTTCCCTTCCGCGCGACCGCGTAAGTATGATTAACCTTGTCGGTCCAGGGTTCAATCCCAATCCTTACTTTACTGGATCGGCTATGCAGGTTAACCTAGATCTTACCGGGTGTGAGTTCCAGAGCAGCAGTTTCCCCCCTCCTCCCAATTGTTCCCCTCCCTCATTGGGTTGAGATCATGATGCGTTTGGAGGCGCTGGTCTACTTCCCACCATGGACAATCCATACTTCTTACATACCTGACTAGTCATGCCTGTCGCTCTAAGCGCTTCTCCACTATCGGGAAAGCCACGACTACTGTAGCATATAATAATTTCAGAAAAAAAAAAAAAAAAAAGAAAAGAAAAAATCCTATAATACTTATAATAAATGAACAGGGTGGGAGGAGGGAGGGGGGGGGAAGGACTGTTCTGGATGCGGGTCATTGATACTAAATGGAGGGACAGTCTTTTCCCGGCAGGCCCTCGCAATGTCACTGGATGGACGACCTCCTGCATTGGCGGCTGCAATCTCAGTCTGTCGCATTCGCTCGCACTATCCAAGACTAGTTCAGCGTAGTTCAAACGCGCCGCCAAAGGTTGGGCTCGGCCATGCGGGGCTTGACAGGCTCTCGTTTCCGTTGCTCCGGGGAAGGCAGTCGATGATCAACTAGCGAACAACCATCTCGTTATTTCCCTTCCCCCCTCCTCCCACTACACGGGGACTCCTATTCACTCCGGTACACTATTGCGACGCTCCCGTCTGCCAGGTGCTGATTGTGACCTTAGGACTGTAGTCGACTCGGTTCTTGTCCATCATTGGACAGCAGACCTATCGTCAATTGCCCACTAAGGTAATTCTCCCAGCAGAGGCAAGTTATTAATCTAGGTGGTCACCTCCGACAGCACTGTGCTCATTCGTAACCATGGTACGCCATGGCATGACATAGCACAGGGATATATTAGCGGCGTGATCCTGTGGCGTCCAGCCGACCAACATCATCTTCATCGGGCTCTGCCCCAGATTCGTTCACAAGCAGACGGGGGGTTGAAACTTTTGGGTTTCCGGGGGATGGCGGGACGGTATCACAAGAACACTCGCCAAGCACCCCGATCGGAGGGGTCAATTAGCACTGGAACGTGTCCATTCTTACTGCGAGGCTTGAACCGTGCGGGGGAACCAAAACCTTAGTCGTGCCCTTTGAATGGGACTGCTCAGAGTAAGATTTGGCAGGACCTTGGATGAGAGGGAAAGAGAGTGAGCGGATCTAGTACTCTTGGAGCAGTCTGATTTCTCAGAGAGCAATATGGGGAGGTGAAGTAGATAGTAGTCAAGCTAATCATCATTTAGCTACACAAACCACATGCACCTCAGAGATAGATCGCTGTGAGCATCCCCTGGACCAAGATACTACCTCAACCTCGGTGGGCGGTCCAATGAGACGCCTATATCACTGGATGTGGTGCTGTTCGCGGAAGTTTCACTCAAGCCGGATTAGGGACCCCCTGTATGGCCCGCAGCCAGTGCCTGGAGGGCTGACCAGGAAGATGCAGTAGTTCAAAATACTAATTACGAGGGAGATAGGTAAATAGGAGGTCATCTTGCATTAGTGAGATATTGCCGGTGAACAGAACGTGGAAAAAGATGGCCTTGCAGAGCCGAGGCCTGAGTAAAATGGATGTTCTTTGCAGGCACACCCAGGTTACGGCTATCACAGGCATAAGTGAGTATATTATAGTCAGTAGCAAGTCAAGCTGGGAAGAGTGCTTGATAGTTATTGCTGTTGTTCATTTGCCATATCCGCAGAGGTGCCTTAGTACAGATATCCATCAACGAAACCAAATGCCTACCCACCTGACCTGATCGTGCACATAACAATCATCACATTCCACGAAGGTGCATATTAGTGGATAAGGAAGATGAATCTATGCCTCTGATTTATCTTTCATGTGTCCTGAAAGTAATAACCATTTCCGATCTTCACCCAGTATAATCGGTAGAAGGAATAATTCAGGCTACGGAACGTTACGGCAGTACTTTCCCTAACGAGGAAGACTGTGGCCCATTACGCCAATGAAGCTGCCCGTGACTTGCCCATCTCTCAACAATGCCGAAAAGGGGATTGTCTGCTATTTTCGCCCTCTCGGTAAAGACAAAATGATCAGCTGGGCTGGGACGAAACACTTTCCTCGACACGCGGGTCGAGGGACAATCGGGATAACCGTGGTACTGCTTGCTGGGGTTCGGCTATCGCTGCCTGGCTCTTTGCTCCTTCTCCCCGTTCCCGCGGACATCTCTCGGACCTAGGCTTTTGACTCTCTCCAGCTTCCCTGCACGGAGAACTGGAAGCTCTTACATCTTGTACCTTCGAACAGCCGAATATTCAGAACTCAAAATTCTGGAAATGGCATTGTCTGCTATGGCACATCTTTCATGGGGTGAGATCGACTTAGGACTGATCTCGCAACGAGAGCAGAGTCAAAACTCCCTAAGAGAGCCTACAAACACAACCCCCCCACCACAACTAAGGCCAAAGTACCACAGTTCCCTCAATTTGTGGGGAGCTTTGTGGGTGTGGCAGCCTTGATTGGATGTGGATTAGACCATCGATCCGACAAGAACGGTTTGTTCATGTTTATAATGCCATTACGGAGCAACTTCCACCATCAGGACTAGGAGCATTAATATTGTGGAGGCCGTCCGGCAGAATTCCGTTCAACTTGCGCAGGCCCCCATCGATACTCGGCTTGCTCCCTCTAACATGTAGCATCGGTCCGGTAAGGGAACCATACTCTTGCCCAATACTAATTAAGGATACATCGTCCCTTTCGTCGCTTCTCTCCCGTGAGTGATCTTCAATCCTTACTCCTTCGCGTCCGTGTGTGGTAATAAGGTGAGTGCGTTCGGGTCCCGGGTGTCCCGTTTAGTCCCTACCCACACTGCCGACTACAGAGCCCTCATGCTAATCGAGACCCTCCATCTGTTAGCAAATCAACGTCCTCAATGGTCGCCGGTGGCTCGGCCACTTCTCTTATCCCAGCCTCTAGGGAGCCTCCCGATACGGTGTCAAGCCCACCATACCCCCCGTTTCCGCTTATCATTGTCAATCAGTTATCTCGGTAGCCCCCTGCACGGCGTGGCGTATCTACAAGATATTGCATTTGTATAATTGCCTGCGTGGTTATTACCTGGATACTGCATTCGAGATGTACACCGGGTTACGTACCCCAACCGGTGAGAGAATACGCCTTCTCTCAATACTCAGAAAGGGTCGTTGTCGTCCTGCTTGAGCCCTACCTTTCTCAACCAGGACCCAGAGGCCGTGGCCTTTCCCGCCTGCGCTATAGTTTAGTCCCGGCCGCACTAAGCTTCTCGGTCCGCTTCTACCATTTCGACGTCTGAGCCCGCCGCCAGTCTTTAGTGGTCACTTTGCTGAGCCAACCGGTGTAGGCTCGGATGGTTAGAGACGGCGGATTTCTGGCCCGTCCTGCATCAACTAAACACGGCGGTAGGAAAGTCCGTCCCAATAGGCCCCCCTGCAAGTGCAAATTAATAACGTCTTGGCCTGCCCGTTATTGATTTCCTTAGTTCACCCGATGGATCAGTACGCGTTGTGCTGTGGCCAAGTTCGGTGAGACATTGGTAATGGCTGCGAGAAGTTTTCACTTCTCACAGCTAATATCAACCTCGTTTCTGGGAGCGAGCGCACAGGCCAGTCGGAGTCCGGAGGAGAAATCAACCGGGCCAGAACCAAGTTCCTACGATGATAGTACAGGGTTGAAGGGGGGACCAATATATCTCGCACGTAAGTGTGTCCCCTAGCCCACCGTACTTTTGGACATTTGCATTCAAGCACGTGGGAGCTGCGACTGCACTTATGCCGCTTAGTATAGTCGATGGCAAAAGAACCGCCCCAGCAAGCATCAGACGATCATATGTTATGTCAACAATTTTCACATGCAATATGCAAGAACTGCAAAATGTATTCATAAGCACAGCATGAAACAACTATGCCATAATCCACAAGAGAAGAAAAGATACCCACGACCAAACCCAGTCCCCTGATCACTAGAGAGTACTACGTACTCCCTATCTAATTAGCCGTCCACTCCCGATGCCACCAATTCGCCATCCCAAACAAAAACAACACAATACTCCCGTCCCTCGCAATATCTCTAACCAACTGCACCCACAACCCTAAACCCCCTCCCCCCCTCTTCATCATAACTCTCGCCCCAGTAAGCACCACCTCCCCCGTCGTAAAGAACAAGAACGGATTCCTCGCCGTCGCCGGCGGCGGCGGCTGACTCCCAAACGTCGCCACCGACGAACCAATTAACACCAACAAATACACCCCAATCAACACAGAAAACACCACATGCAGCACCTTCCACACCAGAATCTCCCGCTTCTCTTCATCACTCTTCTTCCGCGTCGCCTCTCCCAACATACTCGCCACAAATGGCGGAACTCCCAACCCCGTCAGTAAGTCCGCGGGCGATTGGCCTCCAGGCAGTGAGCCCTCGCCCAGTGCACTGGTATCCCCGGCCATTAGGCTCGAGAGAAGTTTCAGCGTCGGGTCGTCCGCTTCGCCGCCTAGACCTCCCATTCCTCCCATACCTCCTGGTCCTCCTGGTTGGGGTCCTGGGCTTCCGCTGGGCGAGTCGCCAGGCTGGCCAGACTGGCGGAGTAGGGCGCGGAAGAGCTCCTGCTGTGCTTGGAGCGTTTCGGGGTCGAGTTCTTGCTGTTGCTGGGGGGCTTGGCTTGGGAAGGAAGGTTGAGTGGTTCGGGGTTCGGGGGCCGGGCTTGGGCTCGGGCTGGGGCTTAGTGCTGTAGTGGTAGCTTGTGCTGCGGCCGGAGCCGGAGAAGGAGAGGGAGAGGGAGAGGTTTCTTCGCGGACTAATACGTAGCAAGAAGGATTTCGTTAGTTTCATTATCATATTATCTTTGTTCCTTTCGCTTAAGATTGTATAAGGGGGGGGGTTGAATAGTGTGGTACATACGACTAGCAGGTGTCCGTCCACTCAAACTGGTAATCTTGTCTAGACGAGCTGCTCCATCGCCTTTGATTTTGGCTTCGCGGCGTTCGCGGCGCAGGCGGGCTGCTCGCTGGGCGGGGGATTCTTCGGCTGAGGACATGGTTCTTCCTCTTTTATCTTATCCTCCTTTTTTTATTCTTGTGAGGTTTGTTGGTCGTGTGGCTGTACTTCTGTCGTGAGATGTTTTGGGTGACGTAAGTTCAATCGGTCTGGTTGAATTGTTTGGGCTGTTATGGCGCCAGCAAAGGTGGATGTCTTTCTGGTAAATTGTTAGGACGAATAGCTCTGTGAGAGCGATTGGAGATCGCTCCAGGGATTGAGGTGAATGTGGAGGGAAATGTGAATTGAGCCACAGATTGTTGCGGCGGCGGTAATCGGTGATTATCTGTGATGTGGTGGCCGCATAACGGCCGGCTCCGCTGGTGATGTGGTAGTCACGTGATGCTGGTGTATAGCTTTATGGGGTGCTACTTGTGGGGGGAGAGGGTTTGGGTGGCATTTGGGTGCTTGTGTGTAGATGTTATAGCTGTTCATGGTTTGAATCAGAGATTCTGGTTCATAGTAGTAGTAGTACCATGGAGTGTGCATTCCGTGTTACCGTCAGTAAGTACTAGCTTAGGATGTTTAAATATATCTTCAATCTCCGTCCAAGCTTCCTGGGCCAAGTTCGTTACTGAATTGTGGTAAAATGCTCAGAATATATCCAGAATGGAGTACTAGTAGTGCAACCACTGTATTGATAGAAAGCATACTTAGTAGTGCATAGTATTAGTATGAAACTCAATGATGAGTGATCTTGTTGATATCTTGGCCTTCTATGAGAAGGATTCATGACCAAAAGCATTACCATTTGGCCAATGACTACAAGACCGATTGCTAGTAGGATTGATACAAGTGTCTAAGCTAGAAGGACTTTCGTGATTCCGAAATGGCCGACCTTGCTTCATCTTTTCTAGCTCATCTGGACTGGCGCCCTTAAGAGTTTTCGGCCATCAAGGATTCGTTCCTTTTTAGAGGCCCCATACTGCTGAGCAGGTAGCCACCCTTCTTCTGAGAGCCCGCCAAGTTTGTACCGTCAGTGATTGATCAGTAAATTTGGATTGTGCCACATTTGCTCACTTTCAGCCTGGTTATTAATATCTTATTTTGAGCATTCTATGGGGCATTGATGCAAAATCGAAGATCCAACAACGCGTCCGGGGAGGACAAGGCGCGTTTTTAATGAGAGGAATAGAGACCAACATCACTCAGAACTAGGATCTGGCAATAACTGACCAAGAGTAAAGCTACAAGATCTACAATGGTTGTTCGCTGTTCCCAGAAGTCATGTATTTGCAATAAATCAAGATTGGGATCTCAGCAGTTGCCTGGGCAGTCAAGTGATGGATGTTATTGCAGCAATGATTCTCACTGTAATACATGTTAAACTGACATCGTGAGTATTGCTATATCACAAAATTGTGGCTCAGTCGAGGTGCAGGTGTGCCTCTGGTGATCAGAGGCTAGTTAAGGTAGCAAGCAGCATGCTGTAGTTTCTAGTCAGGAATGGACTCACCACAACACCTGCTTCATGGGATAGCATG